AATGTGTGAAATAAACAAACAGCCAACAGCCAAAAACAGTAAATTTTGCATGAAAAATCAAAGTGACACATTCGCACATTTTCAAATGTTGTATTACAACATGTATTTAATTCTTTCTCCTTCTCACTCTCGCTTTCTCTCTGTCTCTATTCGTCGCAGTTGAGATGCGAATGTAAAAACAACTAACGGTCTAATTAAATCGGAAGAACTATTACAAAAGTCAGAAAATAGAATTAGCAATTGTCCCAATCTAATTAGGCAAGTTTGTGAATTAAACATTAACTTTATTGCCATCGAAAAGTTGTGTGCTAAGTTTTGTAGCCAATGTTTCACGACGAAATATATCCAAGGTTGATGGTTCTTGATTTTATGCTTGACGAAGTCATAAAATATACAAAACGTCTGAACGTGATTTTTTTTGCTGCTGTGGCTGTTGCTGCAAGCTTCCATTTGTTTGAATCTGTCTTCCGAAAATAAAACACAGTAAAAAAAAACCCATAAGATTTGATTTCATGCATACTAAATGTATCAAACGCGCCTGTCCATTGATACTTCAATCGTTCAATCGGTTTAAAGCATTTGCAATTGCCATAACAGGCGTTTGATCGATTTCATCAAGTTCCTGAGGTTAAACAGTGAATTTTTTCCTGATTCAGCTATTGATTTTAACAGCCAATAATAAGGTATTTCCGACTCCTATCTAACGGGCCTATTCCAATTTCCGATTGTAAAGTATCGCATTTCCATTTTTTCCAAAGTATTATCTCTGCCCTGCATTTTTCAGCGCCTGTCAGGTTAAGCGAATCATTTCATTTAGATAATGATGACGCAGAGCCGAAACCCCACATTCGTTTGTGAAAAAAAGATAAAAAATTAATAATAATAAAAATCATTGTCTACCTCAAACATTGAATTCGAATTATTTCTAATATTTTGTCCCGAAAAAGACTGTTTCCTTCGATTCGATCAAGGGCGCTATAACATTAAGTTCTCGCATCACATTTCTAATGCTGTAGTTTTGTCAACTTTTTCACTGATATCACATTTACTTTCGTATCAATAAGTGGAATATAAATCATTCAAATGGCCATAGATCTTCAGATACTCCAGCTGTGTAAGCATTTGAAAACATTTCAAAATGTTGCGGTGCATTATTAATCATTGGCAATGCCAGTTCACAGTAGTCAACACATTTTTAGCCGGATAAAGTGTTGTAGATGTGAATAAAAACGTTCCACAAGTGACTTTGAATGATGAAGTCAACGGTACCGGAATGAATTTATCAAGAAATATATCTCGAAATGTATTCGAATTACAATAAACTTACGTCAAAAATATACACAAATCGTCGAAAACAATAGCAATTTTGAATTTTCAAACTGTGTTTTTTACTACTTTTCGCTACAATATCGAATCCAACCTATGAACCATTTTTCAAAATACGAACACCATTGCATATATGCGTGTATAAAATAGGCAAAAACGATTTTATAATCAATTTAAAATAAAATCGTTATGATAGGTGTTATTTCTGTTCAAAAAATGCAACATAAACGATACTTTTAAGCGCTGGTATAATTTTGTGATTTACCAATTTCGAAGTGCATGGAATTTTCATTAATTAAATTCCATCGAAATTGAGCTGAAAAAGATTTAAAAAAATACACAAACACACACAAATCGATCGCGAATACAAAAAGTTCACATCAAGAGCTTTGCAATGGCTTGAAATGCTGTTGATGACGTATTTAATTCTTCTTCTTTTTTCGCCATGGCCTCAAAGTGCGCTTTAGATGAAAAGTGAGATATTTGTGCGTGCCCATTGAATTTTAGGCTGACTGAAGTGGTTCTACGTTAATTTGGCACAATCTGAAGCGCGTCTGATTATGTCTTGTGTCGTTGTCTTGGGATCATTCATTTTAATTGTCGCACGCTCGCGATTTATCGAAGAATGAGTAAGGGTACATGGTTAAAGTGCAACACTGAAAGACATTACGAAGAGTGCGAAACAGTGAGAGTGAAAAAGAAACTGGAATAAAAAAGAATAAACACATTCTTCAAACTTATCACCAAATCTGTTTTCCCTTGAAATAAGTAATGTTTTCCATAAAAATTCCGTAATCTAATAAGTTTTCGAGTGGATGATTTGGATGCGTTTTGAGCATGAAGCGACGACAAGGTTCAGTGTTTCATATTAAAAATCGTGATACATTCTAAAATCCGTTTCTTGGGCCGTGTGCTGATGCTATGATGAATATTTTTTAAATGTCGCCTTTTGAAATGATCGTGTAGTCTCTGTCACACACAACACACACAAGCACACATACACATTCACGATTTTTCTATGTTTGATTTTCGCATACTTTTACCAGAAACCCAGAGACACACAGAGAAAATGATACATTTGTAAAAAGCATTCCAAGCGTTCGTTCATTGCGTACGGTCTAATTTATTACAACCATTTAAAGAAAATCGTTCCAAACTCGTCCCGTTTATACGACGAACATTGCAGTTAAGAACAAGTAAGAAAATGTAAAAGACAAGAAGAAGAGAAAAAAAATTGAAAGAAACAGAAATTTCACACTCAAATTGGAACTGAAACTGAAACTGAAAAGGCAATTTTCAGTGCTCTCGAAATAAAGGTTTACAATTTGCTTTCATCCTGGCTTATAGAATGTTGATAAAAGCGATAAAAGCGCACGTAATGTGTAAATGAGTTATAAACTCAAGGCCTGGTGGTGATGGTGGTGTTGAATAAAAAAACACACAACAACATGCTGAACATTTGTTCGAATTTTCTACATAGAAAAGAGATACGACTCACAGGCCGAAAGACAGAGAGAAAGAGCTTCTCTTTCCATCTATCGGGTGGCAAAGGTAGACGATGATATCGAATATGGGAATGGCGCGTGAAAACGGGACAACACCGAGCGACAAAGTGTAGAGAGCATAAACCAAGAACAACAGCAACGGCAACAACACAAAGAACAAGAAGAACACAAGTGAGACGAACGACGAACGCATCGATGGTGGAGAGTGCGTGAATCAAACGGGAAAATATATTTTCACTTTGCACACAGTGTTGCCCAAGGAATGGAAGAAAGAAAAATGGACTCGCAATTGTTGGTTTTGTTTTATTTTCTTTTTTTCTTTTTTCATTTCAGAAATATACTAGTATGGTTTACATTCGGTAATAAGTGCACGTATATTTCGTGGGTTCGAGGAGGACCAATAATGTTTATATCGGGGGGAGCGCGCATATAGAGCTCGTGGTCGATTTTCCAACATTGCGAATTCGAAATGGTAAAAGGGCAATGATGACAATGTATTGCCGAAAGTAAATTTCTATTAAAGAAACATTTACCCCGAAAATGTAACTATTATTCGAGATATGATTTTTATGTTCGCCAAAAAACAACGTATAGCTACTCTGTGCCGTCGTTTGTGTTCCGCTTTTCAGCTATATTCCGATATCTTTGTGTATTTGTGATGCTTATACCGCTTTGGCACTTTCTTGGATTCGGGAAATGGCCTGTGAATTTACCATGTTTCAGAAGCACACGCCAATGAAAAATAAAAATAAAAAAAATAATGCAAACGACTGAATGAACAAGCGAGTGAGCGAGCGAGTGAGCGAGTGAGCGGGAAATACACAACGTGTCACGAAAACAAATAAAACTTTTCAGAGCATTCTGGCTGTTCGTGTCAAAAGTCTCATCGTTTTTCCTCTGAAATAAAAAAAATCACACACACAAACAGAGTTAAGAGAGAAAAGCTTCGGAAAGTTGCAAAAATGAACATTGTCACGGCGTATACAATATCATCTATGTACGACCGATATGCACGATATGCACAATGTAAAATGTAATGTTGACTATCGAATGGTTGAATCTCTCGCTCTCTTTCGAATATAGATTGTGAAATAATGTAAAATGACGGCGAGACAAATCGTTGAGTACGCGCGCGGTCGAGTGTGAGCGTGCACAATGAACGATATATATATACGATTTGGAATTATCTGAATATTTCCGAGTGGCTAACGTTCGATGCCTTTTAGCCCATCGTCATCGTACGTACTCTGTGTTTGTAGTCCTCTGTTGTTGTTGTATTCGGTTTCTGTTGCTTCCAATGTTCAGCCGTTATTTAAGCATATTAAATAAAATTAAATGACCGACCTATCTAAAAATCAAGTTTGTATCACAATTCATTAGCTTATTGCTTATTGCGTACTTTAAATAACGACAGGTCGACCATTTATAACTTTTCGTGTCCCTTTCGGCTTTCGCTCACGCTCATCTCATTTACCAACTGACACTCGGGACACATGGAGAGCAAGAGAATGAGAATGAAAGAGAATGCGGTGAGTGCATTGTTTTTGTGAATGAAAGCTTACATAAAATTTCGACAGCTAAAAGTAAATCACATCAAATATCAGTTTTGTACTGTTGCTGCTGCTGCTGCTGCTAGTGTCGATGTTGCCGATGCTGATGCTGTACAAGTAAAAGCTATTGTGCTATCGCCTGACTGACACAATCCTGTTCGATCCAAGACTTTGCTCCAGAACTTTTGCTCTGCTTCTTTTGCATTTGGCTTTGGCATTGGCTTTGCTGATGATGCTGCCGATAACTTGCCATCTCATCGTAAGCCATGCTCTCTTTCATTCGTTCGCTCAATTTCTCTTTTTCTCTTCCAATAATACACACAATACAAGCCGAAGTGTGTATACGCCATGTACGTTATATTGTACGAAAGCTGGCAACCGAAGCACACGACATACGACGCGCGCGATACACATACCAAATGTATGATGGCATCGTGCCTGCTGTTGCTGCTCTTGCTGTTCTCCGTGGAAAACAATGCATAGGTGCGACAGCGAGAGTCAGTTAGTTCATGTTTATATGGTGTATTCGCTTGCTCATCCATTTGGAATATTTCGATACTGATATCTCAGGCGTGCTGCCGTCAGCATTTCACTTTATTTTCAGTTAGGGTGTTGCTTTTCAAGCATGAACATGGGCCGTAAATTCGTTGCGATTATTAAGAATAGCAAAAAAACAGAATTCGTTTTCGTATGTTAGTATAAAACTGTTTTGTTTTAATTCCGTTGAAGGAAAGTTGAAGCGAGAAAAAAAAAAGAATTTTTATTGAAGCGAATCGAATCGGTCCGGGAGAAAGTTATTGCTGAAGCCTAGAAACTAATAAAAAAGTAATTTTTTTTTCTCTGTTACACACTGGTTCGTTCTCATTCTGTTGTTGTTCGATTGAATATTTTTTTTTTCGTTGTTGTTTTTTTCCCTCTTGAAATCGGTTTTCAACGAGATTAACAGTTTCGTCGTTTTAATTAGTACTTTTTGCCAATGAATATATATCAAGCGGTGGATTCACACAAAAGATACGCAAGTAAGCAAACATCGACGACAACGACAAAGAGTAAAAAAGAAACGTACCATTAAAAGAAATAAAAACGCATGGAGAGAAATGAGCACAAGAATTATGTAAATTCTATTAATGTATATGAATAAAAACGAGAGCATTGAAAAGAATAAAAGAACAAAAAAAAATTACAAATTTTTGGCTTTGGTTTGTTGTTTTGCTTCTCGATTTTTCATTTTTTTTTTTTTGTTGTTATTTTTGTTCATGATTCAATAGTTTATTCTTGTGTTTGTTATTGTCATCGTCGTCGTCATAGTCATATGAGTAAAACGACAGTTTTCCGTGTTTTTATTGCTCGTGTGGTGGCCGAATAAAAAATCAAAACAAAATATAAAATAAAAATGGATGAATAAAAACTGAACCGAAATAACCAGAAAAATAATAATAATAAGAATAAAAACCATAACAACTATTGCAATAACAGTAATAATGTATGTATGTTTGATAAAGCAACAGTGGTATTGTTGCCAAAATACAGAAACAAGAAAAGTAGAAACTGTGAGAGAGAGTAGAGAGTATAGCATCCAGAAAGGTTACTTGTTAATCTTCTATAAACATCTCCAAATGAATAGTACACAAAATGTATACGTTAAGTATATATGTACATGTATCACAGTAAAGAGCAGGAGAGTTAGAGGGAAAGTGACTCCTATCCGAGAGACCCATTCGTATTTTCCATCGCAAAGGAAAAAAAAAACAAAGAAAAAATAAAATAAATTGTGAACAAAGTATATTTTTTTCTGGTCTCTTTTTCGCTCGATCTCTCTCTCTCTCTCTTTCTATTCATCTCTCTTTCTCGTGTTATTTTTTTTGTTCTTTTCATTTTTGGTCGTTACAGCGCGAATGAAGAGCGAAAGAGTGTCAGTGCTAGTGCGAATGCGAGTGTGTGTTTTCTTTTCTTGTAATTTAATATATGCTATCGTCACTATGAATTGTGTGATTTGTTATTTTGATGTTTGTTCTGAAATTAAAACAAATATTGCGGTTCGGTCCTACTCATGAAACTGTTTGGATTTCTTGACAATGAGATGATACGATGAAACTCTGTCATTTTCATGTACTCGTTGACGTTGTCGTCGTCGTCACCATATCACACCGTCTTCGTCTTTTTTCTCGTTTCGTTTTTTATTATTATTATTTTTTACTCCGGCTTAATGTACCAAACCAGCCATCGCATTAATGAGCGTGAATGAGAAAGAATGAAAAATAATATAAATAATGTTGACCCAGAGCAAGAGTTCTTGTTGAATTGAGCCAAAACCACGAAATGAAATCCAAAGAATTGCCAAAAAGCATACACAACCTTAAAAAAAAGACCGACGATAAACATAGTGTGAGAGAACGAAAAAGAGAAATGATAGCGAAAGCACACGGTCAAAAGCGAAATGTGCAATGCATTTTCATTTGATAGCAATTGAATTGAGGGATTTGTCGGGGGGACAAAACGAGCAAAGACGATTCAGGTATGTGTTCAGAAAAGATTAGCTTAATAAATAATTTCGTGGAAAATATAGACCTTTTTCTGGTGTCTGTACATCTCTATGTACATAAACGAGAGAAACGACCAGAGCAAACAGTGTTGAGAAAAGCGCGAGAGAGAGAAATCCATATAGATAGAATATATGGTGAATGGGGCAAGGAAAGAAAGTAAAAGGAAAAAAATAAATATGAAAGAATAAAGAAAAGCGCCGCAATCTATTCGCAAAACGAAATCCATAATTGGACTCGTTTAGAGGCTATGGTATTAGTGCGGTTCAAACCTTTGACCATAAATATGATCAAAAGTAGTTTTTGAATGCGAGTTTTTGATTTCAAAACGCACCAATATTATTAATATATGTATAAGGATTGAGAGCAGTTTAAATAGCATTTGAGCAATAAGAACCGATAAGCGTTTCGGACCAAACGTGCAAGATACGTATTATATTTATATATATAAGAGTGTACATCATGTGCGAGAGAAGAGAAGAATCGAGCACACACAACACATTTTATGCGTATACATATATTTTGATCCAATGTGGCAGTTGGCGCGTGTGTGCATATTTCATTGTGTGTTTTATTCAAGAAAGTGTATGCGTTATTCACAACTTCACTCTCGTTTGCCTTCTATTTTCTTTATCGTTTGGTCTAGCGCGTCCGTTTGCCATTCGGCGGGATAAGAAAAAGACAAAATTTCGAAGAAAACGGAAAAGACGAAAAAGAAGAAGTAGAAGAAAACGGAAAAAAAGTCGAAAAATTCCAACGCTAATGTTGAACACAGTCCGAATTGCGAAAACGCTCCACCAAATCAAATGGAAATTCCATTCCGCTCGGGCTGTGCCAGGCATGAGCATTCAATTTATTAGCTAATTTAACAAGAAGAGTGTAGGATAAAAATCGTCACTACCATCATCACCAAGATGAACGAACGAATGAATCTTTCATCGGACTCTTTAATTCTACGATTCCAATAAGTACGCACGCTGCAAACCCAGACTTTGATTCCACGTTCCTTTGATTCCCACTCAATAATTTTTTTTTAAAAGGGTGCACATAATCGAAGTAAATAGAACGTTAAAGACACTCAACTTCATTTGGTATAATCAGACCAAAAGAGAGCAGAGAAGAAGAAGAAGAAAAACCTCAAATAACAAAATATCTTTCTGTACCACATTCTCACGCAATCGCACTCTAACACTTCGAAACGAAGTGAATGAAATCAATTTTACTTATCTGGATTCCGGATTACCAAACAGAAAAGAAGTAGAAAAGAAATGCTTCGGAATTAAATGGAGAGCAACAATAAAAAAAATCACACGAAAAAAATGGAATAATACACGCTTAGTAGCTTTTCATGAGGAACAAAAAGACGGCAATAAAGAAAAATTGAGAGGAGACTGTATAAATATGGAATTTCGTTTGGAAAATGTTTGAATTTAATTCGATAAATATTGATGTGGTACGAAGATCACGCATTATTCCCATACAACATTCAATTGAATATTACATGAAACGATGTGGCTATAGCCATTACATTTGCCTTCGCCGCCATTGTTATCATTTAGATTGATCTCTTGTGATTTCTTTTTATGTGATTCTTACGAATAAATGACAATTTATAATTGATAAAACCATCGACCATTCTCTTTTTTGGCACATTGTCCGATATGAATAATTCGTAATGAGTCGCTTTTACATATCAAATTCATATCAAATTATATTCAGCGTCGTTCATGGCGCGCTCAGTGAATGGGAAAGTTGTGTGCCGGGACTGAGGCACGACAGGCAATGAATTCACGTGGAATGAAAGGTGAAGAAAAAGAACAACAAAAGAAAAAGAAAAAGAAAAAAAAGACGAGAAAAGAAAATAGAAAAAGAAAAGAAAATCTGGTGGTTGTCGTGAGACATTATGATGTGAACGCGACGACGGATGTCAGACAAGTGCATACGATGTAATATGAAGTACATTCAGTCATGCGCTGGTGCTTTTATAAAATAAAGTGAAGTTGCCAGGAAATTCTTTTCTTGTGCCAAGGAAATTGCAATCAATAAACGTTTTTGCATTGCACGAAAATTATTTTAATGGAAAAAAACAATTAGGAGCTATTTCAGTCGTGGCTTTTTTCGCCTTCGTTGCTATCCACATAAATGTCCGTGATGCGATTTACAATAAAAAATGAATTCTTTGCCCAACTATCTAAACTCATATATATTCGCCGCCATAGCCAAAGGAACCGTAGATAGAACGCCATCGCGATATATTAAGCTGAGAAAAAAGAAAGAGAAAATTGATGCGCATACGCATTTTAAACCAAAAACGAGAAAATTCTCACAAGTGAACGCACATTTTAAATGTGCAAGAAAAATATATATATTAGGGTGGGTCAATTTTTTGCATCAAAGCATCATCGCGATTCTGGTTCTATGGATCATAACAAGCATTTTTGCCCAAGAAACCGTATATCTAAAATGAATTTCGAGCCAACCAAATTTTTCTCTGAAGATATTTTCCAAAATATTTAAAAATCGACTTAGATGTTGTATGAAAAAGACAAAAAAACCGAGCCCATTTTCACAAAAACTAAGATCCCCCATTTGGAGTCAAATACTATGAGACTATGGGTTATTTTGTGAAAATTTGCTTGGAGGGCATCTGGAAAAAACACTTTCTAAAGGTTTTTTGGCATGCTGAAGCCGAATTTTTGGGTTTCAGGTAAAAAAAAATCAGGGGTTAAGGAGCTATGACCCCTAAGGGGTGGGGAGAATGTGAGGGCAGCAGAAAATATCTTCAGGAACTCATTTTGGACTTATGGTTTCTTGAGCAAAAATGCTTGTTATGACCCATAGAACGAGAATCGCTATGATGATTTGACCCACCCTAACATATATATAAAACGCAACAGCAAACAAGCAAATGTGAGCCTGTTTTAAAAATGGTTCGAACAAATCTTCTTTGTCATCGTCCTCTTCCTCTTCTTCAGCTTGTGCTGCTTTTGCTTCTTCGGTTTTCTTTTTTCATTTTACCAAATTGAATGAAAATTGTAAAGATGGAGACAAATGGGAAGACGCTAGTCTATTTTACACAGTTTATATTGTCGGGAGCAAAGCCAACACATCGCATAAAGTAATGTGTTTGAATTTATTTTACCATGTTCCCGCAAATGGTGCAAACATAGCGTACAACAATACCGAAGAAAAAACCCGTGTAGAGAGGCGCACATATACCTTATATGACCGAGAAACAGAGAAAAGTATGTGGAAACAAGTTATGGTGTGTGCGCCTCATTTGGAAACGGTTCATGAAGTCATGATCATGCTAAAACTACTAAATACAATTCAAATTCAGTTGCTTTTGTGTTCAACTTCTGAATTTTCATAAAACTTTCATAGAGTTTGATTGTTTGTTTGTTGTTTAAAATTTTTCGATAAAAATTTGCGAACAATTTATTCAGTTGTGTCGTGATGAATATTTGCTCTCAACATATACACATGGAAAGTTTCCATTGGAAACAAAGATAAATCGTGTGTGAAAGATAGAGATAAAGGGAGAGAGAGAATGATATTTCAACTCTCACTCGAACATATCGACTCCTAGTATTTAACTTATTCATACAAAGCCAATAGATTTCAATAGATGAAAAGTTTTTGTCAATTATTTTCTTATTAGTACACAAAACACATACATATATACGTATCTATTCATCGAATAAAAATATGGAACATGCACACGAAGATACACATAACGCGCGCACACACAACAAAGCACAAGGGAACAATCGCTCGAAGGGGATTCACTTGTATCGAATATATCGTTTGGCGTGTTGCCAGTGTACTTCAATGTGCATTTTCGGGATGGGCATAAAAGAGCATATTCCAGATGCTTGGATGATGTCGTTAACACTGAAATCATAACCCCCGCACATTTCTTCATCATCATCAGCTTCTGATTGCTGTGTTATTTGGGCTTGAATTCAAGAGTTAGCTCCAAATAAGCGGTACGTCATCTCAAATGCTAAAACGCTCAAATGCACATTCATTTTTAATCGGCCCTCCTGCAACTAACATTCATAAACACACACACATACACGCACACAAAGAAAGCGACACACGACATTGATGTTATTTGCAATGTGCATGGAGCGGCATGACAAAGTCTCAAGAAAGGAATTTGGCATGCAAAGTCGGTGCATTTTTTATCAGACGAAACATGAACCACATTCTCTATCTTTCGCTTGCTCTTTCTATTTCTGTGAGTATCGGTTCTCGATGACTCTCTTTGGAGAATTCGTGTAAGCAAAACATATACGACAAGTGGGAACAACAAGGAAATATGCAGTAGGAAAAAGCATGGCAAATAACAAAAATCTTGCGGTTTGATGATATTTTATCACTTTGTGAGAGAATTAAACTGACTTATTTCTCAACATGGAAACGCTTTATGGTGCATCGAAAACAATTTTTCCGTCCTTAAAAACTTATATAAACTTCCTGTATCTGCACATACAAAATAATATAGAGAAACTGAATAAGTAAGAGTAGCGCGCATACGAATGCTGTTGGCTCATTTCCAGCAATAAAAACTTTTGATTGGCACTTTTCTAGCACAACAAAATAGTTTAATTTGTTTTCCGAATGCTGAGACTACTGCATAATAACAGAGAAATCGCACTCCCTCGCCTAATGTGACAACACACGGCGGCGGTGGTAGTGTCGTCGGTGGCTTTAATGACAAGCAATAGCAGCAGCAGCCAACAACTACAGTAAACAGTGGCTAATGTGATGTGGTAAAACAATCGAGGCAAGCAAACGAACAAATGAACAACAACACCATAATATATACAATAACTTTCTGACAACAATATTGTGTGTGTGTGTGCGTAATATATCCACCTTGTATGCACCGTGTAAAATATTATTTGAGTGGAAGGTACGAATATATAATGGAAGCGTTTAAAGACAAACAAGTGGAATCACATAATCCCGCCACTTGATGCTGGCTGCTGGCTGCTGGCTGTGTACACTTGCCATGAGCATTGAATCGACCATTCAACCAAGCCATTCCCATTGTGCGGCATTGCTTTTGCATGTACTCTGTGCTGTGTACTCAATGTGCATGCGTGTGCAGATGCAAACGCGCGAGCGTGATCGCTGCATGTGTGCCTTAAAAAAACATTGTTATGTTTAGAGAATCTTCCCACCGTGCTTCGGTATATACTTGACAACGTCATTTTTGACAAACAGCGCATTTTCACGTACCGTGCATTCAATCAAATCGAATTTGTGTAATGGTTTTCGAACCACAAATTTGTACAGTGCTCTTTGACTTGATTCTTTCACACCACATCCGATGTGCTTGTTTTATTATGTCAATTTTGAAAACAGGCTAAAATATATGTAGACACTTTGTCCTTTTCTCTCTTTCTATCTCACTTTTTCTCTCGCATTCAATTCACTCGTTTAAGCTCATATTCTCTCCATGCTTTTGTTCAACATCTAATCCAATTTGCATTGTTTCATTTTATTTCAGGTTGTAATGAATGAAAAAGACAACACCAATCAAATAGAAATACACTTATCGTAGTCTGCTGCCCCCATACATTTCATACACACATTTTCATTTTATATATAGATATCAATAAATATAAAAAGTATCTGCATAGGAAAATAATATAATACACACAATATCCTCTATCGTCGCGTCATTCACTATATTTTCACACATATTTTAAGGAGTGAAAACACTTTCACACACAAATACCCATGCACGGACACACACATACACCCGATGAAATACAGAACTTTGATTCTAAAAGTAATTATAGATGACCCAAATGGTAGCAATCACTCGGTATCTCATTTTATTTGTATTTTCGTAACATGAAAATGTTCGGCCAATGCATCTCTCACTGCGATGGTGTCTGTGTTGTTGTCATCTGGACACAATGCATACTATGATTGAGAAATAAAAGCGAGTAAAAGAGAAAGAAATAGAGAAACCGAGAATATAATATGGACACAGACACGGTAAGCGTATTGTATAGGGGCAAAAACTTGAACGCTCTCGAACATACAACTGAACTACATCAAACTGTTTTGCACAAAGAAAGATGGCAAAAGCATGGAAAGCAACCAAATGCAGAAACAAAGCCACTTTAAAAGATATAATTAATGCAATTTTGTTTTTCAGTTGATTTCAATTTATATTCTATTCAGTGCGCAAATTAAAATATCTCGGCAATACGGTACCACATAAAATAAACATACATAAACCTATGAACCACAACGAACAATCACTGTGGTGAAATGGATTTTTTGCTGTCGTTGTTGTTGTTTCGAACCCACAATTCTCTGTTTTTCTCATTCTACATTTCGCTCTCTAGCTTCATTATTTTAGTTTAAAATGTATTTTGTATGAGTCGGTAAACGCGAATATTTTCGTTACAGTTTTCATTAACAGTTTTAATCCAAAGTACATAAAGCATGAAAGATTTTCAATTATCTCATCGAAATTACATAAATGAGGCCGCCTTTTAACGGGCACATCCAGAGGGCGTAGCAGATGGTCAATGTTCTCACGAAACATTCTCTTTCTCGTTTCGGCACTGTATCACTGTGTGTGTGTCTGTATGCGTGTGAAAGTACGTATGGATGAAATGACTGGAAAAGTGATGTTATTTATCTATGTAGAACATAGACATGGCTAATTTATTCCAGATAAAATGTAATTATCAACGAGCGACGCTTTACTCGAGCTCGGCGCATGATTAACTGACTTTCAATGTGTGAATCAACTGAAAGCTCGTATCACCGTTTTTGATATAATTCACATTTTTTTTATTCGTATTTTTTGTCGTGTGTAAATCCTTTTATCATTTCAATTTCAATCTTCTTCTGTTTTTGTAAACGTTTTCACTGAGTTTTTTATCTGTTGGAAAATTTAGGTTCACTTTTTTTTGTGTGTGATCAACTACAATTTACATATCTATGTTATGAATGTGATACAAAATATTAATTTAAAGTGATCATTTGAATGTATACATATAGAGATAAAGGAGCAAATAAGCGAGATAGCAACGAGAAAAGGGACCGTTAAATGTGAGAGGCATGTTTTATAAAACTTTAAAGTGGAACCACCGATTTTTAAAACCATGATGAAATTGGATATAAATATTTTATAAATAATGGACTCAGAACTGGGGAATTGAGTTTTTTGTTCGTTGTGTTGTTGGTGAGTGCGTGTGTGCGCTTTTTATCGTCCGGATTAAGTTTTACATCAATGAATTCAACATAAATTCGAATGCCATACTCATGACAACCAAACATCAGCGGCATGATTAATTCATTCAAATTGAACAGCAACTACAGCAACTGCATCAGCAATCACCAACATAAGGAAATAAAAAGAGATTGACAGTGTGTAAATACGAGAGAATAAAACGAATCGAAATACGAAAAAATACAACCGGGCAGCAAACAAATAATAATAACAAAAAAAAATTGTAATTTTTCGATAATCGAAATTCAAATGAAAAAAGCTTTAACATGGAATATACTACAGCTATATCTACGAAACCAGCGTCTAGCACGATCGACACCGATTTGGCAGAAGTGGTTAAAGGTAAGAAACATACACTTTCATTACTGTCACCTATCATCTGTCGAAATTTAGTTCACTTTAAGACAACATTCAATGCTCTATTTCGATTTAGTTTGGTTTGCCATTCAATGCAACCGACCGAACTGTGAAAACCGCTCCGTCTCTCCATCTCTTACTATCGATCTAGTCGATAGATACTCTTGACATGTTGATACATTCTCGCTCAAGAATGCTTTTACACTTTCAACATTACTTCACCACACTTACACACGCATCAACCAATTGCCGCTGTACGTGTGCATGTCTTTCTTCATTCGGTGTTTCTGTTCACTTGTCAATTTTCAAACTAAACATGCTCTGTGCATTTTTCAACTTATTTATTTTTCATCGGTCAAAATCTTCGTTTTAATGGAACCTTATTTAAACTTTATTTAAACAGGAGCGCAAAGAAATAAAACATCAACAACAAATACAAATACAAATACACATAGAAAAAACAATGGATCTATATTGGATAAAATGACGAAACACCTTCCAAAACACTTTTGAATTCCATTAGATTAGATACATATGATATAGAAGTAAAAGATTTTCCATTTAGCAATTGGCACACATAATTCTCTTGCTCTCACTCGTATATCCCAATTGGTTTTGTCGACAACCCCCGAAAATAATTGCATCAGTGAAGCGAACATATCAGAAAGCAATTGACACAGAAAGTTCTCACTTTTTGGATCGAAACCCCTTTTCTCTTCGCACGCATTTTGTTCGCACCACCAAATCTATAGGCAATGTTTACTGAAAATCCTTTTTCCCTCAACACACAGTGTCACACACACAAACGTGTCAAACAATATAGTATTTGATTATAATTTTCATAGCTGGATAGATTTTCGTAACATCTGTGTGCATATCATACTTTTATTTTCATCTTTTCCCAAATAGCTTCTCAATTCACATCAAATTAGAAAGCTATATATATGTAATGTGTATAGTTTTGTTATTTGGTTCGTTGGTTGCTTCGTTTTTTTCTTGGCTTCAATATATCATTTTATTGCATATCATATGGAGCAAAACTTCGTTTTTTTTTTTTCTTTTCATGCGAGAAAAAGATATATTGACACAACGTACACATACACATTTGCGTCGAAAGAAAACGAGGACGTGAGCGCGTGCACACGCTCATTGACCAGCCTTCAATTTAACCATTGACAAGTTGAAAATGAAATATCTTCAATATAAAAACATGCTACAAAAATGTAAACAAATAAACCTTCTTCATTTGAATGAAACTTCGTTTTTTGGTGTTGAAATAAAATAAGACATATTGACAAGAGCGCATACACACAAAGTAATATATATTATGTACATTTGCTTCTTTCAAACTATATTTTTGAAATAATAGCCAGAACCTCTCTCTCTCTCTCTCTCTCTCTCTGTTCGCTCTTTCGCTTTTCAAATAATGGAATTCTGTTATGGAAATTGAATAGAAACGCATAAACCTTTTAACTAAGAAACTTGCAAATGAACCTTCCATCTTCATATGATTTGCGATTCGGTGAATCTGTTTTTCTTGTGCTTTTGCGTCGTGGTTTTTATGCACACGCTAACGTGGTTGCGAATGTGAGAAAATACTCAGCATCGGTGATGAAATATTATTTCTGCAAACCGAATAAAGACAATAAAAAAAATTCATTTAAATTCAATAAGAGTATTCGCAATACTTTTTATACACACATATTTTCATTTTCTTTTTGTACACACAAAGTAATTTCCATTTTTCTTTCTGGTGCTTTCAATTCGATTTCTGGTCTTAAGTGTGCATCAAGAAGAAGAAAACTAAAAAGCTTTCATTTATTCATTTTGGGTAGCACAATGGTTTTTTGGTTTTTTGTTTCTTACAACGTATAGAAATATAGATATATGTAATTTTATTCACACAATAAAAGTTTAAACGTCTTGAATTCAATGAATGACAAGACGGAAAAGTTTTGAAAAGATTAACTACTATTTTCGTTAAGTTTGTTTTTAAGCTTAAATCAAACTCAATGCAAATTCGGTGTAGTTACTCAATCAAAAAGCATGACGGGATGGTTTTTTCCTAGCTCCATTGTTGTTGTTGTTGTTGTTGTTATTATTATTATTTTCATCTTTAGCCTGGCAACTGTTAATAAATAAATTGTTTCAAAATCATCAAAAGTTAACTTTGCGAACATATCAGCTCAAAGTCACACCCAACATAATCTAGCATCGTATGGTGTTTTGATAATGAAAATGCTATTTATATAGATTGGCATTGACAATTGCCGAGTAAAATCCTTTGTTTGCGCGCAAAGGCTGCATCGTTCACTCCGTACAATACAGTATGAACAAACAAACGTGTGTGCACAGAGAGTAACAGAGTGTATTATGATTATTATTTGGAATATATTTGTGAGCAAACGAAAAATGAATGTCAAATCTCAACGTTTGTTTCGGATATCCCAACAAAAGCATTTTTCGCACGTACTTCAAACAGCCATTAACATCTGTGCATGTACTTTGAATTAAGATTTCCCATCTTTCAATATTTTTTTTACGCTGATTTGTTAAAAGAGCGCATCCTTTTCAAGATAGCGCGCTTGTAAAAATCGACCAAGTACAAGCACATGTACATGGTTTTGTTCTTTTTGTTTCTTTCTAGCTGAACGCTGCTTGTTTGCGTAAAACATCGTATATGTTTTTCTTTCTTTTTTTTTATTATTATTCTTTATACGAGGCTAGTCATCAAATGTTGCCTATGCCTAAAGCAAAGTCAAACGACAAAAATATTAGGCGCAAAAAAATGTAATCGTTTTTGATTATGGCTCAGTGACAGAAAAAAAATAAGGAAAAAATGGCATTCTCAACATCAACAGAGGGAAATGTATGTGATCAGACACACATAGCTAATTCGGGTCGAAACAACAATGCACAAAACATTGTGATCATGATGCACACAAAAAGAAATGGAAGAAGAAGAAAAAAAAAACTAGCAAAGAATAACAGAAAAAACAACTTAATGCTTGCATTAGCGACTCGAAAATTAGCAAGAGTTCAAACAATGCTTCTCATTTTCTGAAGGTTATAATTTATTCATTCCATCGGTCCCCTTTCCATCCGCTCCATCACCATTTCCCCGATCCTCGAAAAGTAAGACATAAAAATATTCGCACATAATTTTTTTGACAATGACCATTTTTACGAGCATAAAGTATAGAATTATGATATACTGTTTTTATTAATGCGATACAAACCACTACTTTTCTAAAACGATAAAAAAAAGCTCGGAGAGACAGAGAGTGAGAGCGCGCGTAAGAGTGAGATTTAAGGAAAATGAAACAATGATATTTTGGGGTGCCGTCATGCACAGAGTGTGTATTTTTCCGTTTTCCCTTTTTTTCTTCGTTTTTTTTTTTTTTCATTTTGTATCATGCAGATTTCCGAATATAGTCGTATACTTGAGATTGAAAATTCAAATGATATCCTCGCTTCACACGCACAAAATACCATCATACTACGTATATTCGCCCCATTATGCATATAATCACAAATCATATTTATGTCTATACAGTAGACAGAGTGAAAGTAGAATGCGATGAGTTCAAACTAGGCGACAGAGAGCGAAGAAGGATGAGCGCATAAGGCTTACCGCGAAATTACTAAATCTAACACAGACACATACACAAACACAGTATGTGTATTTTTGGCGGAAAATTTGACTTTGAAATGAGGAAGAATATGATATTTTGTAAAGCCCAACAACGAAATGCGGAAATGTTCGCAGATTTAAAACACAAGTATCCTTATTCGCAATGCAAATTTTTAGTGTGGTTCATTTCTTTTTCACTCTTTTTGTTTCATATTCGGTGCGGTTCATTCGCTCAATCTTCCGAATGAAAGGAGTAATATAGCAACGAAAACCACGTAACATTTCATCACTAAAGCTTCGGAAATGCGTTTGACGGTCTTACTCTCTTTTTTTTGTTTTTAATTTAAACAGTTGAAGTTGATATCTCCTGTCTCACTTGAATAAAGCGCAAGAGTCTAGCACATGCGCTATGAATTGTATTCTGTTAAAAATGAGTTGAAACGAAAATAATTTTTTTCCCAACGAATTTATGACATTTTAACATTTGTACTTAATGTTCACTGTTTTGTCTGTCGTTTGTCTTCGATTTTTCTTGAAATCTAATGAACCCATCAAAATTTTAAAGTTTTATTTATGTAATTTTCAAATAGTAATCGTTTGAAGTTTTTGAAACTAGCTAATGATTGTGATAGAAAATACTTTGATAAATTTGTGACGCTTGGATTGAAACTGCTTTCACTTTATCATGGCCACATTTGGAAAACAGAGTCGATTCTTTAATAATTCATTCCTGGTTTGCTTCAGATAAGTACGTATTTTATCCAAATTACTTTCTTTGATGTCTTCATCTAAATGGAATGAATTCTGCTTCAGTAGTTAACAAAGTCTTTATACATAATTCTCGGTACATTTTTCTTTTTCTCTTGTGCATGAATATTGACGTGCTGTATTCAGGAAGTACGTTTTTCATTTGACCACCGTCATAATATTACTCCTCAAAATAAACAAAACAAAATCGAACCGTATATTTTCTGAGAATAATATCAGGTGAACAAATATCGCCGTTCTCACCGCACTTAAAATGTATTTTACGTCTGAAGTTTGCCATCAGCTATGGCTGAGTTAGCGCTTTATGAAATAAGCCGCATGAAATTGCGTATGAGCTTGCGCCATACTATTCGAATTTTATCCATTGAACATTATGGAATTGATTCTCTCACTCTCTCTCTGGTGCACTCTTGTACAAAATGAGAGAGCAAGCAAGAGTGAACTATAAAAGAGAGAAAAAGAGAGAGAGATAGATGAAGAGAAAGGTAGAAAAAAGAATGTTCGCATACTACATGCATATATAGTCTACGTAAGTATGCCAAGATATTCGTATGTACGCGAAGGATTTTTCTGTAGATGTTCCATTAAAAACATGTATCGAATACATTAAATGAAACGTCTTTTGGCATTGGAATCTCTACATAGAAAGAAAAGAACATGTTCTTTTATTTTGTATTTAACATGTAGACGTATATTACATTTTATGTATTTGAGCGCATTTTTTCGCAGCCATTCAATTGTTTACCACTTTGGTTTTCAATTTATCAGACGTGGATAATAGAAGAAGTTTTATATGGATAAACAACTATGATTTCAAAAAGAAGAAGAAGAAAAAAAAACAAACAATTTTCGTTACAACACTAGTCCTATGTTTGGATTATTTTTGCTCGTTTATCTCCAGTTAACGAGATTTACAGAATGTATTCTTTTGAGTCAAGACATCTGATGAAAAAAGAGACTGTTGCTTCGTTTATTCAAGTATAATGGAAATGTCCAAACAATTTTCTGACATGAATCGTCTTCAATATTAGGAGAAAGAAAAACACGTACATTCTGCATACAAATCATTACACAAAGTGGATCGATTTTATATTCTTGAACACCCAAAACATCACTCGTTATTTATGATTATTTTAAATAAAAAAGTAACAATTGCTGATATATTCAACGTGCATGTACGCGCAAAGTTTTACGCAATTTCCTATGAGAAATGCGCATGCCAGAAATTGCACAACCGATTATGATGACTTTTTGATAGCTTAGGATTTATGATTAATGGTTAAGTGACCTTATTTATAGTGTTATTTGACCACAATATTTTTGTATGGTTCCCTGTGGGAACAACAATGTAAACTATTGGGAGTAAGGTCCCAAGAAGAAAAATCTAGCAAACAACGCCAAGTACCAGCATTTGTCGCGACCTACCGCTACGTATTTTTATCATAATTTTTGAAATATGTTTTTGCAGACAATTTCTTTTAATTCATTTATTTCTTAAAATGTATTGATATTGTAATGTCGCTCGTTGCCTATTATTATGACATCTGGTAAATAGTAATCAATGGTGTGTAAGTACATAAGTAACATGTTCATTCAGCCCAGAGATAAGACATTGTTCGTGTTCGTTTGTTGGAATCTGAATTTCACAAATATTCGTTAAAATATGAGAGAACAATGAAAACATCAGTAAAACATTACATTTAATCAAATTTGAATGAACATTCGGTCGTTTTTGAAATGGCTCGATTTTGAACCAAAAAAATATGCTCGTTCGAACGTATACGAATGAAAACGACCTTTGAACACTGAACGAACTATTCGTACAAAAGAGATTTTCGTTCAACTCCTATGAAAGCGAACTCCTTGGTCATTACTGGTTTTGGTGATGCCATAGACTTATTCATATCAACTAATAAGTATTGGCAAACACTACTTTTTTCAATTTGAAAAACTTTTTCTATATTTTGATGTTGTAAATCTCACAGAATCTGTTGATTATTAAAGAAACATCAAAATATGTATACGCTTTTATTGCCGGTCGTTTGTGATCATTTATTCGAGCATTTCTCCTTTAGTGCTCTATTGATTGGCTTTTCAAAAATGGTCGATTTTTTGACACTTTTATTATTTATCTATTGAAAAACACTCGCAAAGATCGTTTATCATATTTTAAGCATTTTTCCTTCTATTATCAGTTCAAAATCTCAATGATGCAGTGAAGATGCTGAAATCTTTTTACATCGAATTTATATGAAAATGTGCTGTAATGCTGAAAAAGGTTTTTCATTCTTTATTCTATTTAAAAGATTAATTCATAAGATTCAATTCTGGTGATACAAGGTCTGGCAGAATAGTTAAAAGTGACACTTTTTAAGTAAAAATCAAGGCACACCCTCTTTGGCCTACCAACACCACGTTTCCAGCATTAATTCAGTTGTAAAGATATATGCTATAAATAAAACTCTGATTTAACTGAGAAAATGTAATTTATTGTGTGCAGTGTGCATATTATATATTTTTTTTTTATCTATTCTCGCAACCAAATGCTTATATCGAAACAATCGTGTCAAAGAATCTACTAAAGTATAATAATTCAATGTAAATTTCAACACAAAGCGAAAAATTAATTCATTTATAGAATGGTCGTTGAAGCAAAAGCGAAAGAAAAGCATAAAATTTGCAGCATATTCTGTGTTGAAAAATTTGCATTTGATTTTTTTTTATATGTCTTGTTAAATTCCGGGAACAAATTTTACATCTTGTCATGAATAACCATGGTGTGTTATCATCTCATATAAAATGTAAAAATCAAACGAAATTTTGGTGATGGGGAGTGGTAAAAAAAGACACATTCATTTTAAAAGACTCTTCATACATCGATGATTTTGCATATTCATTTATATTTATTGAAATAGAAAGAGCCAGTAAAAAATAAAAGTGAAAAATTGCAAATGATTTTGAAGATTGTGTGTGAAACAGAGAGAATACAAATTTACACCCTATTCATAATAATAAATAGAGAGTGTGCGTGGTGTTTTTCTTCTGTTGCTCTACTATACTTTCTTTTTTGTTCAATCTCACTTGAATCACACGTAGAAGGTTACACCGAATGAAGCGAAAATAAGTATCAAATTTAACGCGGATGTTCGTCATTCAAGCAAGAATATCTTTAGATGTACTACTGTTGATATGGATTATCGTATGCTGAGCGGTAAAAGAGAAGAAAAAGAGCATCAAGTAGCCAGATTTTTCTCATGATTTTTGGTTTTTCGTTAATATGAATAAAAACAGGATTACTTGTTACTGTTTTACACTTGAACGATTTCATTTAGCTAGGTTACGCTCACTTCTCGTCCACTTGTTTGGCGGAGAAAAAAGAATGAAGAGAGCATTCATGATTTGGTGATGGGGCCTTTGTACAGAAAATAGGCGATTTATTCATTGATTCTAATACACACAGCAGAAAGAACAAGTGAATAAAACACCAAATCTTTTCTTCCTAGTTTTTATTTGCGTGACGTTTTTTTTTCTCTCTGTCTGTTGTTGAGGCATGTTTTTTGTGGTTTTTTGCTTCTTTGTAAGTGTTTATATTATTGTGTCCAAGAGCAATAATAATACTGCCTATAGATTTATAGATTTGGCTCAATTTATTCTATAGAGAAATGCTGTTGAATGGAATGCAATACATTTTATGATAAATCACGCGGTTATGAATCGATTTGATTTGTTGAAAGCTAACATTAATTCCAATTTCACACAATCTATATGTATACTAGACGGGCATTATTCAATGAAATTCCAAACTCGAATTACTGCACAGCAAAAAAAAAAAATAAACGCCGAAAAAAAATCACTTGGCTATTTTTCCATTACAGTAAGGAATGCTTGAGTTGAATTTCACATTATATATGGCATGTATGTACGGAGAGAGAGAGAGAGAGAGAGAGAGAGAGAGAGAGTTGAATAGCAGTGCCTTTAGTTTTAATATGTATAACATACATGAAAAAGGGGGGCACACACACACATTGTGGACAATTCTTTTAAATGAACTCAACTTGATTTGCTGGAATGTGCGTGTGAAAATGTACTGTAAAACCACAATGTGAAACATTGGATACGACCGAATATATCGACAGAACGATAGAATAATAAAAAAAACATGCTGGTCCAAACGGTTGTTATTTGTAGTAAGTGCGTTATACCATGTTGAGCCATGGAATTTCCTTGCTTATTGTTTTGCAAACGCATAAAAAATACTATGCGCATATACTAAAACCCCGAATGAAAACCCAGCATTCCTCACAGATTTATTCGGTAAATTGAATAAGTTGTATTTTACATCATACAAATTGTGTACGTATGTAGTACGCACATTTTTCATTGGAATCTCACTCAATTTTGCATTGTATGATAAAAAAGCATGAATTTCATGGTAAACATCTCGACTTCATTTCACGATGAAAGAAACCTTGTTAATTTGAATTTTAAAACTCACCCGAAATATATATGTTACATGGTACAAAATGTTCATAAAAGTTTTGAACCGAACAACCCCAGTGATTGATAAAATGATTTTCCGAAAAATGTGAGCACACAGTTTCAGGAGCTGTATTTACTTTTATTCATGACACAATGTAAACGGATGCTATCATTAATATGATAAAATTACGGGTTAGACAATATTAATTGGCTTGTTTTTTTTTTCACTTCATTTCAGATGCTTATGACTTACTTCTTGATGACGGAAATTCCGAAACATATTTATCACCGGATTTTAAAATTTTAAATAGTTCATTTTATTTTAACGGGTCATGTGATGGGTGTTTCAACAGCTCCATCTTAACTCAAAGCAATATCATCAACAGAACAACTAGCGGATTAGGAAATACAACAAGCGACGAAATTACCGAGCTTGTGATTCTGGCTGTTACGTCTACAATATTAGGACTTGTGATATTAATAACAGTTATCGGTGAGTACAGCATTAAAAATTCCTCGCATTCTTGCTTTTTAAGATTTCAGGCCAATTTCAACAAAATTGTTTATTTTTTTAAAATACTTTCATATCGAAATGGATAAAAGTTAGTTTCATTTTTATAATCTAAAATATTTCGAGTAATATTTCCGTACTCCAAACTTGAGAAAATTGTATTTCTATTACAAAAAATGGTAATGGTGGGACTCTGAGCATTTTTTTCAGACAGATTTTTCAAAGTCTCGGACAATTTTTCAAATTCAATATGTCAAAATATATAAAGAAGTTCCAAACTTCATCAAATCTAAATATTTTTGTTTTGCCTATAGTACGTAAATGTGACTAAATCTTCAAATGACCTGAATCTGTCAACTATTTTCTGGATTTTTTTTTAGCTAGCACGGCATTAGCTCATTCTGATGCCATTCGTGTTGAAAAAATTAACATAGAAAATCCGTTTTCTCAAGATAAACTCAGTTTAAGGTTTTGTTCCGTATATTTTATTATTTTCAACAGGAAACGTATTTGTTATAGCTGCAATTATATTGGAACGAAATCTACAAAATGTCGCAAACTATTTGGTGGCATCGTTGGCTGTAGCTGATTTATTCGTTGCATGTCTTGTGATGCCGTTAGGAGCCGTTTACGAAGTAAGATTCACCAATCAATAAATTTCTTTCGGCATTTTGTTGAACATCTAAAAACTGTTCTTGACGCTTTTATACATATAAAGCAATTATATCACTTAATACCACTTGATTTCAAACAATCTACGGACCCTCAGAAAAGATAAGAAAAACCGAGGGTCTCATCATCATTATCTCTCAGTGTATCTGATAAAAAGCAATCCTCATGTCACATTACAGATTAGTTCAGGTTGGATACTCGGACCGGAGCTTTGTGATATATGGACATCGTGCGATGTTCTTTGTTGTACTGCATCGATATTACATCTGGTTGCCATAGCTGCCGATCGGTAAGCCATAATCCAATTAATATTTCTTTTGTAGTAAGTTTGAGACGTTATTACTAACTCGTAGCTACCCTAAGAGGGTTTTCAGTGCATTTTCGCTTTTTGCTCGGTTCTGTTTTAAGTAAATAGTAGAAAATCCATATTCCAACTCACTTGTCAGTACAATCAGTTTCTTTTAAAAATCAGTTTAATTATTAACAGGCATATCTTAGGCGCTGTGCTTAGTATTTTGTTGCTGGCATAGATCTAGAAATCTAGTGCCATATTATATTTGAGATATAAAAAAGCGTTAAAATCACATGTATCTAGTCTTCTTTGGCTCCGAAAAGGGTTAAATGATTTTGAGGTCAAGTGTTTTTATTTTCATATTTTGTGATGGTGAAATGTTATTTTGCCTGAAACGGTATAAGAAATGAATTAGACATCAGATTTGACAAGCATTGTTCGTAAATAACTACACAAAGTCGCTTAACAAAAGCTTTTTCAATAAAATATATTGGAATTGCTTGTTTCAATGGAATCGCATAATTGCCAATGCGGTAAAAAAGAATGTTGGTGAAATGTTATAGCAAATAAAATGGCTCAATGTCTTGTTCATCAGACTCAAATGAAAATGAATTTTATGTTGATTTTAAAATTTGAAAAAAAAAAAAAAAAAATCATGTATTCATTTGCAGTTATTGGGCAGTCACAAATGTTGATTATATTCACTCGAGAACAACTGGTCGCGTTTCTTTGATGATATTTTTCGTATGGATATCAGCCGTAATCGTATCGTTAGCACCGCAATTCGGATGGAAAGATCCCGAATATATGGAACGAATACAACAACAAAAATGTATGGTATCGCAAGACATCGGCTATCAGGTTTGTTTCGATATTCAATTATTTTCAATTGTAAAATAAACATCAATCGATGATAGAGAGAGAGAGAGTTATAGCAAATTCAAATTGACAACCGTATTGTTGTATCGTTTCTCGTTTCAGATATTTGCCACGTGCAGTACGTTTTATGTACCCCTGTTGATAATATTAATATTGTATTGGAAAATATATCAAACTGCACGAAAACGAATTCATAGAAGACGTCCAAAACAGACCCTTTCTGCCAACAATAATCAGGTATTGCATACATATTGACACACACACACACACACACACACACACACCCACACTATTTATGTATGTTTGCATATCGGCATTGGCAAACAATATTTTCATTTCAAGTGAATGACGGCCGCTTAATTTATGACCAAACACAATTGTTATATACATATTGTATAATAGAATTGTTTTTCGATTCTTTGTCGCTTTCATTTTGTTTAGGTTAATAAAACAATGAAGAAGTCCAATCCACGATTACGATTTCGTTTAACATCAAACTTTGTCAATCACGAGAAATCAGCAGTTTCATCATTAGGTTTAGTTGAAGGGAACTCCACAATCACAGTTAATACAGTCGGTGACACAGACGAAAGTAGTACAGATAAAAAAGGAATTGATATTATCACTACCACATTCAACGACACAACAAAAGAGGTGAGTAACAAACGATTTCAAAATTCAATTACAACTTTGAAAGTGAAATCAGTGTTTGCGCCATCTGCATCCAAAAATGAAATTTAAATTGAAAAATTGTTATATAAAATTGAAACAATTTATTATTTGATTGTTAGGTTACAACATCGCCATCTTCTGAAGCAATAGTAACCGTTTCGCAACAAGTGACGACACAATCGCAAAAGGAAAATCAAAGCAAAGAAGGTGAAACTTGTATAGCAATAAGTGATCAAAGCACCGGAAACGTTAATGCGAATCCATTAATGGTTTCATCTTCTCCATCGCATCCAAACCATCAAAAACACGACGAAATCCAAAAAACACCACCAGTGCTAGGGACAACGCAACAACCAACTCAAGTTAGCAAAGTGAGTTACAAATATACTTTTTTTATATTGCGGAATTGACAATCATCGAAGATATCAAATTGAAAAATCAGGAATCTTAGACACACAGAAATTTTACCATTGTGATTCAATGAAATTCAACATAATTTCTCTTTTTCGTCAAAATGTTGACGTGCAAATTCAACTAAAGGTCTATGTTCTACAGAGATTGTTTCTCAAAGCAATAAATGTGAGGAGGAATGCCCTGGGGAGCTTGAGGAGCAGAGATCCTCTTCAGTGACATAAAGAATTAAGTCAAAAAGTTTATCCTAACGCGACATACCTACCCAAAGTGACCTTCACTGTCATTACTTCGACGGATGACGATTGTGCCCGTCATAATAAGCTTGTGAATGAATTGAAGTTGAATCTGTATCCATGAAAAAATCTTAGTTTTTTGCGATTAAATTACATTTTGACACTCGTCGAAATAAAAGTGGTAAAAATATCAAATGTCCGTGTCCGATAGAAAGTTGCAAGTCAAAAAAAAATTGTGAATGAAGCACTTGACTTTGAAATCAATTTTGAAAATTTGATAATATGAAAATCCATGGTTTCTACATTTTGAACATTTCTCAAAATCTACGTGTGTGAAAAAATAACTCTCGGTTTTACTTTTGTTAAAAAACGCAAACTTTTTCAGCAAAATTGAGATTTTTTTTTTGTATAGAGATGGTGTGAAAATGATGCAATTATACTACGTAAGTCGTCAAAAAAAAAAACGTTGAACTTTCATGCTTTCCCAAAATAAATACGAGAAAATGTTTAATTCACAACACCAGTATCGTACTTTTCTGTAAAAAACTCAATAAAATATTCCATGTTTGAACTTATTTCCGTATTTTTTTCCACAAATTTTATGTGCCTTTATTAGATTTTGGTGTCAAAAAATGCGCATTCGAAGTGTATATAGCTAAACTGAAACCAAAATCGAAAACCTTTGTTTCTAATTAGTGTTTCAAACTCAGTTACGCCGTACAGAAAGAAAAACAAAATCCAAACTTTAATCCGAACAGCACAAAAAAAACCGAGTGTTCGGTACAATCGTACCCCAATTCCCCTATACATAAAATAAAAACTTGATTGCGCTGTAGAAATCAGCTTGACATTGAGTACGTTATACGTTGATTGAAAGCATTCGCTGTCCATGCTCGCACGATGGATTGCACTAAGTAAATCCTATTTATATGAAAAAACACGAGAATATTTCGTGGAACAAGTTTTTATTGGCAACTTTTTCACATGAAAAGTAGATGGTTTTTCATTGAAAAATGTCAAATTACATTCTGACTATACTACTCACGGCATTGTATCAATCTCTATCAGTTATTTGCTAAACCGCACATTCTTATTTGAATTGAATTGACAATACCGTGTTACTGACATATCTTTTATTGGTGCTTTTTGTAACCACAACGCTTGTTTCCGTTTTGCTCTATATATGAGAATACTTCCAGCCACTTGTACGAAATCTAATTCGTTTTTTTTTTTTTTGAATATTTTTTTCGCGAAATTCCGAAAAGCCACACACAAAAAAGTTAAAATGAAAACATTACGTTGGAAAAAGTTTTTTTCCCTTAATTTTAATTTTACATTCAAATAGGCAAAATCGGCGTTCTCAATTCAAAAGAATGAAGAACACAACATGCAGTTGACAAACTCTACGTGTACAGCAAAAATAGTAACAGTACCACTTGTATTGGTGTGAATTTTAGATGGAACCACTATTTGCATTATTTCTTCGATTTAGGGTCTATGCACTCATCACAACACAAATAAAACGTCAATATCATGTTTGGCCACTGAATATTTGAAAAAAAAAAAAAAAATCATACAGAAATCTTATTTAAAATGTAACACGAAATACAAATTGAAAATCTATATCAATTATAAACGTAACCAGATCAAAATTGAATAGCGTCATTTATTATTTAATTAAGCACCAATCATAATGCAATAATAATATCAGCTGTAATACAAAGTCTATTTTCATCTGATGTCAATTTAAATGTCTTAATAACGTTAATTTTCATCGATGAATCTATCATCTGACAATTTCAGTTCGAAATAAAATTATTCACCTTTTTCCGTTGCGACAAACATTTTATTTTTGAATATTGCTGGTTTAGTTTACATTGATTCCTGTAGAAATATGTGAAACATATTTTACAACAAATTATCGAATATGAATGATATGGTAGAAAACTTGAATAAACGTTAATTTAATTTAAAGTTATGGTTGCCTTTGGACGTAAATTTAAAAAAAAAACAATTGTATCAATATTTAAGTGTTATATCAGAGAGACTTCAATTCTTTGCACGTTATGGTTGCGCAAATATTTGAAATAAAACTTTATACATTCTGAAAATATTCTTTTATATGACTTCGAATTACTAATTTTCATAAACTACCCGAGTACACCGGCGGCGCTCTTTACAGAGCGTGTGCGCTCTTCTGAATATCTTTTTATTCATCTTCTTTACAATATAGGCAGCAACGAAGAAGAGCTGTATCATACACAGCAACGAACACAGTACATACGAAATATATACAAGAACTAATGCAATGGTTACTAGATTTGTTGTTAGTCACTCGCACTGTGTTTGTTGCTGTGTATGATATAGCTCTTCTTCGTCGCTGCTTATAATGTAGAGAAGATGAATAAAAAGAAATTCAGAAGAGCGTCAGTAAGAGCGCACACGCTCTGTAAAGAGCGTCGCCGGTATACTCGGGTATTCTCATCTTTCAAACATTCCATACAATGAAAAATGTCTACGAACATAGGTACACCAGAGTTTACGGGGGCAATAAGCCCTTTTTGAGTAATTTCTCATTATCAATTGTATTATGTCCCTTGAAAATTCAATAATTTCAGCACTATATTTCTCATTTTGAAAGAGCTTGCTCCCGTAATTAACCGAAGTGTTCAATTTACCAACAGATAAGTGATTCAAGTAAAAAAACCTAGGCAAAAAAAAGGATCTCATTTAACCCTTGGATTACCAACATATTTTCCTAATTCGTTTACCAGGTGGAAATGTATTGAATCCGAAACGCCAATTGGAATAAAATTCAACAAATATTTTCTTTCATGTACTTATAATCTACGAACATTTTTTAACATTATTGAAGAGGAAAAGAAGAAATGTCAACATTTTCGCGATTTTTTTTTTCAATTTGTGATAAAAATGTGCATTTTTCAGAACTGGGGTCGGGTCATGGATATATATGCACAAAAAACGAATGATTGTCTTGGCTACGTTGAAAATAAAGTGTGTTCTGAGTCGCGGTTTTTCGCTATTTTCTATAAACAAATAACCAATCTGGTTGGTAAACTATGAATAACATTAATTCAGTCGACATAAAAACTTTTATGTACAATCTATCACATTAACTCTCTCTCGCACCTGCACTGCCATTTTAATGGTTCATCAGGGTAAAATAGTGAGCATCCCTTGTGAAAATATATTTAGCCGACTATCAGTCGATTTATTTGAGACAACATGAGTGAAGAGTTAAAACGATCTGAACCATACAACTAGAACCTCAGTCACATAGGCGACTAAGCATTTTCAATCATCTGTAAATGATTTAGATCAATTCATTTCGATTGTAACTGAATTAAAATGATTAAAATCAACCAAAATATCCAATCTTCATTTCTTTTACACATGGGATACGGATACCGTATTAATAATTAATTCTTTCGACAATTGAGACAAGTGCGTTCAATTTGATTGGGCTTTTACTTTGTGTTCACCTTAACATTTCAATTAATCAATCGCCATAAGTTTCAGACATGTTCGTAACTACATGTCTATAAATATCCGATGAATATAAATCCGAATTTTCCGATTGATTTTTATAATGTGAGATTAAAAACATCCTGCGCTCCAGTTGTTCTGTCGGAATTTTAAAATCCATCCGTCTGAAATGTTGTTACACCAGAATATCAGAAGAAACTTTGAGTATTTTTTATATTGTGTGATTACTAAAGCACTAAATGTATTGCAGTATTTGTGTCTATCGCAAGCATAATGAATCGGAAAGAAGTGCGTAGAACTTTTTGATTCGATCTTTTTTAACATGCGTGCTACATGCCTGGGCCTGGATCGTTTCATATTGTCTGCTGCTTAAACGATTCCATGCCATTGTATATAAATATGGAAAATGAATATAAATGAAAATTGATATTGAGTGAATTTTGAAGTTAGTTTATTCGAAAAAATTCAGCGTGAAGCATAATTCCTCGATCTGAAATGTCTGGTGGATGGTTTTTTTCCATTGTTGCAAAAAAGTCAGTTCCGATAATCAAATAAATCAATCACCCAAGAGATTTATCAATACAACACATTTCATGTACAATTGTACATGTCTCTTTTTTTTGTCTGGCTCGCCTCACATTTTTACGCCTCACGAATTGAAATAAAAATATAGACAGAATTGTAAGAAAGTTTATCTTTTTTTTGCGCGCATCCGAGTGATGGATTCTATTGCATTGAAATCGAAAGCACTTCTTCGACGAATTTATCATTAGAATTCATAAAAAAAATCCATAAAATTTGATGTGAGGTAAAAGTACCTATCAGCATGTCTTTCATTTCTCTTCATTGAAAGTTATTATGACATGAGCATTTGTGTGGTTCGCCGTATTGAGCAACAGTTTCTAGAAAATAGTTGACGTGAATAGAGCCAAGCATTGAATTGTTTAAACAACCTTGACAAGTACGGAAGGAAATAATTTCTACAATAAAAGCGCTACACATGATATGCAATTACTCCATTAAATTAATAAATATCATCATACAATCGCTTCTGTGTGCAATTCATTAAACATATTGTAAGGGTTATTTAAGTGCAAAAGTAAACACCTAAATTTGATGTTATTCAGACGAAATCCATTTAGTATTTTGTGCTTGTTTACCTTTCAATACATTAGCGTTGATTTAAAATTACTTCAAAATATCCAATGTTTACAATTTGAGCGAAATTCAATTTTGGGAAAGTATATTTTCACTTGATTCATACGAAAGAAAACTGCTACACGTGCCGATTCTGCCGCCTACCTCTGCACATTTCTTTTTCTTGTCAAAAGTGTGTCCGCATTTTAATTAAAAGTAACATTTTTCATGAATATACAACACTGTTTCACAGCCATTGCGTGGAAATATCTAAGGAATCTGTCCCCCAGTTTCTTCATTTGTACTGGCATCCCTTAGAATACTTTGCAATAATATCGCCTCCCTAGTGCGTTGTATTTGGTAAATCGATATGGGTTCAATCGAGAAAAAAAAAAACTGTAGAACCAAATGGCAAGCGTCGACTTTTTCCCATATAACGATGATACACGCGCGCACATTCACAAAGAACATATAAATAGTACGGTGTTGCTCTTACTTGGATGGTATGTAATAAAAAAAAAAGAGAACTGCGATATCTCGAGAATGTGCCTTGATGCGTACTGTAATACAATCGTTGCGTAAAACAATGAGATTTTCCGCGCAGAATGTATGACATTTCATAATGGTTCGTTTAATATATACAAAGTGTAAAGGGATCTCATTTCGTAATCAGAGCGATTTATTTATTTGAAGTCTATAAAAATCATGAGAATCATGATATTTTCTTTTTAATATTTAATGACGATGATGCTATTATTGCAAAAATCAAAAATGGATCCGGAAATAATGGCATAAGTTGGCAAAATGTCTATTCCGTTGATTTTCTTGAGTACTTTGAGTAAAATAAAAATAAAAATAAAAAATATAAGAGAATATGTGTGTATGGTATTTATATTTTTTAATGGATATTTTTCTCATAAGAAAGAATACATTTCGAAAATTGTGTAATTTTCACTGAATCTTTTACGAGTTTTCTTTTTTATTTGGTTGTTTTTCTCACTCTTTCTCTCTCTATCTCCTCATTTCTTGTTCTAATTGCAGAGTTCAAAGTCTCGGAAGGAGACGCTGGAAACGAAGCGCGAACGAAAGGCAGCCAAAACGTTGGCAATCATAACTGGTGCGTTCGTTGTATGCTGGTTACCATTTTTTCTAATGGCTTTATTGTTGCCGCTGTGTGGTGAATCATGCCAAATAAACGATAAAATTGCATCTTTATTTTTGTGGTTGGGTTATTTTAATTCAACACTAAATCCTGTTATTTATACAATATTTAGTCCTGAGTTTAGACAAGCATTCAAACGAATTTTGTTTGGATCCCATCGAACAGGCTACTATCGGGGTGGTAAGTTGTAGTAGCTAGTTGGTTTTACTTATTACTAAGTTTATTCGAAAAAAACAAACAAATAAATCATAAAATCAAATACACGAATATTTAAAAGAAAATAACAAACAGAACAAAACATAAAAAACGAATCAAATAAACAACAAAATAAAACAAAACCAATATATAAATAAATATATTAAATAATTTAGAGCATAGAAATTGATAATGATAATCTTTACTAATAATAATTGGAACACAATAATGTCTATAAAATGCGTGGTGCCAATGAGTGCGATGAAGCGCTTAGCTCAACCATCAGTTATGTGAGTTTGATGCCGGCGCTATGCGGCACATGATTGGCTCCAAGCATTTCGAAATTTTTTTTTTCATTAGTCTAGTAATTAGCTTATGACAATGATTTACTGTTACTGTATAGAGGTATCAATATTTGTCAAATTGCACAGCTTGACGATAAATTGTATACGTGAGCATTTGTTTTAGCATTGAAAACGATTGATGATTGACAGATCATGAAAATCATGAAATCGATGAAAATTGCTTATTTTTTAACGGTTTCCAACATAGAAAACAAAAAAACAAAAACAAGACCATATTAGAAGTTAAAATGGCGAAATTATGATGAACGTTAGTTAGTTATAATTCATTTGATGCAAAAACAAGAACCAAACATAACCGTTTGGACACCTTTTCGAACAAGAAATAGAACTGAACCTAGAATTACGAAAATTCATCGGAGATTTCTTCGTACTACATATGACAATGAAGAATAACTTTTATTTTCGGTGTCAAAGTGAATGCGTGTCTCTGTGTACTTTTAAATAAAATTTTAATGAAAGGACTTTGCCTAGTTTTTCGCTCGATTTTCCCATTATATGTGAAAAATGTTTCTTCTAAACATCAAATGATCCAAAACAATCCAACTGATCTAGTTCCCTTCATGAAATGCTCAGCCAGAGCAAAAACGTGTCTAACATTTATGAAGAATTGAGATTTTTAAGAATGTGTGACAACTTCGATATGGATTTCTTCGTTCACCAAGTTCTAAGCACGATTAATTCACTGAAGAGATCCTATCGAAATTCCGTCAGTTGAATTTTTCCTTTTTTTAATCTTTGTGACTTTCAGACTGAAATAAACTTGTTTTTTCGTATTTCAATTTGAAATCGCAAAGAACGCCCATAATTCTGTTTTTCATTTTTGGATCATCTCAAGTGAGCCACGGCGCTGAAATCTCAAAACAAACAAACAATAAACGTCTATCTTCAGCAGCGGTGGCGCATTTGTCTTTTTTTCGAAATGAGGTCGCTTACGCAGGTCAAACTTCTCTGCCAATTTGTAGTCACATAAAGTCAAAAAAGTTGTTTGCATGGCTTTTTGTCGTTTTATTTTTTAAATCGTTCCTTTTTGTAAACATTTTTTTCGATGATTTTTTTTTTTCAATCTAACCAATGGACTTCCAAAGAAACTTTTTGCTCGCTTAAACCTTTTTGACGATTCTATTAGCTCAACTGAAACAAAAAAAATTCTATTTCTTTTAATATATTTTTTGTTAGAGAAAAACAAAACACTCTAATATATATATTCGCCTTAAGCTTTTTTGAAAAAAAAAAAAGAGAAAGAAACCAAATCCACCAACGCACCACTGAGCACACGCAATCCAATTATTTCTTCTTTAGCTATAAGTGTTTTGTGGGTTGTTTTGCAAATTTAAAATAAAAAGAATGGTTCGAGTTTTCTAAGTGGTTTCAGTAAAAATTGAAACGATTCGATGTTGTTGTTTTTCTTTTTTGTTCGCATAACACCGCGCATTTTTGTTTTGTATAGTTTTCATCGAAGAAATTCATGCATTGAGACCAAAATGTGTTGTATCATTTCATGTAAGATACGTTCCGTTTTGTTTCGCATCGAATTTTTTTTTAAGAAGTTGACATGCTGACACTTTGGTTTTGTACGCACGCTCGCACATCAAATAGAACGACGGTGTTTGTTTCTTTCCACACATTGGAATTTACGGTGAACGGCAATGTGGAATATATACAAAAGAAACGGTTTTGTCTGTTCCATGTGATATGGCGCGTGGAGACAATCGGACTGCAATAACATTTAACAGTCATCCGAGTTAAAAGCATGTTGAAAACATCACACATTCATTTCTTTATGATTTTGAGCAGACGCACTGGCTGAACGCCACTCCAGTATAATACGGTGGCTACTTATGAAATTGAAAAAGCAACATGTTAGAATGAAAATAAAAACGGAATAAAATACACACAAACTGAATAGAGAAAAGATGCTTGAAATGGATGCTCCATTCTCACTACGATAGATCTCTTTCTCTATTTTGTCTATATCTTCTTATGATTGAGCAAAACCACTGATTTAATTACCTAAAACGCAAAGACTAACACAACACAACTCACACTTTCATTGCGTCAATATTGACGCAACGATTGATGTTGACGATAATGATGATGATACTGAATATCTATTGTTTAGTTTTTAGTAAATAATAGAAATATTAAACTGAATGTATAAGAATAGAAGCAAAAAGTAAAAAAGCGAAAGAAAAAAAGTGCTGAATGCCAGCATTTAAAAATATAGGACTTATTTAGCTTGATATGTACCTGGTTGCAACAGAAAAAAAGACAATGAATTATTTTCGAAACAACTTTCCCGAATTCAGATTTTTTTTTTTTAATTCGAATGAAATAAATGGTCCAAAATCATTTGCATCACACTTAAGCGATATTCTACATGTTTTTTTGGATTTATGTTTCAAATTCGATCCATTTTACGGGAAATCATTTGAACAGCAATTCGGCAAAACGTCAGAATGGCATTCTCTTTTGTGGCATGGAATTCAGATAAACTCAAATCGGCGAGATAAAAAAATGACAACGGTAATTGTAGCGCTTGAATTTATCGTACTTGAAACGAAATTTAATGAAAATAATGACGATGAAGGCAAACACAGCTAATTTAACTAAGTTTAAAATCAAAAGCCAAACGTTCAAATAATTAAAGTCAATTCAACGAGATGCGCACCACCTCATTGCCAATCAAGCGATTTTATGGACGCAACAACTGTTCATCGACGATTTAACATCAGACAAAGACATTCAAAGCACGCCAAAAACATTAAGAGAAAGAGACACGTGATTACTGGATCAAAAGTAAAGCATTTGATTAATGCTTTGTGTATAATTATCTCGAATAAAATATGCTGAATGCCGACCCCGCCAAGAAAAAGAACGACGAAAATAAAGAAAGAAAAAAAATCAAGAAGAACAGCTAACTCGCTAACATTTATACAATGAGCTTAATTTTAAACGCGTTGCTCAAAAGTCGAACTCCACATAAGCTTACACGTTCCATTCTTTCGTTAGCATGCTAAATATTTTCTCGATTTTTTTTTTTTTTTTTTTTTTTTTTTTTTTTTTGCTTTGAACTGACTATAATCAAAATGAATAACAAAACGAGCAGAACGAGGCAAAAGAATATTTATTAATATACGACTCTACTGAAAAAACAAAAACAAAATAGAAATATTAATAAAAATAAATAAATAAATATTATGTGTGTGCGGCGATGACGACGTCGACGTCGACGGTGACGTTCATAAAAAGAAAATCGGCATTTTTAGGCAAGAAAATGTCCGCGAGAAATGAATGCACCAAGATTTTGATAAATAGAAAATCATAATTCATATACATATTCATAGGGAATATTTTATTTGTTTTCTTTTCTCTTTTCTGTTCGCTTTCGTTCATCTTGTTGTTTCGTTGAAAAATATATGTTTGTTGTTATTTCGTACAGTGTTTGTTTTTCGTTTCTTTTACTCTCTACGACTATTTCACTTTCTCTCGTTAGCTGCGTTTCGAAGTACGTACCTCTGAGAATCAAATGTTCAACCTTGTTTTCGTGTGAAGCGTTGAAAAGGAACATATCTGTTATCATCATTTGTTGACAGACTCACCCAGTTCGCAATTACAGTTGAAAGACATATTTAAGTATACAAGTTGAAGAAAATTGTATTGAGGTATTATTATTTTTTTTTGTCTTTCTCCATATCTCCGTCTCTTTTGCTCTGTGTATGTGTGTTTTATTCGATAGATCTGCGTTTAAATAAATTTCTAAACTCCGTGAAAACATAAAAAAGATTGTGTGTATGTGTGTTTGATGAATAATTTCTCGTCTCGCTTTTGACGGAAACTATTTCGAACTTCATTTAAGAGGCCACTTAAGCTCACTTTAGATGCAATTTTCTTTATTAATTTTCATTGCTGAGTTGAAGAGATGGAATGCATGGAGGCAAAAAACGAACTTCTTTTAAACGATTCGGTATATATTGTGATAAAATTGTTCTTTTTTATCCGCCACAGTCACATCCACATACAAACACACACACACTCATAGTCCGTGTGGTTTGACTTTTTCCCTTCATATTATTGTTTTGTGAAAAAGAACTTCGTGGTTCGAGTTAGACGTGATATTTTAATGGAATGAAACGTAAAAACAAATTTAAAAAAAAATATGTATATGTAGGTATTTGAATCATAAAGCGTGTGCTAGTGCACCTTACAAAGCTATACGTAACAATAGATCGACATAGTTGGCGACTCACCAAAATCCAAAAAACAGGAACGAAGCTTTCCATTCGCTTAACACTCCCCCCCTTCACCTCATACCATTATAGTTGTAATTTCTTTTTAGATAACCAATTTTTATCTGTTAAACCTTTGACGATATTATGTTTATCGACTTTTAATAACAAAAAAAAGAGAATAATTTAGTTGGAAAAATTCTTATTACCAATTTTTGGAATGTTTATATTTTTTAGACGTAAAATAACATCATTTTAAATTTTAAATGAAAATTTTGACAAAATAAATCGTTTGATGGATAAGTAAAATAAAATAATTTAGAACTAAATCTAGTCAAGAAAAAGAGCATTCAAAATGCACTCGGTTTATGGAAAAGAAAAGAAAAACATGGCTGATGGCATCGGATTTAATGTCAGGCTAGAAGAAAAAAAACGTTAAAAAAGCAACGAAATGTGCATGAAAATTCAGTTTGGTTTTAACAAACCAAACACAAAACAAAAGATGAATTGTCAAAAAGCATAGAAAATAATATTTTTCGGTTGGATCGTAGGTCGGTAAAAAGTAAATTAATCGTCGCATTTCTAATGTTCATCTAGATGTGGGGGAGCTTTTAGTCCCATTTTTTTTTCTAAATATGGGCTCCAAATGCTTATTTAACAATAACAACAACAAACAAATAATCACGTTGGATAGCCCCATTCATTCAACGTTCACTCATCAATGCGTTTTTTATCAGCATTTATCAGCATGCGGTTAATTCTTATCTCGCGCTCATTCATTGTATCACACGCAGTCTGACTTGAATTGAAAATTCCAAATGTGTGTACCTTTTTTTCGCTCTCTTTCTCTCTTTATTTCTCTTTCACACAAACACATAGTGCAATGTGCACAGCATCACATCATCCCTCCCGAATCACCGGATTTCGGAAATAATTGCGGTGAAAAAGGTGAAATTTCAAGCCATCCCATTGTGTAGATGATTTCCGCGGGAAGTATTTTTGCAGGCGCTCATCGACGTAATTAGCAATTCATAAAAGTGACTTGATTATACGGTATATATGAACGTACTTTTCTCTTTTCCACTCGCTTTCTCTCTCACACACACACATACACATTCTATTCTCTCTCTCTCTCTTGCCATCTCACTTATTTGCACCCTCACTCATTCTCATTGTATTTTGCTGTCTTCAATTCTCTTTCACATCTCTTTCTCTCTCTCTCTCTCTCTCTCTCTCTCTAAATATATATAAATGTGTGTTTCCATTTGTGTTGTGTCATTTATTGTGTGATCCATACTACTCTAGTATTCATTGTTTTATATTTTATGCCACATTTTTGAATTACATCCATGAGCGCAAATTTTTAATGCAGATTAAAGAATTTATTAGATTTTTGACGAAAGTTTATGTGTCATTTCCCTCCTCTCTCTCTCCCCCCTTTTTCTCTTTCGCCATCTCTTTGTTTCCCTTTCTCTTTTGCCCTCTCTCTCTCTCTCTCTTTCTCTTTCGGTTATGATTTGTTCCCTTTTCCTCGTCTCTATCCCTTAATATTCCCAGTTTGTGTGTAATTCATAATTCAAATTCAACGCACGCGGGAACAAAATGTTTGGTGATAATTTGATTGTACGTCACAAAACACAAATTGACATGAAACAATACTTATGATGTGACAAATGGAAAGTAATGCAACACATTAACAACGTGCTTATAGTTCTTAACGAAGCTGATCTGCGCATCGCTGAACAAGAAAATGCTACCCAAAAGAAGTAAAAAAGAAAACTAAATAACTCAACTCAAAACACAAACAAAACAACCATAACGAAAAGAAAAAATCTAATAAGTTCTTGCGAATGACATTTAACGGCATGCAAATACTTTCGAAATTTAATATGAAACGTCATCGGAGTGTATTAACGAGGACTTTTATGACGTATCGATATTGATTCTTGTGCTGATTCACATATGCATTGATTTAAAACAACACAAAAAAAGAGATCTAATAATAATAACAATAATTAATAAGAGTAATAAAAGTAATAATAATGATTCTTCAAAACTACACTATAAAAAAATCCGTTTATAAAAATCGAAGCCAAACAAAAAAAAAATCAAATAATATCTATTTTTTAACGATTGTGTATCATTGAATAGTCTATTGATCGTAGTAATTGAGTATATTTAATGAAAATGAATTGAGTAATTGCCAAACAAAAAAAATTAAGAATTATATATATGTATATTTAAAGAAACATTGAAACTTGAAAATAAAAGTGGAACCTTTTTTCCAATTTCATGCCATTTACGCTCTCATTCAAATTGCAATAAGTCACACACATACAAACACATCCAAAGAAAAGAAAAAACCAAAACAAAACAAAACAAAAAAAATACAAATAATATGGTGAACACAAAAAATATATTATATACAGTGAAATTACGAAGTTCATAAGCTCATTCACATCATAAATTCAAAATAATGAACATGATAATAACTGAACGAATATTCCTTCATTAAATTTACATGAGTCAATGTAGAAAGTTTTATATTATTTAATACAGTAACCAAAATAGAAATGAGAGAAAATGAAAATGAAATAAATAAAACAACAACAACAAAAAGAAGAAGAACAAAAAAAAATTACTTATAAATGTGTTGTAATTTTAGAAGCAACCTCTCTTTGTATCAAATAATCTAACGAGAGCGTACGCGCGCGCGTTCGTGCAATGAAGTACACAGCATCGTACAATACGTTTATTTGCATGGGGATGATTGGCTAAGGCTGTTGGACCAGCGCATTCCTTCTGCCATCAAAGCGAATGTGTCACACAGTCAGTCACATATTGTGACTATAACAATAGACGGAATGCAGCATAGGTGTTGACGAAAAATGACTATTAATCACCCTCAATTTATGAGTTCTATGGTTCCATGACACGATGTAGTATCGATGGCATACCCAGTTTTTTTGTTTCAGTGAATTTTTCTCGCCGAAATGAGTTACATTTTCAGGTTTTTCCACCTCCTGAGGAAAAAATTCAAATTTCATTCTATGCCCGTTCTAATTAATGTAGTTGAATTTATTCGTATACAAAAAATCGTTATTTTTCGTTAACACCTATGGAATGAATGGAGTATTGAAAAGAATATTAAAGAAAAGTTATAACTAGAGAAAATACAATGGTTCAAACGTGATGATTTTCCATGTGAATTATGTGATTGTACGTGTATGTGTGTGTAAATATGTGCGTGCGCGCGTGTGTGTATAGTTGTGCGTATAGTCAGAAGCTTTCCATGGAGCACATTTCAAAGTGTGTATTTTCAGAAACACTTCGAAATGTGAATTCAGGGAAACATTAAGAATAATTACGAATGTACATACAGCATAGAACAAAAAAAAAATGAAACAAGTTACAAAATAAAGTTATAAAAAAAGACATAAAAAATTGTGTGTTAGAGTGTGTTGATTTGTTGTTGGTGTTGTTTTTTGCCTACTTTTATGTTGGCTGACTCTGCTTTTAATGAGGTAAGTCGTTTTTGTTATATTTTCCAAGAAAATGCCGTTTGACTTATGCCAGAGAGTGTTGAGTGCATGACGGCGGGCGTCTGTAATGGCGATGAAGACGCGCTCGCCACTGGATGAAGATAACATACACTTCATTTGGCGAGCAGCACAGCAAAGGTGAGTGAGCTCATTGTTCTGTTGATGAAACGAAATGGCTCGCCGTGGGACGATGCCTTCTTAAAAATCATCTTTTGTTTATTTTTGTTATTCATTCTTATTTTTTCCATTTTCAATTTTTTTTATTCGTTAGCAATTGTTGTTCCTTTTACGATATTAAATTATAAAATCGAATACATAACGAATGTATAAAATCGAATTTTAACAAAAGTGGATTACTGTTTTCACTAAAGAAAATCTATACAAATCTTATTTAGACGGCATTTGGAGTCTCATCCGGTATCGTGAGAATTTCATTCGACATTTTGCAGACGTAACAAAAATGAGGAAAACCATCATTAATTTTATTGTGCTTTATTTTCACTTCACATGAAAACTTGCAAGTTTTCAAGTATTTTTCTCTTGTTAAACAAAAAAAGAAAACAAAAGAACAAATATGATTTGTGCGGGGGCAGTTGATAAGTTTGTTTGTGTTTCTACGTATAAGAGTAAACTTTGTTTTTTTCCTTCTCAGCCAAAAAAAGAAAGAAATGAAGAAGAAATAACAAAACATGGACAATAATAAATTATTTTAAAATTTCCAGCATTTTTGAAGTGTGTAAAAGTTTTTCGCGTGGTTTTCCACTCTGAGCACCCATTTCAGTTTCAAATTTGTCAATTTTTAGCCAGTCATTCCATGTTATTGCTGTTGTATACTTTTTAATGTCCAAGCCGGACTTTGTGCTACAATCAATTCGCTTCGCTTGAATATCATCGCATAGATTTTTTGCAACCAAAAATGAATTGCTCATGGTGGTGAGTATAACACCCGTTGGGCCCGTTCCCAACCACCCGCTGGCATATAGTCCACGCTCATATTTATCATCCACACTGGATGCATCCACACTATTTTGTTCGATTAACTTAAGAACTCGACCATGTTCGTTGCGTACCAATCCTTTGCTCGTATCAAAATTTAACAATTCATCATCGCTGTGCGTAATAACGTTTACACTTTTGTAACCGATGCTTCTTAATATTAAATTTGTATGTAATGTTTCAGCGTCATTTGTTGGTATTGCTGCTTCCGTTTCGGATAATCGATTTACGGTTAATCGCAATCGTTTTTCATTATTTGAATTATCATGCTCTACATGTATCGGACTACGAAAAAATATGGGTGAAAAATATTTTGATGTGGATGATGTTGTGTCCACTGATGCGTGGACATTTTTTAGCATTAGTTCGGTTATTCGTTTTTTGGGTCGTGGTAGCCTTCCAACAAATTGTTCATCAATGCCAATAAAATCAGTTGTACGCCAAATGGTTGATACATTTGGTAAATTTAACATTTCACGCAATTCTTTAATGGTGAAAGCAGCTTGAAGTGGACCACGTCGACCAACCAAATGAACCATTCGGATATTTGATTCGGCCAACGTTGATAGGGCACGTGATGTGATGTCAGTTTTTCTTAGTGCATCAATTGGCGATAATAAAATGCGCGCCACATCAACAGCAACATTACCCTGTCCAATCAGTGTCACCGTTTCACTGTTTCGCAGTTGGTTTTCAATTGACTCATAGCTCTCTTCACAATCCGGTAATCCATTATACCAAGCGACAAATTTCCGTGCCGACAATGTATTCTTATCTTCATCATTGATTCGCATTTTACGGTCTTCTTCGGCTCCATAACACTGTCAATGAAAAAGTAAAGAAAAAACGCACACACAAAATGTGCATAGAATGAACATAATTTAATAACCGAAACGATGACGACGATAACGAAGACGAATTCGTTTTTTTCTTTAAATATTATTTTCAATTGTAATCTACTTTACTCACCAATACAACGGCATTGTATGCATTACGAACGTCTCGCAATGACACATCCTTTCCCAGCGATAAGTTTCCAATGAATCGAACGCGTGGATTTTCTGCAACTTTTGTGAATGTATTTATGACATTTTTCACTTCAGGATGATCGGGCGCAACGCCAAATCTGCACCGATAAATAAAAATGTGAAAAAGAGAGAAAAGAAAATGACCATAAAATTCTTCCGTCAGGTGTTTGTATGCTCAATGTGTGAGTGTGTATGTAAAGATAGATTCTATTGCAATTACATGCCTAACCAATCCAAACGGAACGGGTAATTTCTCGATGATATCGATTCGTGCATTTGGTAATGTTTTGAGAATATGCTGTGAAGCATAAAATCCGGCTGGCCCCGCTCCAATCACACATATTTTTGGTTCGAATGCATGCGATGTAGAAAACTTGCGACATAATTTTTGCAAATTATAGACATTTCTGCTATCTGATATTGTTGTCCATAATGCAGTAATTTTGCTCTTGGTGCCAAAATTCATAAACTGTCTACGATACATATTGAACGTTTCGAACGATGAAAATCTATATAATGATGAAATAAATGGAAAATTACAACAATTTTGCGCATAGCAATTCACATACACAAAGTACCAAAAATTACCGAAAATTAACTTTGGAAGACACTCATCTATTTAAATGCGTCACATCTGTATTTTGATCACACATTCATCACAATTTCAAACTCCGTTTCAAACCAAAAACGGAAAAATAAACGGAAGATAACAAAAAATAATTTCCAAGTCTAACGAGTCTAAGTGAATTGTATTTACATAAAACTAGAAAGTGTGTACAACACACATTATTTAAATATTTGACATGACATTTAAGATATATGTATACACACCGTACTGAAAGCGTTTGTGGTGGCATCTACTATAAACGTCAACACATTTCAAAACTAAAACCAGAACCGATTCTTTTAGCACAATAAGAAAGATATACAAAGAGAGAGAGAGAAAGTGAGCATGAAGGATAGTAGACAATTGACAAAGTTTTATGGTGCACAGGGTTCGAGAATAAATGATGTAAAGTGCATTCGATGCACGTACACACAACTAGAAAACAAAACACGGAGAATACAACATTAGCAAAAATGTGGCTCTTGTATATTTTATCGAACATAAACACACATTTTGTAGGCGACGAGTTGATTTTGCTGAGTTTAAGAAAATATTCAAAATACAGCAAAATCAATAGCATCAACAACAGCAATATAAATGGCAACAAAATAGAGAGTGGAGACGGTTTGTCATACATAAAGCGTTTCAATAAATGAAGAACGTACGTTAATGTTTGCTTTTTGCTCGAAGCGAAAATGTACAAGCAAAACAATGGGTTGGACAAAAAAAAAATATAGCTGAGAATAGCAGTGAAAATCGGCCAGAGGCAGAGACAGACTGAAATCGAAAATATTTGAACCAATGAATACATCATGAAAGAATTTATTGTAGACTTTAAAGCTTGATAGAATTTGAGGCTTTTTGAGGTATCAAGGATTGTGCAAAGAAGAATTGCACGATTTTCAAAGCAACACATATAAAAAGAATAGTGCATTAGATGCAAATTGACTAATCATAATTCACACTGCATTCAAACGAAAACGAGATGAAAGAAGGCTGAATGCCATTTGAACTGCACGATAACTGTCGTATACTTTGTCGTTGGCATATCGCTGACAATGTGTGTATGGTTTTTTTTTTTATGCGATTCTCATTGTTTGCTCATTTGTGTTGTCTCGATATACCTCTTATGTCTTGCATATATCGACAACACAACACGCACGGTTGTGCACTGTTATCAATTTGGCAATTTTAACAGGATTTGAAGAAAAAGAGTTGACGAGAAAGAGGAGAGCGAGAGAGCGTATCAGCGAATTTCCACATGCAATCTGAAAAACATAACATGGATACACATTACACATATACAATTTGCAATGTACAATGGGTTGGATAGATTATGTTCTTTAGACCATCGTCGTCGTTTGATAATAATAAAAGGAATCGGTTTCATTAGCCTCTCGAAAATACACTTCATCTTATGCACAATACGTTGCATTCACTTCATACAACCAATTGTTTACATAGGCTACATTGCGAGAAAGTCATGAATAGACATGCATCACTCATTTAATTCCCGTAACAACGCATACATGCATTGCATTGTTATTCACTCACAAAATCTCATTCACAGTCATACACACGCACACCATATCCATGTATATGGAACGAGCCGATGATACGGAGCAAACGATTGAATGAGATGGAAAAAGGTAAGATATAAGCGATGCGACATAAAACAGCAGTTGCTTTTAATGGGTATCCTTTTCAAATAATTAATCGAATGTACTTACGTGAATAAATCAATTGAATTCGATGAAAACCGTTGATCGTCGATACCAATTTGTAAACGACCTTTGCCCGTAATCGTTTTGATAATATGGTGCGCGTAATTTTTTGACGAATGCCAGTCATTCATGTCTCAGCACCCTTTTTTAGTCTATGTGGTTGCAAAAACAACGGAACAAAAACGACAACAACGAAACTGTCTTATAATATAATGCAAACGGAGAGTATGTGTTCATTTATGTGTTGCAATATTTCGAATTAGTTCAGAGCTTGAATAAAATCATGAATGTAAATGCATTTTGCCTTAACCTATTTTAATCCGCCCTTCTGATAACATGCCATCGTTTATTTGCTTCTTTTTTTCTTTCTTTTTCATTGCATTCCCGTTCATTCCAAGCTGCCGACACTATTCTAAATAATCAAAAGGTGCAATTGATAACTCTTTTCTAGAATAGGGACTATATTTAAAAGCATTTTATTTAATAATGATGCATGCATTACGCTTGCATTATCTCGTCAATGAACATGGAGCAGTAGCAGCACCAGCAGCAGCAGCAGTAACATCATTTGTAGCTTGAATTTAATTCATCGAGGGAAAAAGAAATTGATCGGTGAACACATCAAAATCGATTTTACAGTGTGTGCAAAACTTGTGTGATTAGTTGGTCGATGACGGTGATGGTGGCGGAAAAATAGTATTAATCACGAACAAAATTAAACGGAGAGTGAAAATATGTTTATTTTATACATTATTTTAGCCATATTATGGCTATATGTAATATGGACTCGACGCAACATCTATATATTATCATGGAAAATGCCTGGACCCACTGTGTACATTCCAATCGTTGGCAATATTCTTGGAATGTGGAATGAGGAAGGTTTGTCCATGATCAATTTAATCCGTTCGTTTATTATGTATTGTTTCGTTTTTTTTTCTAATTTGTAATATAGCTTGTATTTATTTCTTAAAAATCTTGTGCAATTCCGTTTTCATGAAAATAACAAAAAAAAGTTTATTTGTTAAAACATAGAAAATTCAAAGTATTTGGACGAAATTAGTCAAAAGTATCCGAGCCCAACACGAGTTTGGATGGGACCGAATCTATATATTTTCGTTCATGATGCCGAATCGGCAGAACAAGTGCTGAAGGGACGATCAACATTAAACAAACCAAAAGTGTACGAAGCAATTCATGATGCGCTCGGTGGTGATGGCCTTTTTTCAAGCAATGGTAATATTTTGTTTTTCTCGCCATTGTCAAATGCAGAAACAAACATAGAAACAGAAAAAAATTTATAAATTTTTTTAAAAATTGTTTTGCAACATCTCCTTCAACATTGTTTCTCTCTGTTTTCGTATGAGTTTGACTTTTATTTTTCATTCTCGTTTTTCTCATTATGCGTTCACTGTTTTGATCGGTGAATATGCGTAGGCGAAGTTTGGAAAATGCATCGAAAACTCATGAGCCCATCGCTAAAAGGTAATTGAAGTGTATCAGTTTTTGTGTGTTCGCAATTTTATTCTCATCGCTGTTGTTGTTGTTGCTGCTGCTGCTGCTGCTTGTTTTTGTTTTTGGTCGCAATTTTTAAAAGCTTTTTTTTTTCTTTTGATTCAACTAATTTTACTCTTTGTGTCTGTCCCACACTCTCTAAAAGACTCAACCGTTTTTAGTCATTTATCCATTTTCAACTACTATATACGCGAATTTTGCAATACAAAACTCGATGATGAGTCTAAAAATGGAAAACCTTTTGATGTGATGTTGCCACTGAATGTGTGTCTGCTCTCAATGTACTTGGATGCAACGCTCGGCATTGAATGGCACCAGAAAACGGCGTACGCGAACTTCTTCAGCGAGTAAGTATAAATTTTGTTGTTTTTTTTTTAAATTTCTGTTTCGTTGCCGTTTTAAATTGTTCGAAAAAGTTTTTCATTTTCATGTTCATTTTCCATTTTCCATTTGCGTTTGATATAATGCGAAAGAAGGAGTGGGAGCAATTTACCGTTTTCAATTCTCTCACTCAATTCACACGGCTCGATTCAGATTTTCGCATCCCATACTCATCCTACATATAATTCACATAGAGACACACACATACGCACCCAAACTTCCCATTCATTGAATGAAGCTGATTTCTCTTGTCGCATATCATTCGTAATCGATTTGCCGTTGCTTGGCTTCGACTATCGATACAGTCAATTCGCAATTTTAATGAACCATTTTCTCGAACTTTTGTAATATCGACTTAAAGCTTTTACATCAAATATCGATTTTTAATTAAGTACATAAATCCTTTTTAATAATTTTCACAGTGCAATTTCGGCGGTAATACAACGGATGTTTCGTCCATGGCTGCAAGTTGAATGGTTCCGCAAAATCACAAACTACCAAAAGAAACTTGTGTACTTTCAAAAGTTTAGTGACGAAGTTATGGACGGGGTAATGCTATTTTCTTTCATTTTTGTTAGTTGTTTCTCTCTCTCTCCCTCTTTCTCGATTCCTGTGTCGCTTTTTGTGACACAAATATACACGCTTTACGTTAGAATGCCTTTCCCTTCCCTGTCCCTTCCCTTTCCTTTCATGTACTTTCCGTTCGTTCATTTGCCCATCAAATGATTTTCGCGCGCGCCAATAACTCCATCACACATACATACATATCTAAATATATATATATATATGTTGTATGCACATCGTTTTCATCGCCGTTCAATTATGCTGCTTCGTTGAGCGTGTTTTGCGAATTACCAATGTTATTGGATTGTCGTAGTTTTCGAAAGTGTTCAAATTGCAGTTGAAAGGAGTAAAATGCTTTCGGGAAATTTATTTCGCTTTTGAATAATTTCAGATAATTAAACGGTCATTGGAAAATGGATCCAACGGCAATACTTTTCTCGATAAGCTGATTACAGTGTCACAGCAAAACAAAAACTTCACGCTTCAGGACATCAAAGTCGAAGCTCATACTCTCTTAATCGGCGTAAGTTTTCGAAATTATTTCGACTCGGAGGAATATTTAATGAATTTCAGATTAAGCAATAATGAATGTTTTATATTTCTTCTTTGACGAAAACGCAATCGAATAACAACGAAATAATACACCCAAAAAAATAACAACAACAACAACAAAAACACGCACAAAAACTACAAAATAGGCGAGCGATACAACAGGCGTGTCACTATCGACATTATTGCTTATGTTAGCAATGCACGAGGATGTTCAGGAGAAAGTATATCAAGAGCTGTTAAATATAATGCCAAATTCAGATGTTGATCTAACGCCAGCCCTTATCAATAAAATGATTTATTTGGATCAATGTTTGCGTGAAACACAACGATTATTTCCAACGGTGCCATTGATTGGACGAGCCGCAAACGAAACAATCAATCTCAAAGGATACGATATTCCGGCAAATATACCGATTTTCATTGGCATTCGTCAAATACATCGACGCGATAACTACTACGGACCGACTGCCCATCTTTTTGATCCAGATCGCTTCAAACCAAACGAAAATCATCCGAATAAAGAGCAACAAGGAATCTATTTGCCATTTTCCCTAGGACCACGCAATTGTATCGGTAAGTGCATTACTGTTCGTATTTGTTCTCTTTAATTCAACTTACATTGTTTTCCAAAGTTTTTTTGTGGTCATGTTTCTTTTCGCTGTCAAGTACAGTTTGAACATTTCGTTTATTATTTTAACATCTTTCTTCTTTCCAATAGGTTATAGTTATGCAATTTATACAATGAAACTGGTCGCTGCACACATTCTTCGCAATTATCACCTTAAAACACCACTTAAATTACACGACCTCAAGGTAAAACTTTCGATAAGTTTTCGTCTTATTAACAAGCACTTACTCTCAGTACACAAGCGAGACAACTAAATCGAACATCTTCTTCTATTCGGAAAACTTTGAAATTGAAAATACATACAACTCGAAAAGCGAAGTGAATTCAACCAATACAATTGAAAAAAAAAAATGAACCGAAACCTAATTGCTATAAATATGTTATTTTTTTGTTATATTCTCCCTTACCGAATTCTTTTGAAATAAAAACATCTTTTGAATTACTGACAAATGTGTTTCATTTGCAATGTAAGACCAATAGATGGCGTTACATACATCAGTACATTGCATGATAGGAGAGAGAAAAAAAAGACATAAACCTCTATTGACAGCCAAATGTCAAAGTCGAAATTCAGTAAACTACTCAACACCCGAACATTGCGAAAAGAATAGTAACTAAAAACAAAACAAAATTCTCGCAAATTCCATCTTAAATTCAATTTTAACATTGGTAAGTGTAAATAAATTGTGTGCACCATGCACAAGTTCCATTCGATGAAGAACAATTGTAAATTAAATGACTAAAAAATGCAACAAATTTTGAAACATTGATATATAGCCGAGATAAAAGCAAAATGGCGGCAACCCGTGAACGTCGAGTGAATGCTGGAAATCGAATAAGTAATTTACTGAATGAAGAGGAGGAAGAAGAAATATACAAAACATTGTACGGTGGCTTCCAAGAGACTGAAGACGATAATGATTATATACAACAAATAAAACAAGACGACGATGACGATTCGGTCGATTCCGATTTTTCAATCGACGAAAATGATGAGCTCATTTCAGATACTGAAGAGGTACCGGAACGGCGAGCAAAACAATCCACAAAAGTATACAAAGATCTCAAAGCAAGAGGAAGACCACCAACAAAAGCGAAACAACAGCAACAACAGCCAACAGCGAAAACGGTTAAAAAGCCGGCCGCCACAAAACGTCTTAAATCGAAACGAATGCATCGATCATCATACACAGTTTTGGATTCGGGAAAAATATCGTTGCGACATTCGACCGCATTAAAATCAGCCGCCACACAGCATAGGGTAAAAGAACTTTCTTATTATTCATTAATTTTTAAATTATTATTTCTCTTTTGATTATTCGTTCTTTTGTTTTGTGATTCTCCCGTCAGGTAAAAGAACGTAAAGAGGCGATGCGAAAACGTGTCAAAAATTATCGCATCGTTGATGTAATGCCAACACAAAAAGAATTGCTGGCCGAAGCCGAAACAACGGCCAAAGAAAATTTAGCATCGTTAGAACGATTCAAAAAGATGGAAATTGAAAAGAAAAAAGTCCGACCGACGAAACGTGTTAATCCGGGTCCAATTATACGTTACCATTCACTTAGCATGCCAGCCATCGAAACAACCAAATCATTGTTGGCATTACAACGAAAACGAAATTCCAGTAGTATAACCAATATTAACGGTGAAGTGTCCATTGATATGGACATTGAACCATCCAGTAATAAAATGGACACAATAAAAACATCAAATAGTGATCCGTTTTCAGCATCAAATAAGCGTGTCGAACGAACATTCATCACACTCGAAAATGATCTGAACGATGAATATTTCAAAAAAGTGTTTAATAAACCGAGTGCCAAGCGAAAAGTCGACTTAGTTTGTCCGCTCACAAAATTACCAGCCAAATACATTGATCCACTCACAAAACTTCCATATCGTAATGTACAGGCGTTGAAAATAATTCGCGAAGCCTATTATCAATTGGTTGAAACATCAAATTTGCCGGGCAGCGAAGAATGGATCCAATGGCGACGAAAAATTAAAGACGCAGCCAATGCAAAAACTGAATAATTTCGATGAACCAACAAATAATGCAAAACTCATCAAATTCTCATGCATTTAGACATATATTTTTTTTGTTCAACTTTCGCCTTTTACTCCACTCATCTCCCATCAAACGGTAACAAAATTTATTTGTTTATTTTGTATTAAAAGTGAAATCATCGTATATCTAATAAAATATAATACAATTGTAAATGCATTGTTTTTCATATTTTTTTTATTTATGTTTTCAACAACTTTAAATCTCAGTTTAAAATCACGAATTTAAGCTTTGACTATTTTATTTTGGACGATGTCATTAAACACATCGGCAAATGTTGAATTTGGCAAACCACTGAGCACCGATTGTGAACTTCGCGATAGAACGGCTACACGTGGATCAATCGGAAGCGAACCCCAAATTGGAATATGTGCATAATCGGCAAGAGCTTTTCCACCTGAAATTTCAACACAAACATAATATTTGTATATTTAAAGCGTCATTACTATTTGATTTAAACATTTACCATCGGATGAAAATATTGGCGTGCATTCGGCACAATTTGGACATGTAAAACCGTTCATATTCTCAATGATGCCGAGAATATTTATTTTGGTCTTGTTACAAAATGTAATCTCTTTGCGAACATCTTCCAATGAGACCTCTTGTGGCGTAGTAACAATCACAGCACCGTCACATTTGCCGGCGATTTCATTCATACATTCCATAATGGTGATATGCTCATCGGATGTGCCAGGTGGTGTGTCAACAACTAAATAATCTAATTCACCCCATTCAATGTCATTGATAAATTGTCGTATCATCGATGTTTTCTTTGGTCCACGCCAAATAATCGGATCATCTCTGGAATTCAATAAAAATCCAATTGACATAATTGCCAGACGTTTGTCGTCGCCTTTAAAAATCGGTACCCATTTTCCGGATTCACTTTGATACACTGATAACAGACGATGAAACAGAAGAAAAAAATAACACAAATTTTAAACGACATAGAAAAAGAAACGAAATGTGATGAAGTACAAATGAAATATACGCATTTTGTATTTTGATAACGAAATGTCTGTTTTGATAACGAAATGTCTGTTAGTCATAAATGGTTTCCGTACCGCTGTTATTTTCCACATTCAGTAAGTATGGAATGCTCGGACCGCAAATATCAGTATCTAAAATTCCGACCTAGAAAAAAATAAATAAACGAACATACAACATTTGTTTCATGTATTTTTATCCGTAATCGTATAATTTACACAAATGCGTGTTAATTTCTTGTGCAAAATAGGAGTAAAATTATAAATATATTTAATTGCTAAAAGGAAGTGAGTAACAAACTAACACGATAACCGGAATCCCATAGTGATAAGGCCAATTGAGTGCTAACTGTAGATTTTCCGACGCCGCCTTTTACTGATTTTACCAAAATAATATGCTGCACATTGTCCACCATTCTGAATTGCTGTGAGTTGAAGTCTAGTTTTTTTTTTCAATTCGGTGCTTCTACGGGATTATTCAATCAACCATGAATTATTTGAAATAAACAATAAAACAAGCAAATTTCAATTGCAACAAATAATACGAAAGTTTGACAAGTGAGAGTGTTCACATGCTGCGCAACACATAATAGATGGAGAATACTAAAGTTGAATGTGAACTGTCAAAATCAGTACGAATGGCTTCAAATAATCTCAGAATTATCTTTTCATTCAGCAATTCTTTATTTCTTGAACAAATTGATAACATTTCATTGAAATATTTGTTTTTAATGAAAAAAAATGTTCAATAATTCAAAAAACAGTACATTGTTTTCGAATGAAAAACAAATTTAATTTATTGATGAATTTCTGTAACAACAAGTCTTAATCAAAATAAAAACACTTACGCTAACCTCAAGCTATGCAATACGAGTATAAATGAATTTGTCAAAGTGGTGTCACCTGCTGTCAAAGTGGTTATCTTTTGTGTTGATGAATCATTAGCGCCGCCTAGTGGACCACATTCCAGTACATACCAAGTGGGGAAAAAATAAAAGAAAGAACTGATAAAAATGTAAGAATGAAAGAAGAAAAAGAGGAAAAAAAATACACACGAAAGAACTGAATGAACACACTCCGAACGTCAAATGAATTTTAAGATGAAGACGATCGAATGCATATGGCGTCGTAAATATTTGAAGTAAAATAGTGTTGTATTTGCTCTTGTGATTTTGTGTTTTCCGCTGTGCCTCAACAAACTTATTGTGATAATAATAAAATCATGCATCCGGTAGGGCAGCGTAAGTATATTTGAAAAAGGAAAAAAAATGAAAGGAACAATTGGAAAACCGAATTTTTATTTCATTCGGATAAACAAGGAAGAAAATGTGCGTGAACATCGACAGCAAAGAAAACGAATAGCAAATAAAATTTATATATTGTGAATTTGAATGTGTACAAAAAATAAAAAGTTTCGGTAAAAAAAAATAGTTTCATAATACGGTGGTTCGATGTGAATTATTCATTTTACTTTGGTGGTGCCTAAAAAACGACGAGACGATGAACAGCAACAGCAGCAAAAAAAGAAAAAGTTCATACTGTACAAAATATTTTTTTCGTATTTATGTTATTTATAAACATCTAGTGTGTGCATGTGTGCATGTGTGCATGTGTGTGTGCAAATGTGTGTGAAAGAGAAAGAAAACTTGCATTTCTTGTTTCGTGGGATGAATCTAAGCAAAAAAATAATCATCAGGAATTCCCTCAGGTCGTCGTCATTACGTACATTCAACAATTATGATGATGATGATGGCGATGATGATGTTTTTTTTATTTATATATACAGTGTGTAAATTTAAATATGTATTCTTGTATTACACGCCATGATGTGTATATATATATTCTATGTTGTGTGTAAAATACTATGTCATGTACGTAAGAAAGGCAAATGACGTGTTTGTATGTGTGCGGGCTGGTTTGTCTGTGTTATTGTTATTGTCTGTCGATTGGCGCCAGACTGCTTTGTACTATTGTGATCAAAAAGTACATATAATAGTTTAAAAGAGAAGAAACCGAAAATGGGTCTTCTTCGTTTCCTTTACGGCTGAAAAGGTATATTCTTCATAAGTGATTTACATAAAGATTCTTAGTTCAAGTCTAGAATGTGCAGTTTTTTGCAATTTGAAGTAACAGGTATAAAATGCCAAAAATTAAGAAAAGCTAAAACTGAATGTTTTTACAACAGGACTTAAAAAATGTACTAGATAACTGAAAGCTTTGATAGAATATGCACCAAAACTTTGATTAAAATCTTATTGAATCACTTTGGTATCACAGAATGTCTAGAATTTACTTTGTGCCATTATATGCAACAGGTGAGCATATAAATACTGGTTATCACATCACTTTGAAACTTGACATAGGAGTGGGGGAAGGATATGTACATTTTCGGCCGTAACAGAAATGATGAAGATCCATTTGCGATTTCTTCTATTAAAAAAAAAAATATTCATAATTTTTGATCACAATGGTAAATTCTCCTTTGGTTCTATTAGAAGTTATACTCTGTAACGTATTGATGCATAAACAAGTGGAATTTAAAAAATATATCTAACCCCTGGGGTCCGCCGAAAAATTGGGCAATTTTAATGAAAATCGTATGATTTAAACTTGAGCCATATCGACATTCATGAAAATACAGATATTCGGTAAGTTTAAAAAGACAGAAATCTAAAAAGTTTCATCCCAGTTTCAAACTGAATAATTTTAAACAAAATCGTAGCTTTACAAATTTGAACTCGATTTTAGCGATTTTTGTTTAAAAATTCGTGAAAATACATTAAAATCTGGCAGTTTGTTGTACTAGAGCTACTGGTATAGCGATATTTATAATGAAACACAATCAATTAAATTGAAAAAAATGCATAAAGGAGTAGGTGACGTATATACGGTTATCTCTTTTACTCGCATTAATATGCACATTTAAATTTCACATAAGACTCACTTTTTCACCATCTCCTTTGTGTTTGTCTTTTTCCAAACAAGTATTGGTATTCGTCTGAAAATGATTTCAATAGTATTTAATCTCAGTGTGTCTGGTTGGTCAATAACATATGTGTATGCATATGTGCACAATAACAACACATCACAAAATATATATGTATATATACACACAAAGAATGGCAACAAGCAGTGTTAAACAATAATAATGCAGGAAATGGAACGATTGCAAAAATGAAGCAAAACCTCAAGCTAAGACGAAGTATATACACATATAAAAAATGATCGCAATTCACACACAAAGTATCTGTTTTGCTTGATTTTGGTTTTATCGTAAATATCGCGTGGTCAGTTATCGTTTGGCAGACATAACCGCAGTTTAAATATATACGTTGTACATATAATATATATATATACATATATATAGCATGTAGTCACTTTCGCAATAGCAAAGTCTCATTCAATTTCAATCAATTAAGTCAGATAGTATGACAATTTACAGTGATACACACATACACACATACACATACGAAGATAGAAAGAATGAACGAAATGAAATGAAATAAACAAAATTGAACGAAAAAAAAAACCATTTATGTATTGCAGATGATTCAAATCACGTCGGATGGAGACGTCGTCAAAAACAGAATGAAGCTCATAATCGGAAAATGTTAGCAAATAATATGAATGAGGCGAGTATGTCGTCATCGTCAGCAACAGCATCAATCGCTTCCACATCCGATAGCCATGCGAATACAGTTGAGTGCCAAAAAACAACAATAACAACAACAACACACAAGGAATCAAGTCCTCCAAATAACTTCAACAATTCTAGTAGTTTAAAATATTTACATAAAAAGTTCAAACGTGTCGCAAGCGCAGTTATAGAAGAAAATGGGATAAAAAGTGCACATAATGCTCAGCTGCCAAACGACGAAGCAGATCTCGACATATCACAAAGTACTAGTTCCGATCTCGAATTGAGCAACAGCAGTGAAACTGCCAGTTCTGATGTTGTAAGTTTAAACAAATTGATATTCATCATCATCTTCATTTTGAATGTTATCATCGTTCATTTTTCATTTGATACAGATAAGTCGATCAACAACGCCTATGGAAGAGTCGCACAGTAGTTCAACTGTGCCACATGCAGCTCTAAATTTTTCATCATCATCTCAAGGGCATTCAGTGGCGCATTCGATAGCATCGTTGGCAGTGCCAGATAGACCATACAAACCGAAATTTCATAAAGCCGTTTACTATCAAAACAATAACAACAGTAACAACAATAATAACAATACCAATTCAAATTCCATATCACAAATCGATGATAGCAGGCCAAAGGCTCTTATCAAAACCAAACCCATTGAAATGGTCAATGAGAATACGATGATAACGCATTCACCATTGGTTAGTTAGATAATGATTTTTTTTATTACTCATTTTATTATTCATTTTAATTTTGTATTTAATTTAAAAATTAAATTTCAAATCGTATGATTTCAGTCAACGCAAAGTGTCGAGTATTTGAAGGAGCACATTTCGAAAATCATATCACAAAATGAAGCGATTATGGAAGGTGTTGCGCCAGCATTGCAAAAGAAATATCACAAAATAACGGGAATACCTCGTGGCATAAATTCAAATGTAAATAATGCGAATGAAACACAAACGACCCAAACGTGGTCAGAATCGACATCATCATCATCATCATTGCCACTGCTACCGCTTCTACAGAGTCCAGACGAAATGCTTTTAAAAATAAGCGTTCCACATGAGGCCAAATCAATTGGATCGATAAAGACGAAACCATTTCCAACATTACAGCAACAAGCACAACAAGCTCTCAAAAAATCATCCCCACCAAATCGAACGACATCCTATTCTGTTCTAAATTTATCATCCGATGCACAACCATTGAATTTAACAAATTCATCACGCGAATCACAACGAAAGAAATCCATCGGAAATGATTCAATACATTCGGGTAGTCCAGTTGCGTCCACATCCAGTCAATCTGAATCAAATGCGGCCATTCAAGGTGGCAGCAGCAGCAGTGGTGGTGGTGGTGGTACATTCTATGAAAATCATCATCCACAAAATCCCGAACGATCAATCATAAAATCGTTGCTATTAAATTCACGCGGTTTGGCTGTGCCGACGGCAGGCGAAGGTGATGATGCCATATACATTTGCCCATTATGTAATATTTCATTTCGAAGTGCGGATAATCTTCAATACCATACGAAATGCTATTGCCAGGGAACGCCACAAGTGTCTTTATCATTATCGGCTCAAGCCAATGGTAGTCCACAAAGTGCCCCCATTAGTCCAGTTGGATCGCCATCACACAAATACTTTCGATCGAATTCATTTAATTTATATCGACCGGAAAAATATAGTCCAAGCACATTGGCCAAATTGGCCAGTTCTAGTATACGACATCATCGTACACCATTATCATTAGCCAAATTGGCAGCACAACAAGCGGCTGGTTTGAGTTTAGGTAAAATACAAACAGTTGCAACGTCCGTTTATCCGGCGTCTGCATCGTCTAGTCGTAGCGCAATGGAAAATTTTAAATCAAGTGCCAGTAATAGATCAACCTCACCGTCTTCATTTGGTAATTTTGCCACCGAAATGCAATCAGTGTCATCACAATGTGTACAAATAACCAAACAATTGATGGATGCATCGTTGCCATCGCCGGGGCCATTGCTTGGTAAAACACGGCTCGTTGACCATTATCAATCGCGAACACCAAACAAATCAAAAGAGACTGCCGGCAAAAGTGATAACACTGCAGTATCCGCAACCGAAGGCGCTATCTCATTGATCGATTCAAATAAAACGACACCATCGAAAGAACCACCGTCAAGGCCACAGGCATCATTTTCACCATCATCATCGTCGTCATCCTCATTACAGACAACCGACGAATTATTCGCATCGAGAAATCAAAAACTGTTACAAATGTGTGGCGGTGAAATAAAAATTGTTGAAAAGACCGTCGAAAAAATTGCGCGCTTTGGATCGTCAGGTGGTTCAATTGTTTCGATTTCATCACTGTCACCTGACTCAATACCCGAAAATAGTCCACTTAGCATTCGTACTGGTCTTTTATCAGGCGGTTCAATCATTGAATCACCGATTACAGTTAAACGAAAAACAAGCACTACTACCACCACCAATGTGGCCATAAGCCCGGGAAATATTCAACAAACCATTCTTCCATTATCATCTCGTTTAGCTAATAATCAAAATTTAATTTCAAATTATTTCCAATTTCCACCGCCACCAATTAATTCAATTACCGCCTATAATCCATTAACGTTGCCACCAAAACAACCCGAATTCAATTCGGATCTTCCAGCGGCCATCGAAGCTACAAAAATTATGCACGGAGGTAATTAATTAATTGTTTGGATTTTCATTTTCTTCAATTCAAATGTGACATTGTGACAACTATTTGTTTTTTTAGGTAAAATCATTCCATTTGTTCCCGGTATTCCTGGACCAAACTCATTATCTGCAAATGCTCCACTATCGCCAATTATTCCGTCAATGATAACGGAAAAATGTTCGGACCGTATCTTTAATCCAAGTCAAAATCCAAATAGTTTTTATATTGGTAATATGTCGACGGGCACGCCATCAATTCGATCGATAAATCTATCGATATCATCAGCTGTCATAAGTCCAGCATCAGTTGTAGTACACACAGCAAAACATTCAAAATCACCGGAACCATTATCAAAAATCCTAAATATTAAATCACATTCGTCTTCCGAATATCACAACAATGACACAATCGCAAATCATCCGCATAATCTTGGTGCAACGCAACAGCAACAGCATCAGCAACAGCAACAGTCACCGCATAATGTATGGCCAATAAACACAAGTCGTGACAGTAGTCATACGATTAGTGAAAAACCATTTAATTTTATGAGAATTGCTGATAATTTGAGTCCGCCAAAAATTCGTATCGATGTCGGTGGTGGCGGTAAATTACATGGAAATTTAGAAGTGAGCTCAACCAATTTAGATAAATTAAAACCTCGACAAAAACTATTAGCTCAAGTTGTCGATGTATCACCGCTTCATATAAATGTTGAATGTGCTTCGACGGCATACGAACCATTGCAATCGAATATTCGAAATGAAATGACACCAGAAAAAGTGAAAATGCCATTAAACGTTTTGGATCATGACAAAGTCGTTAAACAAACGAATAATTTTTTACGTCCATCTAGTTTGCCATTGAAACCTGGTACATTTACACCGAAAAAACACCATGGCATCACACCAACCGCAAATACATTACCACTCATTTCACCAGAAACACCACGACCATCGAAAAATTGTGTTCAACTTTATTTAAATGGGCATGCATACACTTATCTTGGTTTGAAATGTAGCACAAAAACGTTTTACTGTACACTTAATCGGCCGCAACCAGTTTATGCTTTGTTTGTCGGTCGACCGGAACTTTCAATGTACAGCAATTGGCAAACGTGCGCCGAAAATAATCCACATCCATTGGGTTTCTCACCAAAAGAAGTGATGTCACTGTACGATTCGCGACAACGTACCCATACCAATTATCAAGGATGCAAATTTACCACATCAAATAAATTGACAATGATTTGTGCACCATCCGATAAAACACAAGACTCACTCAAATTAATTGATACAAAGGAACATTGCATTCGACTAAGTGGCGAAACCGACAATCAACTGACGACGTCTAATGTCACCGAGCAGGTGAGCATTTTGGATGATACGGTGGCAAACGTGAGTGATGTACAAAAACTATCGACCGTACCTGGTGGCTATAAGAGCAATGAAGACTATACTTATGTTCGGGGTCGTGGCAGAGGACGTTATGTCTGCATCGAATGCGGAATGAGGTGTATTAAACCATGCACACTGAAAAAACACATTCGCACGGTTCATAGTGATGTTCGGCCATACACATGTCGACATTGTATGTTTAGGTAAAGTATCCAGGATTTTTCTTTTAAATAAAAAAATGAAAATAGCTTACTAGCTTACCTTATGTAATGCAATTTATTTTCTTGTTATTTTTTTTTTTTAAATAGTTTTAAAACGAAAGGCAATCTCACCAAACACATGGAATCAAAGGCACACTACAAAAAGTGTCTGGAAAAAGGTATCAATCCTCAAACACCAGCCGATGACGGTGCTAATCCAGAAGAAGATCAAATGAATACATCGACTGACCAACATCTACCACCAACAAATGAAGATTGCGATACCGTTTCAGATGATTATTCGGATGGAGACGAATTGGAGAATGAAATGGAAAACGAGATTGATAGCAGTGGTAAACGAAAATGACTCAATTACTCTATTCTATAAGAATTTGTTGAAAATTTTAATTTTTTTTTTATTTCGAATTGTTGGAAAATCTTTTGATTCGGAGACCAAATTATTGATTTTAATTTTTATTGTGAGACTTTATATAAATATGGTTTTTCAATTTATTTATTTTTTCAGATAATGAAGACGCAAAATTACCGGATCATGAAGCAGCTCATTGTCTATTGTCATTATCACAGCGATCACCATGTGAAGAATCGCATGTATCGCCAAAATCGCTGGTTCCAAGTCAACCAACCACATATCCGTATGTTCAGAGTGATTTAACAACATCGCCAAAACATCAAACAACAAATAAACAGGAATTTACAGCAAACCAACATGATGGTTTTATCAAAAGTGACTCAGTCATATCAAATGTATGTGTAAATCTATCATCAACTGAAACAAGTGCAACAACGAGCACTAAAATACCAACCGAAATTAAACCAAAACGTGTTAACATGAATGCGGACGTTATTGATTTGAGTAAACCGCGAAATACAACCATTTCAACGGAGCTCAAAGAAAGTTTAGAAAGTAAATCAATCGCCACGAATACCGTTACCACCGTAACCGCGACCACCACCTCCACCACCACATCAACAACACCAACTTCATTGCATAATGCTGCCGAACTATTAAAATCATTGATGACACTGAGCGATAAAGTGCCAGCAATGTCATCGTCACCGTCATATGATTTAAATTTAACTCCGGTTAGTTGTAATGGACAAGAGCCAACTCTCACCAACAACATGCTATTACAAACATATTTAACGGAGAGAGCATTGCAAAAGTCAAAAATGAAACTTAGTCAAGTGCATACGCTAAATGCATTCGATGAAAAACCGTCAAATAAATTTTTCAAAGAATCTGGCAGCACTTTCTTTATGCTATCAAAGAAATTAGATCATATTGATATCAGTCCAAAGCCAAGGTCAATGATAATGACCAATTTGGATTCCAAATCAATTGAACTAAGACGACAAAGTGTGGCCGAACGTCTACCAAATGACGATCAAACAATGAAAGACGAAAAGGCAACAATTCAATCGAACGAAAAAAGCGTGGTCACAAATCAATCGAGTTGTGAAAAGGATGATGTTAAAGTTGAGCTTCACATTACAAAACCGACCGATGAAACAGTTGATTTAGCCAAAGGTATCAATGATCAATCCGGCATGGATACATTGGCCGAAATTGCTGCAAATTCTGTTAAATTGGATGCATCAAAAGCAACAACAATAACGACAATGACAACGACGATGACAGCAACAACGTCATCATGTGAGGCAAGTGTTGTCGTTACCATGTCTAATCATGATGCGATTAATTCTGTGCCAACCACATCGACGAAACCACCGACACAATGCGAATCAGTTTCACAAAAAGAAATTAGTGCCAAAAATATTGCGTCCGAGTACCTGAAATTGGCCAACGAACAGGATAATGCAATTGATGATAGCAGTGCATCGTCTGATTCGGATGCTGTGACTGACAATGGAAATAAACAAATGCGACGATTATCGATGATGTCATTGTTATCGGGACCCGAAGTGCTCATGTCGGCCCGTACGGTTGTTGTTGGTGAAGATGGTTTTAAAAGTAAATCAGCAAATTCAAGTGATTTGCCAATGATTGCAATGCCACGAGGAGCTTCAACAAATAGTACCACACGTGCAAATATTGCATTTATTCAAGAAGATGGTGGACCATCGAAATGTACGATTTGTGGTGTTAGCTTTCCAAAAAGTCATCAATTGGTATTGCACATGAATATTCACTACATGAATCCCGAACGAAAATTCAAATGTAATTTGTGCGGTGTATATTTTCAAACGCAAAATCGTCTGCAACGGCATATGCGTGACAATAAGTGCCAAAAATTGAATGTTGTCGAAACGCAAGGAAATTCAACAAAAAATAATCCACGACCATTTGAATGTTCGGATTGTAGTCGTGCGTTTCGTATTCATGGTCATTTGGCCAAACATTTACGATCAAAAACGCATGTTCAACGTTTGGAGAATTTACAAAAATTACCGTTCGGCACGTATCAAATGATTGAAGAGGCTCGCATAAATTTAACCGACATCGATACAACCGATTGTGATAATTCATTAGCCAGTTTAAAAGCGTTAGCGGAAAAACTTAAAGTTGAATCTGTATCGCCGGATAAACGAAAAGCAGCCGCTACTGCATCAGATAGCTATGACTCGCAATCATCGAATGCCAATAATCAGGACCATTTACAGTCAATGACTGATAACATTACTGACGCTAATACAGGTTCCATGATAAAAAAGCGAAAACTAAACGACGACAAAGACACTCTGACAATCAACGAGGGTGATGAGAATTGACAAAACACCCTCGATTCAACATTATTTCTCATTGATTAAAATTGATATTGTTTTTTTATATATATTTATATGCGCATGCAGCGAATCGAGAAAACTGAGTGAAAACGAAAAAAAAAAAGAAATAGACAAAAGAGATAAGCTAAGTTAATAGACAAAAGGAAAATAAAAAAAAAAGAAATTAAGAATGGATTTAAGACAGAATTTAACATTTATTTATGATATAATAAATTTTAACTACATCGTGCCAAATTTATGTTCTGATCAGTTTTTACTAGAATATTATTAGTTGAATTTTTTTAATTTGAAAAGAAACATACAAGTGAGGGTGACAGAAAGAAATTAATAGTACCAATTGGTACTAGTAGCACATAATTGTTTATCTAATCGATGTGATGTAAGATCTAGCGTAAAGATCTAAAAAAAATTATTTAGATGAAAATGAAAACGAAAATTGAAAACGAAATTTATGTACATTTACGGCTCTTTTTTATGCAAACAGGCAAAATCATATATATATATATGTATACAGCTGAAACGATATGAATTGAAAAATAAATATTTTTTATAAAAAAAAATCAAATGAAGCGAAATGAATTGAGAGATAAATAGAGTTATAAACATTTAAAATGACACAAAAGATAGACGATCAAGCTTTTGACCATATCAAAATTAAACAAGAAAAAAAATAGAACACACGCAAACAATAACATCAAAAAATTGAAAAATTGAATTTTACAGCAGCTAAGGTTATATACACAGAGAAAAAAATAGAGATAGAAAGAACGAGAGAGCGATACACTCACTTACATACATAATGTTTTATTGAAGTTTACAAACATATTCTTTCTTATTTTGAAACAAAACAAAACCACATACGAAAGTATAGACGATGTTATTATTTTTTGATAAAAGTAATATTATATTAAATATAAATATATATGTATTTTTTTTTCACAGATATGATGAAAAATAAAAACGCGAAATGTTTTACAAAAATTTACCCGAGACATAAACATTTAATTGAAGCGAAAAAAAAGAAAACAAAACAATGGAAATAAACAACAAATAAATGAATAAGAATGAGATGGATGATCTTTTTATGTTGTCAAATATCACAAAATCACTGATAATGGCGATTCCAATAAACTAATAAATATATGTAAAACAATTTATTGTTGAATAATGGTACGGTGCTGTTTATATTTATTTCTTATCCCAAATACTCATATATACTGACATTTATCAAATATATAGCTTACCAAAAGCGACATTTAGCGGATCACTGGCTGAAAAAATAGCATTAACGAAATAACCAATAAAAAGAAGAAGTATTATGTAAACAAGATAACGATGCAATATATAAATACTGGACACCGACAACAGTGTGTTGTTGCCAATAACAATCCTGTAAAACGGTATATACGCAATTAAAATCAAACGCATCCATATTTTCATTGACATTTGTCTAACGAATAAATTTCATAGTTTTTTTTATTTCTTTAATTTTAAGAAGAAGAAGAAGAAACAAAAATAAGAAAAGAGAAAAATTCTGGAATTGAAATTCAGTTGAAAATTAGTAATTTATACATTCGTATATAAAATGATGTATTCTTAATGTATGTAGGTGTTAGTGAATCGTCGGATGATTAATCTCGTTTTCGGCTACTGAATTTATGGTGTTTGTTGTTTCTGTTGTTGCCCCGGCGGCGTAATTTCATTTTTTCAACACAATCTTTCAGATATTTTTCTTCGTCTTCACCTTCAAGCAAACTGACTGGTGATTCATTTTCGCCAAATTTCAATTTGCCATCGGTCAATTTGGCCAACAGATCTTTGCCAGCATTTTCATTGGTCAAACGTACATGGGCGCGTTCATCACCTTTTGCAAATTCAACGAATGCCACTTCCGTTTCGAATTTTTCAATTGCTTCTTTGATGATTTCACGCGTATTGTCCGGCTTAATGTCGGTGATGAGTAGAACGGTACCCTTTGGCAATTCAATATCCGGATCGAGTTTGGCTTGTTTCTCTTTTTTCAATTCTTCACGTTCGGTCTTTTTGCCAGCATAGTAATCGGATTGCCATTTTGTAATCAATTCGGTATCCTTGTGTTTGACATCTTGTGACAAAAATGCGGCACATTGTTCACGTGTACTGAATGTTACAAATGCGCTACCTTTTGACTTGTATGTTTTGGTTGGTTTATCCAAATATTTGCGAATGGTGACATGTACCTAAGGGGAGAATCACAAAAGGAAAGAATAAAATTTAAAATAATCGATAAGTAATCGGAGAATAATCGTAAAACAATCAATAATAATTAATAAGTAATTTTGAAATGTACCACTTTTGGATAATCCTTGAAGAATTCAATGAATTCCGGCATTTCCATTTCCTTTGGAAAACCTTTTACGTATGCTGAACGTGAAATGATTTCTTTGCGTGTTTCTTCATTTCGTTCGGGCAACGGATTTTCGGGATGACGACGAACACTGTCACGTGCCGCATTGATTTCCAACAAACCCGAATCGGATTTATCCAATGCATCAATGATTTCTTTAACATCTGTTGTTAATGCGGCTAAACGTTTGAATGTCGTCAATGTGGTGATTGCAACCCATCCTTCATTCTTTTCAATTTCAGCGGTTAAAAATTTATCGCGAAATAGATTTGGATCACTAAAATAGTATTCAACCTGATCGATAATACTTTGTTGAAGTTTTGTTGCATTCGATGTATCGTCAGCACTTTCGATTTTTGCTTCAACGCAAACCGCTTCAACCGATTCTTCGTCCAATTTTTGTTTTTTAGCTTCTGGTTCGACGCTAACATCATCAACGGGATTAACTGTTGCCATTTTAAATTGATTTATTCAATTTTTTTCACCGTAAATATTTATATTTTACTTTTTAAAATTTCACAATGTGTAAAACCACGTGTAGTAGACACACAAACTAAATACGATTTGATATCACACAACGCGCACAATTTGACACATTCCAATAGCCATGAAGTAGAATGCAAAACATGTTTGACAGCATAAAATACCGACACACAAACACAGTTGTAAAAGCTTTGCGCACCATTCAAATCATTTTTAAGGTGAATGCATCGCATTTTGTGCGATAAAAAGTAAAATAATATTCGATAACAACTGAGAATTGAAAGTGATGAATAATTGAATATTTTGTTGAATTTTAAATTTAATTTTTACCATTGATTTGATATGTAAACGGTGAATTTGTCGACTTTTTCCACCAAAAATGACGGTTTCAAAAGCAAAACAACAGATGGCCGTACAATCGTTTATCCAATGTTTGTGTACATAAGGTCACCTTGAAGTGTCAAAAATATGTCACCTTGTTACCTCATTTTTGCGTAATTGAAGATCAGTTGATTTGTTCGTTTGGTGTATCACGTTTGGTCTCTAATCATATACTACTGTGTCACTCTCCGGGTCCATAACACACAGAAACTATTTATTGATTGCTTCAAGTAAGACGTTTTTCGGCATTGTCACTCGCTTTATCAATTAAAAGATACAATTTCGAGCACCAACAATTTTTTTGTTCTTTTTTTTATTAAATAATACAAATATTTGAAATAAGTGTTGTGTGAATACAGATAATTACGTTGAAATGGTAAGCTTTTTGCTATAATAATAACAACTGTGCAAGTGTATATGTGCTTCTATCTATCTATAACAGGAGATTTTCATTTTAAATAATGTTCGTTTTCTTTTCCTTTTTTTTCTTTCATTTACTCTTCGTTTCTTGGTCTTTTTATTTTTCGTTCACACTTCAAAATAATCACAACCTATTTGAATTCTATGAAATCTTACAAAAAAAACTAATATATATCTATATACTGGAAATCGACTTCGCATGAATGAAATCCGTTTTATTATTTCTTTCCAACATTAATTATTATAAAAAAAATTGTGCTCGCAGTTCATTTGATTTGCTTTTTGATTTCTTGACAAAACTCAATTTTATTTTATTTTTTAAATTACGATTGAATTGGTTTGTTGATATATCGTTATATAACGATAAAAAAAACAAAATTACGCACGAAAATTTATTTCACAATATTGGTTTTGCATACATTGAATTGAATTTACTTGAACATATGATAATTGGCTTGAAATTGGATTTTATGAGTTTTAAAAACGGTGATTTATTTTGATTTGATCCCCACATTACCCCACATTCTTGAACGTAGACATTTGAGAAGAAACCGATGGCTGAATTAAGAAATCACCGCTTTATTGCCCGCGGGTCACACAAGGGCAAGGGCTTGGCCGTGTTAACAAGTGGTGGTGATTCACAGGGCATGAATGCAGCCGTACGTGCATGTGTGCGTATGGGCATTTATCTCGGTTGCAAGGTATGATTAACTGAGAAAAACACACTCGTTTCTTTACATCATTCATTGTTGTTGTTGTGCCATCTACGTTGATGGTGAATTCGGTGTGAGTACGTGAGCATAGTACGCGATGACCGAAATTTCACCATAATGATGCAAAATTGATTCGCGGTGCGTTCACATTTCTTGTTGTTGTCTTTTTTATCACGTACCAAACAAATAGGTTTACTTCATTCGTGAAGGTTACCAAGGCATGGTCGATGGTGGTGAAAACATCGAAGAAGCAAATTGGTCATCGGTGTCCAGCATCATTCATCGAGGGTAAAAATTGTTTTCTTTTTCCGTTGAATCGAGTATTTTTTTTTCGTTTTAAATTTTGAAACAACAACAAAAACAGTGTGTTTACTTTCGAATGTTGAACGGTCTGATTTTTTTTTTTAATCTTAAATATAGTGGCACTGTTATTGGCTCTGCTCGATGTGCTGCATTCCGCACACGTGAAGGTCGCTTGCAGGCTGCAAATAATCTCATCAAACGCGGCATTACAAATTTGGTAATTCATTATTTTATTTCAAAAAGCAAATAACAAATATATGATGAAATTTCATTCGGTGAATTTGAAACCAAACGTTCAACATGCGCAAAATGGAATTTTAATTAATGCCACTTTTAACTGTTTTTCTTATTGAAATATCTTCAATCGAAAGTGAATATAATTTTCGTTTTTTAATTGATTGAGTAGACAGTTTTTTACACTAACGCAACATTAAACGATAATATTGACAAAAACCGACTGATTTATGTTGTATATTTTGATTTTTGTTTGAATATTCGAATTTGAATTGTTTAGGTTGTAATTGGTGGTGATGGTTCATTGACCGGTGCAAATTTGTTCCGTCAAGAATGGAGCAGTTTGCTGGATGAATTGCTAAAAGAGAAAAAAATCGACGATGAACAACGCAAAAAGTATGGAGCTTTACATATTGCTGGAATGGTTGGTTCCATCGATAATGACTTTTGCGGTACAGACATGACCATTGGCACAGATTCAGCATTGCATCGTATCATCGAGGCAATTGATGCAATCGTCAGTACAGCATATTCGCATCAAAGAACCTTCATTATGGAAGTCATGGGCCGTCACTGTGGGTGAGTGTTAATAACATTTTAATTTTTGAAACGAAAAAAGAAAAAGAGCGGTACACAAATCCATATGAAAATTGGTTGTTTTGTTCGATCTTATTTCGCTTTTATTTTGCATCGGATGGAAATTGATGAGGATGTAATTACTTTGGTGATTTTGTTTTGAATGGCGCAAGCACACACAAGTACAATATATGATTCAGCATTTTTAAATGTGTCGCACGCGCTTCATTTATACCAAAGTATTTACGCCTTAGCGGTGTTCTTTTTAATCGGTGTAGCTGTTTAAAGTTTAAGATGTCTATATTTAAACTGACTTTACAAAAATAAGATTTTTAACAAAACCAAAATGAACGAACAAACAAACGAAAAAAAAAAACATACAAATAACCCGAATGTGTAGCTACTTGGCAGTGGTTAGTGGTGTAATATCAGAAGCGGACTATATATTCATCCCCGAGTCTCCGCCGCCGACCGATTGGCCGACTAGACTCTGCAATAAATTGATTCAGGCAAGCTTAATCAATGTGCATTACCGAATCCTTTCTGTTGAAAATTACAAAAATATTTGTATTGTACCACTGACTAATTATCGCGTTAAGCCTCACATTTCATCATATCCAAGCATCATTGCATTTTTTTGTCGTTTACCTTAAAATATAGCGCCAATTGTATGCTTCACGATACAAATTTAAACAAAAAAAAGAGAATAAATTCCAGTCTAACAGGATACAGTCACACAAAACACTGAGAAAAAAGAAAGACACAAACAAAAAACACAATTCCAAAAAAAAACAACGTTCAATTTCACAAATAATGATGTTTTTTACAAATTTTGTTCGTAAATAACCAACACCATAATTACAGTTATTTGGCCGTTGTAGCGGGTTTGTGTGGTGAAGCAGATTATATATTTATACCAGAGGATCCACCAACTGCCGACTGGCCTCAACGTCTTTGTAAACAATTGTCACAGGCAAGCATCAATTCAATAAATTTGTTTCGTTGTTGCTTTTTTTTTGTTTAAGTTCTAAATATGTTATTGGATGTTTTTTTCTTCTAATTTTGATCAATGAAATGCACTTAATTCGCGGTTGTTCGCCGAGATTTTTAAATGCACTACAATTTTAAGCAAACAACAAAAACCAAGTACATAATTACGATTTTAATGAGCACGCATATATTTTTTTATATATACATCAAAATAATTAATGGGATAATTAATTAGACTATTACGATGCAGATAATCTAGTGATATTTTTGTTGTTGTTTCTATATTTGTGATCAAATATATTCATCGCTGTCATTACTTCGACAGTTGAGATTTCTTGTGATGTTGTTGTTGATTGATTTTTTTCGTTTGAATTCTCAAAAAATTCCACAAAATACAAACAATCACAGACACGAACACGCACACACAAATACAAACACACACACAAACGACTTTTTTCAATTCTTTTCATTTTATCAGAATGTCATTTCATTCAATAAAATGCCTTTTGACATAAACAATCCGAAATTGAATTCCCCAATTGATACATCTACTTCTTTTCGTTTTTGCACTCTCAATTTCGCCATTCAATATCGCATTCATTATTAAATCAATTTGAACCTTTGCCCTTTTTTTCATTTCATTTGTCGTGAAGTGTCTTTATTCAAATGATCGTGTCATCAAATTAATTATTGGCAATAACTTACCCATCACAAGATATTTTTAGATTTCGATACACATGTTGATCAATTTCTTTTGTTGCTTCTTTAAAAAAAGAAAAAAAAACTTGCATTGCCACGAACAAAAAAGTGCCATTGTACGATTAAACGTTACAGATTACATGCGATAACGTGTATTTGAATTTTGATTGCAAAAAAATGAGTGTTTTGTACGATGAACATCTTTTTTGTTCATGACCAAAAGAAGCTTTAAGACCTTTCCATGCAAATGCTCGCTTTATTAGACTTAATTAATTATTTCATTTTGTTTTTGGCTCAAATTTCATGTTGATTTGAAAACGAATGTTTTTTTTTTCTGTTAATAGGAACGAAATGCTGGCCAACGTTTGAATATTATCATTGTTGCTGAAGGTGCCATTGATCGTGATGGAAATCCGATTACAGCTGAACTGGTTCGTCAAACTGTCGTCAGAGAATTAAATCAAGATACTCGCATCACTGTACTGGGTCATGTACAACGTGGAGGCAATCCAAGCGCTTTTGATCGTGTTTTGGTTCGTATATTTTGATACTCTCTCTCTCTCTCTCTCTGTGTCTCTCTGTCTATCTATCTATCTATCTATCTGCGTTTTCATGAATACAGAATAATTGATTGTTCCATTCAATTGCAATAATAGAAGTATATCACAAACAAAATGAATAAATAAGATCTCAATTTATAAATTGTTGAGAGATTCATTTGATTGAATACAATTGCATTCATTGTCTAATAAATAATCGAATAAATTAATCGATAAATTGCTTTCGACAGGGATGCCGTATGGGAGCTGAGGCAGTTATGGCATTGATGGAAGCTGATGAGTCAGAAGTTCCATGCGTTGTGTCATTGGATGGTAATCAAGTATGTGTTAAATATTGCACTCAAACTCAATTAAAAATCACGATCACGATATTTTGTTCGATTGGATGCTAATTAATAGTAAAATATTTGATTTCAAATAACAAGAACATTTCTCAACTATAGGCTATTCGTGTACCATTGATGGAATGTGTTGAGCGTACACAAGCTGTTGCAAAGGCTATGGCTGAGAAGCAATTCGAATTGGCTGTCGAATTGCGTGGACGCTCATTTGCTAGAAATCTTGAAACATACAAGATGTTGACTCGTCTAAAGCCACCAAAGGAATCACAAGATGGCCGACCACCTGTAAGAGCAAAAAGTGAACAATTAAATGGCAGCACCAGAGTAACATTATTTTTGTTTTCAGAGTGGTTATCGAATGGCTGTTATGCACATTGGAGCACCGGCATGTGGTATGAATGCGGCTGTTCGTTCGTTTGTGCGTAATTGTATCTATCGCGGTGATGCCGTATTTGGAATTCATGACGGTATTGAAGGATTGATTGCTGGAAATATTAACCAAATGAATTGGTAAAAAGATATGCACTTCTCTCTCTCTCGTCGGGTCTTTTTTAAATGCGACTTGTATGATTTCAGGTCTGATGTAACTGGTTGGGTTGGTCAGGGTGGTGCTTTTCTTGGCACAAAACGTACCCTTCCGGAGGGTAAATTTGAGAAAATTGCCGCTAAATTGCGTGAATTCAAGATTCAAGGTCTTTTGATTGTTGGTGGTTTCGAAGCATATCATGCATGTGGTCAATTGGCCGATCAACGTGAAAAATTCAAGGAATTCTGTATTCCAATGGTTGTTATTCCATCGACCATTTCAAATAATGTTCCCGGTACTGAATTTTCACTTGGATGTGATACCGGATTGAATGAGATTACTGAAATTTGCGATCGTATTCGTCAATCGGCTCAAGGAACAAAACGCCGTGTATTTGTCATTGAAACAATGGGAGGCTATTGTGGTTATTTGGCAACATTGGCCGGTTTGGCTGGTGGTGCTGATGCTGCATACATTTATGAAGAGAAATTCTCAATTAAAGATTTGCAACAGGATGTACAACATATGGCATCGAAAATGTCCGAGGGCGTTCAACGTGGTTTAATTTTGCGCAATGAAAAAGCATCCGAAAGTTATAATACCGAATTCATTCATCGTTTATACACGGAAGAGGGACGTGGTCTATTCTCATCACGTATGAATGTTTTGGGGCATATGCAACAAGGTGGCTCACCAACACCATTCGATCGTAATATGGGCACCAAAATGGCAGCCAAATGCGTTGAATGGATGGTTGAACAATTGAAAACATGCACAGCTGATGATGGCACAGTCAATGCAAATGGACCAGAAAGCGCTTGCTTACTTGGTTTGGTTCGTCGTCAATACCGTTTCACGCCAGTCAAAGAACTTATTCCGGAAACTAATTTCCAGTAAGTTAATTCGGGATTTTTTGTATCGTTTTAAATCTTTACTCAATAGCACCGTATTTAAAACACAGACTATTCGCAATAATGAGACTTGTGTTTGATTTTGAATTCATTTTAAATTTTCTTTACAATAACACTTTCATTTTTTTTTTTTCAGACAACGTATTCCCAAACATCAATGGTGGTTGAAATTGCGTCCACTTCTCCGTATTTTGGCTAAACACGATTCAACATACGAAGAAGAAGGAATGTATATTACAGGTGTGCAAAAGATAAAACATAATATATTTGATCGAAAGGCAATGAACATTTCGATTCTATCTTTGAATGTATTGTGACAATCTCTATTCTTGTTCTTTTTTTTTATTTAATTTTCAGTGGAAGAGGAATGCGCTAGCGAAGCGAACATTATTTAAACCAAAAAAAAATAAAAAAATATAGCGCAAATTGCATCACAGATTTAGTTCTCAGGAAGACTATATCGATTGCGAATACACATTTTTAAATTGAACATTGATTAATCAAATCCATTTATAGACAACAACAGAACAAACGAACAACATGAAGCTGAGAAAGAAATGATTTAAAGCCAAAAATATTACTACTGTTAAATCTCCAATATTTTACATTGAATGATACTGCCACGGAATGAAGTCGGCATGATAATACAATGTCACCGTTTTTCTCTCTATTGATATTTTGAATATCACATTATAGAGAAACGAATAAACAAACAAACAATTGAGCGGGCACTAAAATTGCGCTCATATTTATTGATGCACAATTTCATCATATAATTTATTTAAATACATTTAAACATTGAACAATTTTCGATGATGTGCATTAGGATGATGTGCACATTTTTATCACCGTCACCGATGAAGAACCGTCACCGTCTTTCACATTGTTATTAGTGAAATGAATATTATTTGATATTTTAATTTTGTTTGAAGACATGCATATAGTCCTTTTATTGTTCACATCAACGAGTATTTTTTAAAGAGCAAAAACGAACTGGAAAGAAATCCGACATGCAACACGGATGTTCTAATGTATATTGTGTATAACAAAGAATTATTTTTCTATGCACCCATTTGCAAAGAGTCAAGAATCTATACAATATATATTTTTTTAATTTATTTTTTTTCGTCTTAATTTTTAAGTGAAATTTATTTATATGATATTCTTTTTTGTTTTCTCTATTGAAAGAAATGGCTATGCCTATGTGTAGAGTTAAACAGTCTTTGGCTGCCAATAAAAATAGACTATTTTTTTTTTTTTTTGAAAAAAATGAAAGAGAGAAAGTGGAGGAGAGAAAGAGAATGGGCTCACAAATGTTGATGACATACGCTTCAATTAGTTAAACAAAATAAATGTGCACGTGTCCTAATTGCACTTTAAATAGAGTCATGATTTTATGAATTCATCCAACTATTGTATTATATGTTGTTAAAAGAAAATCTATAATAATAAATATTATTTCATTATTGGCAAATGCAGAAAGTCATTTTTCATTCAGACGTTGTTCCAAGATCTTTTCGTTTTGTTTTTTCTTCTTCGATGCATGATAATTTTTCGATTTTTTTTCCTTTGAATCAACTTGAAGTAGAAAAAATATATACCTTCAAACGAAACACGTGCTTTTCAAGTGGTTTCATTTTATCAATTTTTATCAGTTCATTCATGTCGAGTTGAACTTCAAAAGTATGATTTGTCCAAAGGTCGAAACCGAGTTATTTGCTGTTTAGAATAAACAACATCGTTGATTTCAATTAATGGCAAAAAAACGTCATTTTTTCACGAGAAATCAATATGAAATCGCTTGAATATATTTGGCTTTTTTTTTGAAAAATTCAGAAAAAATATCAGTTTTGCAGGAAATAAATAACGAATGTATCGAAATTTGAATTGTCCTTTGACAGTTTGCCACAATTCAAGTTTATACGCATTGGCTCATAAAGCAAACGTCATGAAAATCAGTGTGTATATGTGTATGGGTTACAACACAAAACGTCACACGAATCAAGCAATAAACAACTACCGGCAATTGTTGTGCTTTTTTTTATTATTATTTTGTAAGTAAAACCTTAATTACAATTCTATCTATTCTATGTTGTATTTGATCAGTAAAACGATTGTTGCAATTGCTAATAATTTTTATTTTACGCCAATGTTTTCAGAGATAAGTAGCAAATGGTAAAGTTGTGTATACAATGATTGTGTTTGTGGCTTTTCTACTTTTGCGTCTCTTATCGGTGTTTGTGGTGAAAACTTGGTACGTGCCGGACGAGTATTGGCAAAGTTTAGAAGTGGCACATAAATTAACCTTTGGATATGGTTACATGACATGGGAATGGTCAAAGGGCATACGCAGCTACATTCATCCATTGAGCATAGCAGTTGTGTATCGAGCACTTGCCTGGCTTGGTTTCGAGCGTGTACAATATTTGGTGTTGGCACCTCGAATTTCACAAGCCTTTTTATCTGCATACAGTGACTATTGCTTTTATCGTTGGAGCAAACGAAGTAAATGGTCCATATTTTTGATAGCAACATCTTGGTTTTGGTTTTATACTGCCACTCGAACTCTGCTCAATACGGTCGAAACATGTTTGACAACCGTTGCGCTGAGCCTTTATCCACAAAACTCAAAGACCGATTCGCAAAAGTATCTTTGGATTGTTGCCCTTTTATGTTTCATACGGCCAACGGCTGCAATTTTATGGTTCCCATTGTGCGTTATCCATATGCAAAGATCTTATCGTTCGATTGCCGAATTAGTGCTTAAACGATATTTACCAATTGCATTGATTGTTGGCACCATTGCCATTGGATTGGATTCGTACGCATATGGTGGTTTCATTGTGACGCCGTTTGAATTTTTTAAATTGAATGTGCTCGAGAATGTGGGCAGTTTTTATGGAACACAACCGTGGTATTGGTATTTCACAATTGGTTTGCCGACTGTTTTGGGAATTGTCACATTACCATTTGCATTTGCCGTAGTTCAAACATTGCAAAATCACACCATTTATTCAGACCGATATGATTTATTAAAAGCAACAGCGTTCACATTGGCCGTATACAGTTTTCTAAATCACAAGGAATTTCGTTTTATTTTACCATTGTTGCCAATTTGTTTGCATATTACCGCAGATACATTGAAAAACTGGAGTCATAATGCTTCACGATGGGCCATTTGGATTGTTACTTTGGGACTGTTAACATTCAATGCAATACCGGCGTTCTACTTGAGTTGGGTGCATCAACGTGGCACCACCGATATTATGCTTTCGATTGAACGTATTGCACGTGAATATCGTGATGTGGATGGACATACAGCAAAGTTTCTATTTCTAATGCCATGCCATTCAACACCGTTTTACAGTCATGTTCATCAAAATGTTTCACTACGATTTTTAACATGCGAACCCAATTTGAATGGCATCGAAAATTACATGGATGAAGCCGATAAATTCTATGCAAATCCAGTTGCTTGGCTACGATCTCACGTACCTGTACATCCGAAATCAGCAATGCCATCACATGCCGTTCTTTTTGATTGTTTACAACCGAAAATCAAAGAATTCTTACAAAACTACAAGGTAATCAATAATATAAGCCATTCGGAATTCACGACAGACGGACGAGTTGGGCATAATGTACTACTTTACGAACGTATCACACATATTTCGCCGAAGAAATCTAATGGAGATGAGCAAAGAAAGAAACCATACAATTCGGATAAATTAATTTTGGATCCAAAAACAGATCATGATGAATTTTAAATTGCAGTACCTAAAGTAAAAGTAATCGATAAAACTCATTGCTGCATTATTTAATAATTTCAAAGAACAATCTTATTTACGAATATAAAATTTTTGTGATTATAGTTACTTAATTTGTGACGTCGATTTTGTTTTGTTTTCAACTCGAAGCGAAACGAATATTTCAATTCATTAATTTAAAATAAAATGTTAACAAATGAAAGAAGGTCAAAAATAAAATAATAATAGTTTTACTATGTTCTTTCAGAACAATTCTTTTTTTAGGTTTTCCAAAACTTTTTTCAGGTTTCAATTAGCCAATCAAAATCCCTAGCAAAGCGAAAGAATTTTTCGCGAAAAACCCTAGCAATTTCAAAACAAAATCCTAGAAAAGAACAAAACTTGACAAGCTTATTCTTCATATTGAAGTTTTGCATGTTTTTGTCTTAAATTTGTGCTATCCATTAAAAGAGAGAAAACCAAATAAATACCGAATGGTTGTAAATACACAATGACGCAAGACATTATGATAAACGTAAATGAATAATAATACACAATTACCTAAATATTTGATGTGATACGTGGGTTTATTTATCGATTCGAATGAGAGAATATTTTATTCTGACATCAAGTGATAAGTACTTTTATCATTTGAATATTGTTGGCGTATTTGTCATTTTCATTTCTTCTTGATTGTCATTTTTTTGCTGAGAGAATGGCCAAGTTTTCCGACTGGACCCATACTATTCCAAATTGTCCCATGCGTGCCAGCTTTCATCCCATATAACTCATTTGCGGAGTAATTTTATCGATGACGGGACTGTGCGGAGTTCAGCGGAGATAGCATGCAAATGCTGTGTGTACGAGTGCAACAGCGTTCTTTGCTGTTCATAGATTTATTTTGTCCAATCGTACATCTTAGTAGCCGTACACACAGCTAAGTTACTAATCATCTGCGTAAGAATGATACACATAGAAGTGCTGTTACCCTCGTACACAGAGTTTGTATGTCATCTCCGCCAAACTCCACACAGTCCCGCCACCGTCAAAATTACTCCGCAAATGAATTATGTGGGATGTAGCACAATTTATGTGAAGATCAACACAAACTTTTGCAATCATATTCGTTATTGGTTGTGAGGTATTCCTAGAAATAGTGATTAATTTGAAATCTATTCAATTATTGAATTAATACGTATTAACAATATATCTTACGGATTTTTATGGAGTTCTTTTAATTTTTTGACAAATTTTTCTAATTTGTTTAAATCACTAAAAAAAATAATTGCTGTTATTAAAAATAATTGCTGACATTCATCCAAATTAATATCGGCAATACTCTTGCAGAACGTACTTGGCATATTAAAAGCTACACATCCACATTCCTGCTTTGTAAAGTTTGCCTCACATTCTGTATCACAATTAATAACCGAATACGTTTTAAAGAAACGTAGTTTCCGTTCTGAATTGAAGTAACATTTTTGCTGTGCTGGTAAATAATTACGAAGTTCAAATTTTCGTTTGCACTGAAAGTGGTATTTCAAAACCCAGAAAACCACTCAGACCACTTTTATATCTAGTTGCCCATCAATCAGCCATAAATTTACGTTAACTAACTATAACTATCCAGAATTTCACTTGGTGCCCACATATACACGATAACCTTCCCGTTTAAAAGGTAAACAAGAATAATATGATCCTTGAATAGGAAAAGCAATATCGATATCAAGTGCAGCATCAGGTCCTGAATTAATTGTACGAATTGGATACTCCCCTTCATTTAAACCGATTGTATATCCATCTTCAAGGCTCCAGCGATGAATATTCGGATCGTTCTTGGCTATCATCAATCCTGGCACCATTTCAAAAATGTTCATCATCCTTTTTTACATTAAATCGACGGATAGAAAATTTAAACTTACTCATTTGTATATATGTATAATAGTAGTATATAATGGTAAAACTAAAATGTGAAAATAATATGTTTCTCTCCAATGTGTTTGCATCCATAATTTGATTTTTTGAAGGGAAATCCACAAAAATATCAAAATTATGGCATTTAAGTTTCAGAGAGGAACAAAATTGGACAAGCTTACACCTCCAATCATAATACTTTTTTAACAATATCATTGTCATCTGTAATTTAATTTTTTCTAAAAAAAATTAGGCACATTTCCAAGAAAAATACTAATTTCTCTTCTTCATTTTCTTTGTCAAATCGTATTTTGTGGCTCACAAATTGTGAGAAAGTCAAGTAGCATGTATGACAGATCCATATCTCATCATCCATTTTTTAATAAGATATGATATTCCGAACTGTCGATATTTGATCAAGTGTTTTAAAGTTATACAGGAGTCTTCCAGTATATATTCATTATAAAGAGAGATATGAATAGTTATAAAATGTCGAGCTTTGAACAGACATTACACAGAGAGAAATATTTGAGTACGGTAACTCGCACTTGCGGTGTTAGCAGAGCGTCTACCCCTCAAAATGAGGTACACACTCTATTTTAATCTATTTTTGGGGTTAATTTCATCCAAGTGATGAGATACATGTGTAGTCATTTATTTACACACATGTATTTCTTCTTTCACTTGTATGAAATTAATACCAAAAATAGAGTAAATTAGAGTGCGTAACTCATGTTGAGAGGTAGATGCTCTGCTAACACCGTAATTGCGAGTCACCGTACTCAAATTTTTCTCTCTGTGTATATTGATATATTTTCAGCAAGCTGAATCAGTTCAGGCAACTAACGTCGAGCGCTGAAATGGAGTGAAATAGAATTGATTGTTGTCGCTCCATTTCAGTGCCTGAGCTAAAATATCTCATATGAAGAAAGGTTATAGACTATTAATTTATGGCCCCTCATGAAAATACAATCTATGATTTTTTTTTTTTTTTTTTTTTTTGGGGAGCTAGGAGGTGTCGCTCATGCTTATGCTATTCAGTTTTTTGCACAGACCCAAAGGCGTAATTATTACGCAAGATTATTTTTTTCTCGGTGATTTTGTGACGCTATCAAGCTGATGCGCTATCAGCTGCTATCCAGCTGATGCGCTGTCAAGCTGCTATCAAGCCGATGCGATTTGGCTCAAAACCCCGTTAATAACGTTAGTAGCTTACATACGATGTTCTATCGGTCACCCATTCAAACACTGGCCAAAGCAAATGCAGCTTAACCTCAGTGAGCGAATGGTGCCGTAGTAGTCGCAGCAGCCACTGTACCCCCTGTTACAATCTATGATACAGCCATCAGATAGAATATTCGAAAAAAGTATGTAAGTGGATAAATTGAACCACGTCTGGTCATTTGTTTACTTTTGTTAACTGTTTGAATGCTGAGTCAAAATGCTAAAAATGTTGAAATAAAAGAAGGTTAAAATTCTAAAATTTGGGTAACGTTTTTTGTAGAAGGGGTATTCCAGTCGAAGTACATGTGACTACTTAGACAAATTCCAGCCGACAAATATTTATACCAGTGAATTTGTATTTTTGGAAATATTTTCAAAGTCAATATAGCAAAAAGTTGAGACGTGTATCGCTCTAATAATCCTTAGTGGAATGCATATTTGGGGTGTATAAAAGCATAGATCCAACGCATCAAAAACTCAGATGTTTCTGGGAATATCATCACTTAACGTGCTAATAACTCATTAAAAAATGAAGTCACGGTGGACACTGTACGTGGCACTTTTTCTGGTCACAATTTTTGTAAGTTTTTTCTATTTTCCTCATTTTATTTTTTTGAAATTATCGTCATTTTATTTTGTTCCTTAGGAATTTGAATGTGTGGCAGAAGATGCAAGTTAGTCGGAATTGTTCATTAACATGCAATGAGTGAAAAAAAAAAACAAAAATACTTTTCTTATCAATGAAATCTATGCTATTTTTTTTTATTCATTTACAGATGAGCTTCTTGATGCTGCCCATGAAGGTAATTTTATTTTATAGCCAAGCTTCTGATGAATGATCAGCATAAAATATATTTGTTAAAAAAGGGGTAAATATTTGATTTTATTTTCATCTATTGCTTTAGGTTTAGCAGATAGTATCAAGCCATGCCTTGAAAAAGGAATTGATATCAATGTACGCAATAAGCAAGGAGAAACGGCACTAATTATAGCTGCCAAAAGCGGTAATCTACAATATTCATTTTTTGAGTATGAATTCAACGATAAATTCAAATATTTTATATGTGTTTTGTTCAGGACATACAAATTTCGTAAAGGTTCTTCTTGAAAACAAAGCTGATGTTAACATACTATCAAAAAACATTTGGTCTGCATTGCATATTGCTGCATACGGCAGTAAGATGATCAAATATTGAAAATTGATAATGAAAGTAAAAAATTCAAAATTATTTCGTGCATTTACTCAGATTATCCTGATATCGTTAAGATGCTCCTTGATCACGGTGCTGATGTTAATGCAAGGAACGAGTGGGGATGGACAGCATTCCATCTTATGTCTATTCGGGGTAATACCCTTCGTTAAAGTACTATCATGTATTTAACATATTTTTAATCAGGTCTTGACGCTGCGATCAAAAGACTTCTTGATAATGGATTCGATATTAATTTAAAAACAAACAACACCCCACCGACTTCAGAATGGACACCTTTATACGCAGCAGCAGCGTATGGTAATTTGTCACCGACCGAAATGAAGTAACATTTTCTTTCAATAATTTTATCATTGAAACGTTCAGATCAAATGGGCATTGTGAAATTTCTTATCTTTAATGGAGCTGATGTTAATGCAACAAATCACGAAGGAAAAACTGCAAGAGACATCGCTAAAGATAAAGGTAACATTTTGATCTGAACATCAGTTCTACTGTCTCTTTGTTTTAGTGATGGTTCTTTTTATAGTCACAATACAGAACTTATTGATAATTTATTTTTAATTTGGTTCTTTTCAGCTGCATTTGATCATATAATCGCAGTGAAAGGTAATCTACAGCATATGGAAATCTATGTATCAATGTATTGGTCTACAGAATATGTTTTCAAAACATATGGTTTCAAATCGTTTTGATGGAAAAAATGGCAAGTGAAGGGATCCAGTCAAATTTCTGTAGACCAATATAATAAACAACAATTTCATATAGAAAAACTTACTTTTTAATGTCTCCAATTCATTTTGTCTTTCTCAAACGAATTTTCATTTGTAGAGTTTTTTGATGCAGCTGAAGGAGGTAATTTCCATGTCATAATCGTAATTTTTTTAATTGAAATTTCTTTTATTTTTAATAATATGTTCAGGCTTACAGGATAAGATTAAGCCCCTTATTGAAAAGGGAGTAAATATTAATGAAGAGAACAACAATGGCGATACTGCGTTAATAATATCTAGCAGACTTGGTAGGATTCTACAGATTATTGATACAAATGATTTTGTACATTCGAATGTGACTATAATTTTTTTTGCTTAAAATATATTCTTTAGGACATTACTCATTCGTTAAAGTACTTCTAAATAACAATGCTGGTGTTAATTTAGTGCATAATAATAAATGGCAATCGGCATTGCACTCTGCATCATATGCTAGTAAGACTGATTAATGAGTATAAGTTGAGAATGTAAATTATAAATCGTAAATTATTTGGTTGATTTTTTCAGTGAAAGAAGATATCGTTAAATTACTCCTTGATCATGGTGCTCATGCAAATGCAATGGACGCCGAAGGATTGTCGCCATTCCATATTATGGCTAGTAAAGGTAAAAATACTTAGATTTTTGAAAAGTTACAATTACATTTAATGAATTTGAAAAATGTTGTGAATTTATTTGTGCAGGTCTTAACCATGCAATCCGAAAGGTTCTTGATAATTGGTTCAATATTAATTTAAAAACAACCGATGCGAATGGATGGACGCCTCTACATTGTGCTGTTGTAGCTAGTAAATTCTGATTTAACCTCATAAATAAACAAGATTTTTAATAATATAAATCGATTATTCAGATCAATCTGATACCGTCAAACTTCTCATTTTTCGTGGAGCTGATGTTAATATTAAATCAAAAGATGGAAAAACACCAAAAGACATTGCCACAGATAAAGGTAGTATCATATTTGTTCTTTTAACATTACAAACGCTTAACAATATCGACTGAAAAAGTTTCCCAATCGTATGGTGTAGTTAAGTATTTCACAGAACCTAAAATCCACTAGAAAAACACTTTCATTGAAAAAATGTATTGATAAATTTATCTGTTTCGTTTCAGGTGAAATTGACTCTATGATCCACGATAAAGGTAATATAAAGCGTATTACAATATTGCTTAACGCATTAATAAATTTATCACAACAATAGATCTACCTCTCTAAATTTATCTTCTGATATTCTTTTCACTAAAACTAATTCGTATTCATAGATGTTCTTTTGAAGAAGTTCTTTAATGCCGCCGAAAAAGGTAATTTAAATTCCGCATTTCTGACGTTGTTAACCACCAAAATAATTGCTGAAAAATACAAGTGTTTTACATAAACCTAACAATATTTTAACTTCACAAATTTGCTCAGGATTAAAGGATGAGATCTATGGAATACTCGAACAGGGAATAAATGTTAATGAACAAAACGGCGATGGCGATACTGCGTTAATTATTGCTAGCAGACATGGTATGATCCAAATGATTTTGTACAACTCAAAAGTTAAAACATGTTTACTTAAAGTATTTTATTATTGTTTTGTTTAGGACATGCGAAAGTTGCTAAGATTCTTCTGGAAAATTTGGCTAATGCTAATTTAGTAAATAAAGATCATTGGACGCCATTGCATGTTGCTGCACTCGGCAGTAAGACTGATTGATATTTTAAGTGAAAATTATGAAAGTAATAAATTGAATATTATTTGGTTTATTTGCCCAGAGCATGAAGAGATCGTTCTGATGCTTCTTCAGCATCATGCTGACGCTAATATTAGAAACGATTGGGGAGAGACGCCATTCAATATTATTGCATATCAAGGTAACCATTTAGAGATTGTAAAAAATCATCAAATATTTAATACATTGAAAATATTCTGTGATTCAGGTTTAGATAAGGCCGTTATCAGGCTTCTTCATTTGGGATACGATGTTAACGTAAAGACCATCAAAAATTCAAGATTTAATCTTTATGATTGTACTCCGTTACATGCAGCTGCCAGTCATAGTAATATCTAACCGAAATCGAGTTGAAAAAAATATTTTTTTTTTTTTAATAATTATGCCATTTTATTATTCAGAGTGTAGTAGTACTGTAAAAATTCTCATCTTTAATGGAGCCGATGTTAATATAAAAAATAATTTTGGATTAACTCCAAGAGAGTTCGCAAAACAGAGGGGTCACTACTTTTTTTTGGGTAATTTTCAGATAAACAGTATCGATTCATAACTTATTGATGAAATTATTTGTTCTTTTTTAGATAAATTTGATGATATTGTTAAAGAGAGAGGTTATTGCCTGAACGTTCCTTTTTGCTTACTTTTATATACGATATGCTTGCTTACTATATAAAAATTGCAAAAATGGTCAAATCCACATGTCTTCATTTCAATTTACTACAATTTATTTTTATTTTTACAGATGAGATTTTTGTGGCAGCCAAACAAGGTAATTTCTTTTTAAAATATTATTTTGACGTACTGACTACAACTAAACTAAGATTGTAAGATGAAAGCAAGACTTTTCAAACGATTTCTGGAATTAAGTTCAATTACTCCAGAGTAATGAAGCCCATACTGACGAGTTAGATTGTCATGACACTGGTTTGTTTGAAAGTAAATCATGTACAGTATGATGGACGTATAGAAAATATTTTAGTGTTCATTATATACATTCATTGGTTTTACGCATTCTTTTGTATTACGAATTTCAGTGAATTTGTATGAATTGTACATGAAAATCCAAGATGGCGGCTTGCTAGCACGCCTGAACTGTCACAATAATGAATTTCTGTGAATTTTGTGAATTTTTTCACCGAACTATGCCCCTAGGCTGTTGTCGTTTCGTTACTCTGATTTGGCCAGACATCGATGGAAATGTTTATTTCATTCTTTAATTCAATTTTAATTTTAATTTTTTTAATGTTGACTACTTCTTCAGGACTGACGGATAAGATTAAAACATTCATCAAAAAGGGAATAAATATTAATGTACAAAATAACGATGGAGACACGCCACTTATTATAGCCAGCCGACACGGTAATCTATATCTCAATAATGGTTAGTTTCATAAAATAATCATTTAAAATATTATCATTTTTAGGACACACTGAGTTTGTTAAAGTACTTCTGAAAGACAAGGCTAAAGTTAATTTAGTAAATAGGGATAATTGGTCAGCCCTTCATTGTGCTGCACTCGGCAGTAAGACTGATTGATGTTTTAAGTGAAAATTATGAAAGTAATAAATTGAATATTATTTGGTTTATTTGCCCAGAGCATGAAGAGATCGTTCTGATGCTTCTTGATCACCATGCTGATGCTCATATTCGGAACGATTGGGGAGAGACGCCTTTAAATATTTTTGCATATCAAGGTAACACTTAAGAAATTGTAAAAATATTATCAAATATTTAATACATTGAAAATATTCTGTGATTCAGGTTTAGATAAGGCCGTTATCAGGCTTCTTCATTTGGGATATGATGTTAACGTAAAGACCATCAGAAATTCAAGATTTAATCTTTATGATTGTACTCCCTTACATGCAGCTGCCACTCATAGTAATTTCTAACCAAAATCGAGTTAAAAACAATAATCTTTTCAATAACTATGCCATTTGATTATTCAGATCATATGAGTACTGCAAAAATTCTCATCTTAAATGGAGCCGATATTGATGTAAAAAATAATTATGGATTAACTCCAAAAGAGTTTGCCATAAAGAAGGGTCACTCTATGGGTAATTTTCAGATAAACAGTGTCGATTCATAACTTATTGATAAATTTAATTGTACCTTTTCAGCTGAATTTGATCACATAGTCGAAGAAAGAGATAAAGGTAATTTTCAGGACTTAAAATTCACTTAATTTTGAATGATAGTGCCATTTTTAATTTATTAATAACACTCTGACAAAATTTACCAGACAATTCTTAAAGTAAGCCTGGTAAAATATCATTTTTGCAACTACCTGATATACTTGAAAAATACATTCATATGAGAATGAAAGTGTTGACTTTGTAAAATGCCATTGACATTTTGCCAGGATCACTTTGAGCTTTTTAAGGTGTATTTTCTCTAAAATTCTCCACAGTTTTTTTAAATTCATTATTTTAATTATTTTTAAAGCTTTGAAGCTCTTGGCAGCATCCAGAAAAGGTACCTTTCTCTCAAATGAGAGCATTCAATTTATTATGAAATGAATTATACTGAATTGATAACGCTTTACGTACAGGTGATATAAATGAAGTTAATAGGCTTATTGATGAAGGTGCTGAAGTCAACGTAAGAGATGTAAAGGGGAAAACACCGCTTTGTCAAGCAATCATAAATGGTAATTTCTGAAGTATTTGAAACATTAATATATATAATAGATATAGATATATCAGTATTGTGCGAGGAAAATTTTTCAGGGGGGGTGGTTTTTCGAAACCAAAAATTTCTCTAGCAAATCGAACAATTTTTTTTCTGGAAGTCACTTTTTGAGGCGAAAATCCCTAGCAAATCGAAAGAATTTTCTCCGTGAAAAACCCTAGCAAATCGGAAAAAATTCTCTCGGAACCAAAAACCCTCGGAAATTGAAAGAATTCTCCTCAATTTTCTACATTGATGAGCTAAAAAAAGCTCTTTACTTTAGAATCAAAGACCCTAGCAAATTCGAATAATTTTCGCGAATAAAATTTTCCAAATCACAGGGGGTAAACCCTCCTTCGCACATTACTGATATATATTGTATATATTCGTTGTTTCAGCGCATGAGGAAATTGCGATGATTATCCTTAACAAGGGAGCAGACTTTCGTCATCAAAAATTGGAAGGAGGAAAATCAATAATAATAGAGGCAGTGCTCAAAGGTAGATGTTATTTTGTAGTTTTAACAAATTGAACATCTGAACGATTATATTGATTCGCACAGGCATGACAAATGTGGTCGAAAAGCTTCTTGATAAAAAAGCTGACGTTAATAAATTTGATAATCGAGGTTATAGTGCACTTCATTATGCTTGTAAACTTGGTAATACTTTCAAACGTTAAAATTGCACCCAGTACAAGATTCTCACAATATATTTTTATTAATTTTTAGGTAAAATGGATATCGCTACATCGCTCATTCGTCATGGAGCTGATGTTAAGGCAAAAAATCATGTTGGACACGTTCCAGGAGATCTGATTAAAAATGCAGAAGGTAAAAGGTTTCAATATATTAAGTTCATTACATGTATAACATTTTGTTTCCCGTTTTCTTTATTTATATCATTTATTAGTGCGGGAACAGTATGAGAAAATTATAAGTGCGAATGGAGCAAATACGAGCGAGCATTAAATAATTGGTTTTTGAAAGTTTTTGCAGATGTCAAGCGAAAACACACCCTTGACCTATGCATAATATAAGAATATTCAGTAATTGAAAAGTAAAAATAAAAAAAGATTACCAATACCGAAAGAGAAATGTTTTTATTCGTTGGTTCAGCACCAAAAATGTACACGTTTATTTCACGTGATGACAAAGATTATGACTACACAGCCAATATTTAAATAAAATCCAATAAATGAATAAATAGAAACTTAAAGGATGGTTGTTTGAAAGAAAAGATTAGTCAAATTCAACACATAATTCACCCAATGGTAATGTTCAATTGTATAAGACAGGATTATCTTGGTCCATGTCAAATGTTATGCATCCATCGTGTGAGTAGGCCATTTCTTGACTCTGTCCACCCTCTTTATTCGTTATCTCCAAGAACACAGCAACCACTAAACATATCGCATTATAAATGATATGGTAAATTTGACAGACAATTTATTGAACTAACTGGTCAGTTGAGCTGACAGTACGTTATAGCCAGCTAAATGGACTAAAACAATAGAAGATATTGTTATAATGAACAATCACTTCCATTAAAACGAGAAAAGTGATTCACCATCAAAACAATAACGTCTATTGTTTTAGCCCATTTAGCTGGCTAACGTACTGTCAGCTCAACTGACTAGTTAATTCAATATATTGTCTGAAATTTTTCCCTCTATATTTTTTTCATATAAATAAATTGTCAAAAGAAAGTAAAATAAACAAATGGAAATATTTCTGAATGTAATTTTTATTATTTACACTTATGCATCAATTTGAATCAATAAAGAAATTGTTGTAAGTGAATAAAATATACTTTCATACTTTTCTACGTGACGGAGCGGTCCCAAAAGATCATTTTATTAGTTAAGCTATCAAAAAATGCACCAAAAAATATTGGCTGTTATGATTTTAAATCAAGACATTTTAGATTCAAGTGGGAAAGATTTTGGGTGGAAATGATTATTCTTTTTTCAATTTTGATGCCTTTACAGGATTATTACGACGAATTTTTGGAATATTCACGATAGGTTTTCTTACGAAGACTTTCGGATTTTTAATGACAATTTTTGGGTTTTTAAAGACAATTTTCTGAATTGTTGGGTTCTTTTCTGGTTTATCGGTATTTTCTGGTTCATCGTTTTTCGGTAACGGTTTCTCTGATTTCGATTCTACCTTCTGCGTTTTTGGCGGTGGTTTATTATGGATTATATTGATTGAAGCTTCCAACGACTTCAGCTTAAATGTGTTTAATGTAATATTCTTAAGATCAAAAGATGTGAGTTTCATGGCTAATGCATATTTTGAAATATTTTCGCTGAGATGGCTTGCCTTGTTACGAATAAGTTGGGCTATTTCCTCGATTATTTTCTTTGCTTTTTCGCGATTGTCGTCAGATTGCCCCTCAAACTTGGATAAAGTCAACAAAAACCTGTACCAATTCGATGAATCGGACAGATACTTTTCTGTAGTTTTTACTTTGTCACTTGGGTCGTTGAATAATTTTAATAATACATTGTCATTTTTGTATCCAATGGAGATTATGAAATTGATAATTTTCTTCAATTTATTTAAAATTTCAGTTATTTTTCCTGTTCCATCGAGTTTCAGATCTGACAAATCCTTAAAAATTTCTTTGATAAATACTTCTGGTGTCGGCGAATAGGATGAGAACTTTAATTTTTTAAATGCCGCATGCATTTTTTCGTCTAATACAGATAAATCTGAGACATCACTCTCCTGATTTAAATAAAACATTTCAATTTCACTGAAAAGTGCACGAACCTCATTTTTTAGATCTTCATTTATCTCATTGTATATAGCCTGTTTGTATTTTTCATTAGCTTCGTTGAGCTCGTTGATGGCTTTCTTCAATTTGTTTCCAATTTTGAAGAAGCTCGGTAAATTGGAATTGCTCATTTTCATAAAATTAAACACCATTTCAATGTGTCTATCCAAACTATCTCGATGTGGCTTCGATATTGGAATACCAAGTGAAGAGGTAGCACTTTTAAGTTCGCTTTCAAACAATTTAATATCGTTATGATTAGATGCGATCTGAGATAATTCCTTATAAGCTCGTTGTACTTTTTCGTAGAGAGCGAATTTTTCTTTAACATCCATAGCTTGGTTCTTTTGGATTGAAAAAAATTCTTTGATCTCTTCGCTAATCTTAGATTCATCATCATCTAAACTTTTAGCCAATTTATTGATCATTTTACCAATGATGGAAATGGCTTTCTCAGACAAACTAAATCCAAAATCGCTATCTCTTTTATCAATCCATTTAAGTGATTTTACCATATCTGTGATGGAGTTTTTTTCATCAACCATTTCTGGCATTTCGTCCAAATTTCCAGGAACTCTTACTAATCGATGAATTCTAATTCGCTTATATTTATCACCATCTTTTTCTAAAAATATTTTAACAAAATGTTTGATTTTATCTTCAATTTCCAAGTCAGGATAGTCCAATCCGTTCATTCCGCGCAACAGTGAATTGCCTTTAAATGCCGTAAGCTTGTCATCCGGCACTTTTCTTGCATGATCAGCTCGTGTAACTACCAAACCCATACCATTTTTATAATGGTCAACATCTGTGATCATCATAGCACCATGCAGGGCAAATTCTTCTAAGCCATCTCTACTACTTCCTTGAAATGCATCTTGTGGCAAAACATAAAGAAGTTTTACCTGTTTGGCATGTTCCCATAACTTTTTAAGTAGATAATTAATGGCAATTTCGTATTTGATTTCATCGTTATTATCTTTGAATCCTGGACAGTCATAGTAGGCGATTTGATTTTTTTTATCGATCAACAAATTTGGCACGATTGTCGTTGATGCCCACGTCTCATTTGAAATAAGATTATGTACAATGCGAATGGTGCCATCCATTGGATCTTCTATCGCTTCTAAATCGGCACCAGAAAGGTGTAGCGTTAAAGTCGATTTACCAGAACCAGTTATTCCCAAAACCATTACAATTTTTTTCTCATCAGTCAATTTTAATGTGAAATTTTTAACCGCTTCATCGACGTAAGCAAAAATGTCGGCGACTGAAAGTGAAATAGAAGCAAAATTAATATAAGTATTCGAAAATTTTGTGTGTTTGACATTGTTGCTATGTGATCAAGAGAATAAAGGAATGCGGAGAAACGAATGTTTCGTTGTTCATGGAAATTTTGGTATTGTATAAGGCTGTATAATTTCAAGACTCCTTATTGTGTTCCATAAAAAGTTTTATCAGCCATATATCAATACACATTTATTTATTAATTCACTCCTTTTCACTCAATAACTACTCACTTTACCGAACATCAAATACTAAATTGTCAATGTTCGATAATCTTAAAAACAAATGCTAGAAATAATTTCCATAGGAATTGACGTGGTGCGTCTTATTTGATTGTAGTTTAAAAAATGGGCTAATTTTCCACGATCAACGCAAGATTTCATACACCACCGATCAGAAGTATTATTGCAAGTCTTTGAAATGACAAATTTTGTATGAAAATTAATTGTTTTTTTTGCAGTCAATGACTTGTCATTTGAAAACCAGTGAATATTTTTTCCTAAATATTTACTATTTTATTCTTCATACGATATTGAAAAAACATACAAAAAACTATTGATTTCTGAGAATAAAAAGTGTTATTTTTGAAACCTTAAAAAACGCCATTTTGCTGCGTTTTTTAAATGAAAAATACATTGGCCCAAACTTTTGATCGATGTATATTCAGTCATTTTTCTTTAAATTGTTTGAAACATATTTTATATACAATTATACATGAGTATGAGTACTTACTGTTTTCTACATTATTATTACTACTGCTGGCCTTCTTTTCCTTCTTCGTTCCGCCACAGTGGATAATCTGAAATGAAAAAAAAAAAACATTATAATGAACGTAATAAGTAGCACTTTTGTGATATGGTGTTTGTCAAAAAATGATTGAAAATATACTTACAAGGAATATATTCACGAAGAAAAGTGTCAGTTTTATGTCGAATAACTTCATTTTCGCACCTAGTTCACTTGCTTAGAAGACTAAAGTTATTTTCCAGAGCGTAGCTTCTTTTATTCTGTTCAATCGACAATGAAGATTCGCGTGTAATTTGAAAAGAATTTCAACTTAGTGAAAAAAATTTCGGCATGATCACAAATTCCATTGGATAAAATGTGTTTTATTATTTTAACGAACAGAAAAATTGGATCGATCCTGAATCATACATTGTATATAATGGCGTAGTCGATCGTAATCGATATAGAGAATCATGTACATTTTACAGAAATTTGTTCATATATGATAGATACACATTTGCTTATCCGTAGCACCTTCATAATTACTGTATTTAATTTAATAATTTGCGAATGTTGCATGAATATATGAGTACGTGACACATAGTGCATACACCCTTCATTTAAGTTACAATCCGAGCGAAGCCTGGCAATTGTAGATTCATTATTCTAGAAAAATCTTCAGTTACATGTGTACGTTCTTAATATCTATATCGAGTACATTCATGAAATTGTTAGTTCTGTTTTTCATTTTCAGCCGATCAATTGATCGAAAAATAAAAAATGAAAATATTCACAGTCTTTGGAGACAGCAGCTCTTTATCATGCGCTACGTATTAAAGTAAAATAACAATTGTTTTTTTTTTGACAAAAAACACACAACATCCAAGCTAATGATCGTAATTCAAAAGAAAAACCGAAACAGTATCAATAAAAAAAAACAAAAATGGGACATACCGATCTTTTAATCGCAATTTATAAATTCGATGTGTCTATTAATTAAAATTTTCACAAACGAATCAATATACAGGGGGTTTCACAGTTCTGTACAAATCCCTCTATCAATGTCTAGAGGAGCAAAGAATATATGGACACATAGAAAAGAACATGACAAAATTAGTATGCTTTACAATCTACTTGCTTTTTTGATGCGCATTTTCCTGTCCACGCATGTTATGAATGATTGAAAGTCCACTCATTTCCATATATTGTCCATAAATGACCATAACTTGTTATGTCCGTCTGGCAATACTATCTCAGGTCGTAAATCTCTCTGTTTGACTCGATTTGGTCGGCGGTATACTTTTTGCAATTTTTATTTGCTCACAAAACATCTGATTTGCGCCTAACGTTCAAGAAAAAATGTACGGAGCTATATTACACAGAGCCAAAACAAAAGTGAAGCTGAAATCAAATGTGTGCATTCGGCATTTTAACTTTTAACCGACATAAAACATGTGATGGCCATTCTTGAAAAATGAAAATGCATACGGAAGTGAGCGAAATTTGTTTATTTTTCTGAATTTGTCATTGTCTATGATCGAGTTAAATAGTCAAGGGAACATTTATTATGCAGTAATCTACGGTGTTATTTTCACGAATGTGGTCGGCAATGATGGCCTCTTTAGTCGTACCAATTTTAGTAATCAGTAGTGTATTGAGTTTTGATAGTGTCTATGCAGACGACGCTGCATTTGGCCGAATTATTAGATTTAACAATTTTGATAATTTTCAAGTGAGTTTTTTTTTTTTCAAAAAAATTGTGATTTCTTCAAAACGAGTTTTCTTGGACTTACTAAATGGTTAATTAAATTCAATAGGCTGCCATGAATAAAACATACTATCACGAACATGATGTAAAACGTGCGCGAATTGCTTTTAAAAATAATATGGAGCTTATAAAAAAGCATAACGATGAAGCCAGAATGGGCAGACATAGCTATGAATTGGGCGCAAATAGTATGACAGACCTCACGCATTCGCTATATCTAAAGCGATTTATTCGATTTACAGAAGCCATTCATCCGGAAAATGAATTTTATGGTGATGATAAAGAAGCATTGCGACGTTCAATACGTCATAGTGAGGCCGATGACGTTTACATACCCGAAAGTAAGTATAATATCAAGTTATTCTGGCTTAGGTAACTTTAAGATTTATTTTCTGTTTTAGCCCTGGATTGGCGTGATTTGGGTTTCAAAACCAAGCCAAAGAATCAATTAACGTGTGGCAGTTGCTATGCATTTTCTGTTGCAACAAGCATTGAAGCGCAAATATTCCGACGAACTGGAGTGCTTGTAGAGTTGAGCGCACAACAAATTGTTGATTGTAGCATCGAATCGGGGAACATGGGCTGTACAGGTGGTGTTTTACGTCGATCTCTTAAATATCTTCAAAACATTTCGAAAGGTTTAATGCGAGAATCAGACTATCCATATGTGTCTGAGCAACAAGAGTGTATGTACAATGAAAATTTGTCCGTTGTGAATGTTACGAGATGGGCAATACTTCCGAAAAAAGATGAGAAATCACTTGTAAAGGCCATAGCACAATATGGACCAATTCCAATTTCAATAAATGCAAAACCACGAACGTTTCAACTATATTCACATGGAATTTATTCAGATCCTGCGTGCACGGATGGTCCACCAAATCATGCAATGCTTGCCGTTGGTTACGCTCCAGACTATTTTATTTTGCAGAATTGGTGGGGTGATCGGTGGGGGGATAGAGGTTACATGAAGGTAGCTAGAAATCAGAATATGTGCGGTATAGCAAATTGTGCTGCTTATGCGATGGTTTAAAAAAAACTATACGCAACATTCAATTCCAAAGAAATATTTAAAAAAAACATTAAATACCTAATTTAAGTAATTGAAATTATCACCAAATGAAACATGTCGAAATGAATCAAATATAGTTTTGTTTTTATTATTGTTACAAGTTTATAGTTGTGTTTTCATTGTCAATCGACACAAAAAAGCTGCATACGGAACAGAATGAAATTTGTTTATATTCCCGAATTTGTCATTGTCTATGATCAAGTTAAATAGTCGATGAACTATTTAAGTCAATTGTGTAAATTCAGCGAATACAGTTTGCAGTTATGGCTTGTCTATTTAACATAATTTTCATATTTAGTAGTGCATCAGTTTTCATTGTCATTATTAATGCCAATGATTTTTCATTCGGGCGAATTATAACATTTGATAATTTTGATCATTTTCAAGTGAGTTTTAGTAAACTGAATTCAATTAATAAAATAACATTTAAAATTAACTCATTTACAGGCCAATATGGATAAAATATATTATCATGATTATCAAGTGAAACGTGCACGTGTGGCATTTGAAAAGAATATGGAGATAATAAAAAAGCATAACGAAGAAGCCAAAATGGGTAAACATACATACGAATTACGTGCAAATAGTATGACAGATTACACACAAGAAGGTATTTATCTCCAGTGCTATTTAATAAAATTGTCCAAACGTCCTAATTTTCATCGATTACGCCCTAGCATATTTGAAACGATTCGTCCGCCTTAAAGAAGTTGTTCATCCGGAAAGTTTACCGCAAAATGAAGTAAATGCTGAAGATAAAGAAGCACTGCGCCGTGCAATTCGTCATAGTCCAAACGACGATACTTATATACCCGAAAGTAAGTATTCCATCAAATTTTTACAATTTAACAGTACTATATCAAATGTTTCACTCATTTCAAGCGCTGGATTGGCGTGATTTGGGTTTCATAACCAAACCAAAAAATCAGCTGTCGTGTGGAAGTTGTTATGCATTTTCGGTTGCAACAAGCATTGAAGCGCAAATATTTCGTCGAACTGGAATGGTTGTACCATTAAGTGCACAGCAATTTGTTGATTGTAGCATTGATTGGGGCAATGGTGCCTGTCAAGGTGGCAATTTTCGTGGAACTCTTCAATATCTTCAATCTACAAACGGTTTAATGCGAGAAACCGACTATCCATATGCGTCTGAGCAACAAGAGTGCATGTACAATCCAAATTTATCCGTCGTAAATGTTACGAGGTGGGCAATACTTCCGAAAAAAGATGAAAAATCACTTGTAAAAGCCATTGCACAATATGGACCAATTCCAATAACTATAAACGCAGCACCAAAATCATTTCAACTATATTCGCATGGAATTTATTCAGATTCCTCATGTACCGATAAAATGGTGAATCATGCGATGCTTGCCGTTGGTTATACTCCAGACTATTTTATTTTGCAGAATTGGTGGGGTGGGTATATGTTTTTTTTTTTCACTTGTGTAAGCGTTAATTTTTTATTTTTTTAATAAATAACCAACAGGTGATCGCTGGGGTGAGACTGGCTACATGAAGATTGAAAGACATCGTAATAGATGCGGTTTGGCCAATTATGCTGCCTATGCAATGGTCTGAAGATGCATAATACTGATTGTAATAGCTTGTCACCATGCCACGTCACATGTTAAACGATTTTGTTTGAAATTAGAAAAGAAAAAAATGCAAAAACCTTTTTTGTTGTTGTGAACTTTATTAACTGAAATGTTTGTCTTTTTTCTTTTTTTCTTTTTATTGAATTCAAGTAAATTTGGCCTTTATAAAATACAATTTATTTCTTGCTTACAAACTGTGTTGATGCTTGAAAATATCTACGATGAGAACTAATTTCTAAGGCGAGATATTTGATCTATTTTCGACGATCTTTCCATTTACTTTTTTCGATTTCTTTTTTTTTCTCTCTCTCTCTCGATTTAATTCGATTATTTACTTAAACAATTTTATTGCCATCATATTCGATATTCCATTGACAATAATCAATTTTCGATCCAAACTCATCCGAATGACATATAAATTACAAAAACCCACTCACTATTATCAAACATATTTTAATTTTTATCTAAATAAAAATGCATGACTCAACAAAAATATATATGACTTTTTTTCCCTCACAATCTAAATAAATCTAATTTTCTCGAAACGATCGAATTGTACCTGTTTATTTTTTTTTCTCACTCTCTACCATTTTCTTTTTTAGTGAGATTCATTGTTTTTTCCTAATGAATAAAATTATTTTAAATAAATAATAGATGTTTCTTTGTATTATGTATAAAAAAACGTTTCACATTTTGAAATCAGACCCTGATGAAAATTCACTAGAAGAAATTACTTGGTAACAAAATAAAATGCAAAGAAATTCGATACAATTATAACAAACAGAAGTGCTGCTTCATTGCAAAAAAATTTGTTGTGCATGACTAGGAAGCATTCTGGTGTCATTTTAACGCGTAACAAAAAAAAAAGTAATTTGAAGACAAACAAACACGAAAACCACACTTTTTCCAGCGCTTTGAATCCCTTTCAGTCCTACTCTTATAACAACATTGTCCACACCATCAAAATTCTATCGTTTATTTTGATTTAGACCGTCTAATTAAATATGTGTTGCATCGAGAAAAAAAAATTATCTATCACTATTCATTAAGCTGCTGTTAAAAAGTCTCGAAAAGAAAAGAAAAATACTACAAGAATATAGTTGCTATCGATGATATTTGCATATTTTCGGCGTGTGTTTGTTTGTATGTGTATCAAAATCATATTTTCATTATTATTTGTCATCTATTTGATCGATGATGATTAATGGCTAAAAAAGACAACATTTAAAAGCATTAAAACTCTCCATTTTCTCTATTACTCTTAAATGTGATAACGGATGGTTGCAAATTCATTGTATTTGTTTGTTTAATGCTGAAGAAATAAATACCACTCATTTGTTGGCCGTATTTCTTCTAGACCGCTTTGACTGTGAGAGTGTGTTTGACTGTTTGTGTGTGTGTGTGTGTGTGTATGGTAACAGATACTTAAATATCGACTTATATGTACATATAATTGGAAAAAAAATTTGTGCTTCGTTACTATAATTTGTTTTGGTAACAAGGTAATGATATTTTATGGAGTATTGCACTTGAAGCATAATCGATGTTGGTGCTGTTTCTGTTGCTTTTGCTGTTGTCCCCCCTACTTACAATCGTGTTATTTCGGAAACAGTGCTGACCGTTTCGCAATTTTTGGCCGTTGTGTCATTGCTTTTGACTTTTGTTGTTGCCAATGGCATTGTTTTGCATACAGTTGTTTTTGGCAAATTCGAATAATAACCGATGCACTCCGATTGTTGTTTGTGTTTCAAAATCTTATTTTGCGAATCGACCGGTTTACATTCACATGAATTGATGCTCGTATTTGATACATTATTGTATGTATCCAATAAATTATCGGTCGATTTGGTAAACGATGTGGTTGTTGTTGTTGCCGCAAATTCTTGTACAAATTGCGATGGTGGCGGTGCATAATTCTCAATATTTAACAATGAATATCGTCCCGATGGATTTTTTCTTGGCACTGAATTATGTTGATGATTTGGATTGACAATTTCGTTAATATTTCGATTGGTTGTCAATCCTTGCGATGAATACATTATTTGATTTTCCGATTCTAAAAAATGTGTACGAACGGTTCCCGATGACGTGACATTCGTGCGTGCCTTTGTATTGGCTTTTTCCAAATATCCATAGCCAAAACCATACCCACCGATTGCTTTCATCGCTAAATTATCCCATGATTTTGGTTTCTGTTGAATGTACTGCTTTTAAAATTGACGAAAACAATTGGAAAAATTGTCAAAAGTTTGGAAGAAAAATGTCATTCTTAGATTTTAGATGATGAAAATATGAACTTACTTGTGTATCATAATACGATATATTTTCATGGTTTGGAATTGGTTGCGGTGCTCCACCTTGTGTCGGAGCAATATGATAGCCTCGTTTTTGATGATGGTGATGATGATGTCGATGTTGTGGCATTACATTTGCGTTACCTAATAGAATCCAAACAAAAATATCAAAATGTATCAATTCCAGTCTAACTGTCGATTTCCGGTCATACCTAGCATTGCGCTTGGGTGCTGAAGACTATTGTACGATTGACGAGATTTGATTGATTGCTGTCGACTATTTGTGGCAGATGCATCACTTTGTTGATCCCAATATAGTGTGTCCGTGCTCAATGATGTTGTATAGGAAGTGGCACTACTTTCAGCGACGCCACCACCTCCGTCAAAATCACTTGATGATATACACGAATGAAGACTACAACGTGATGCCAATTGATTGCTCAAATTGTGCAGACGACGATGATTCTAAGAATGAAAAAAAAAAACAACACAAATATATTCAGGTTCAACACATGTCGGAGGCAAATAGATGTCGCAAAGATTTTTTTTTTACATGTTTCTCAATGTGATTGCATTGTGCTGTTTGCTGTGCAGCTTGCTTCTTATGACACACATGTGACTGTGATCTTGGTCGCTGTGCACGATCTTTATCCCTATGTTTATGTTTGTGTTCTTTGTGCTTCGACCTTCTCGGTACACATTCTGGATTACAACACGGACTGGCCAAATCATATGCATCAAGGCTAACGTTATCACCGTTATTTTGTTTATCACGTTGTGATCCCAAGCATGGATTACATGAACGTTTATGGCAGTGATTTCGTGGCTTTGAATTGCACCGTGTATCCTTTTGATTATCATGATTATTTTCGACATTCTCTTGTGACGCACTCAGTTCATCATGTGAAATGCTATTTGCATTATAAAATTGTTGGTGTTCGCTTTTACTACGTGCTGGTGGTCCAATGCTCAATAGATATTCACCACTATTTGATGCCGATGGCTTTAAAATATAACGACATTGCGGATCTAAATATTGATAAGTGGCCAACATAAATTGAACGGGCGGCGCAATTACACTCGGACTGTGTTTATTCGCTTTTGTTAAATCATCCTCAGATATTGGCCGCACATTTGGAAATGCCGTTGTATTTATATTCTCTAAATCAGACATCGATGGTGTTAGATATTCGGTTGATGGTGAAACATTTGATGCTGCAGCGGCAGCGGCTGCTGATGACGCTTTCTTTCGTGGTGCCGGCAAACTATGAGTTTTCCATATCTTTTTGCCTTCAAGTAGTTCACGTTCTTTTAAACATGTTCGTTCTAATTCGTTCATTTTAGAATGCAACACATTTTGCAATTGAATGTATCGCATATGTAGTTCAACTTTTCGTACACAGTCCTCAAATAACACAACCATACGCATACGTGAATCACAATTTTTTATGTATGTCACAATCGTTTTGTGATCAGCCTTTTCCATATCAGTGCCATTTATAGATAGAATCACATCGCCTTCGCGCATTCCTACAAATAAACGAATCCACCGATGACAGAGAGAAAGAGAGAAACATTCAGATTTAGAACATAGTAGCAGCAAATTTACAAAAAGAAAAAAAACCAATCAACTTCTTACCGCTTTTGTATGCCGGACCATCGTATTCTACGAAATCCACATAAGTTATCATTTCCACCTGGAGACAGAAAGAGAGTAGAAAAAAAAGAATTATTATGGATGCAATAGAGTTTTGCAATTAGAAGATTGCAAGTATTAGCATCTGTATCACTGTTTCTCTTTCGCAGCACACATTTTCTTTGTGCAAACTTTTTTTTCGAGTTCTTTTTTTCTTGATGCAAAACTAATTCTTCTATTACACAGTAAGTGAATGTTCAGTTTTGCTGTCTTTTTCATAGACTCAAAGTTCAAAATAGTTGGCCTAAGCGCTAACGCTAAGCTTATACAAATCAAGATTTATAATAGAAATTGCCGGCGGCTATTTGAAATGCAGTGTTGCAAAAATACGGGCGAGCTCATTCGCGAATGATAAGCGCGCAACTCTTTGAAATTTACACATTCAAAACGATATAGCGGCTATAACGATGATGATGACGATGAAGAAGACAACGACGACGACACACACCATAAGCATACAAAGTGGAATAAAATGTTGTACCTCTTGCTCCTTTTTATAATGAATGCCATAACTTTGTAGTGTGAAGCCAAACGATCCATTTTTCTTTTCGACGATAATGGTACGCCTGCGGCGATCTTCTTCTGGTTTTGTTACCGGAATTCGATCCGATTTAATCCGTTGCAAAACATGTGATGACTGAACGAGCGCACGCCCGAATGAAAATGCCAAGCAAAACAAAGAACCCACCGAGTTGCAAGAGGCATCGAGAGAGAGAGAGAGAGAGAGCAGAAAAAAATAAACAGTTCAAAACATGATAAAAGGAAGGTTAATAGACAATTTGTTCATTTTGTTTGTACTGCAACACAAAAACATATTAAAATACGAATGAGAAAAAAAAAAGAATACAATACTTGAACGGTTGAATCATGATCTCCGCTACGTTCGTCGATTGACTCCTGGCTTCGATTTAAGCTTAGGCCGCCTTCTGCCATTTTTCAGTGCATCAATGTTACATTTGTGATCAAATTACAGCACCTAATCTGATTGTTGCTTCCTGCAAACGAACGAAACAAATGTTTATTAGACCGAACAATCTACATATCAGACCTAACCGAAGCCGATCACATAATGATGGGGAAAAACGACTCAGTTCAAACCATATGCGACAGAGAGCGAGAGAATGAAAAATGAGGAACAGAAGAATATCACAACACACTCAAACTCTATGCAGAATGCATACTAATCAGTTTTCATTTGATTTACTTAAAAGCAGACACACAAAGGTGCATTGTGACTCACATTTCATTGACCAAGAGCCAAAAGCTTCGCGTAATATTAAATTGGCAATGAAAATTTCATTCATTTATTAGATTGGATTTTTATTATCAATATCACCAATAATTTTTATTTTCTGAACATTCTGCTCACTCATTTGCTCCATCATTTGCATTTTTGTCCATTGCGTTGCTTCACAATCGAAATAAATACAATGTATGCGTAGTACACATTAACCCTTTGACGATAAAATCTGAACAACTACAAAATTTACATCTCTGTTGGTACATTTGTGCTCACATACTACACAAATAATACTAAATATCCTCTTGTCACGATATTCCTTGTATACAGATCGGATAAATGATTCGGATACGTTCCCCGGATTGAATTGAAATGAATTATTGTAAAATTGAAAATGGATTTTTGTTTAGATTGAATCTTTCCACATGATATCACTCTGTAATCTGAAATGTTACTTGGAAACACGCAACTGCAATTGAGATGTTAAAAAAGAAAGCTTAGATTCATTATAGTTAGTCTATTTTGAGGAAGCCCGGCGTCCAAAAACAAAAATCGGTTTTAAAATGTTGCCGCCAGAGATGTGAAATCCGAAAAGAAGACCAAAAGTCGTCAAAGTGTTAAGCTCACTCTCGCTCAATATACATATCGTTTACCATATGCAAATTAATGTATTCCATACAATGGCAATTGTACGTGGTATTGTCGCAGACCGAACTAAGTGTCCAATCAAGAGTGATAGCAATAAACATACCTGAACATTTTTTCATAGACCAGTTGGGACTTGCTCACGCGGACTTAAACTGAACCAAAAAACAACAACTATTTCTTTATTTTTTTTTATGTTTTCGTTATGCACAAATTGCACAAGATAAAAGATTGAGCACATATACACAGCAAGAAAAACAACGAATAGTAATTAACTGCGTCTGGACATTGAATTTTTGTACAAACTTCTATACTTCAGTCAATGGAAAACTTGATGATATTGTTTTTGTGTTTCTTTTTACTCTATCTCTTCGTTCAAAAAGTGACACTCCATTCGATTAAAGGTAGAGAAAAGAATCTTTCGATATATATAGATTTATTGTTAAGAATAGTTTAGTGGCGTACTTGTTGTCGTTTTATTGTCATAAAACATCAATGACATTGAAAAATCATTAAAAATTTCTCAATAAATGTAAAAATAACGTGAATAAACAAAAATGTCAACGAAACAATATAAAACAAAATGTTTCAATGAATTTGTTTTTTTATATGCCTAAGGATATGTTTTCCATCAAATGTTTCGCCATATTCACCTTTCTTATGGGTATTCACTTGGCGACTGCGTGACTAACACTAAATTCAAGCAATATGCCAAAGATTTCGTTTACCGTTGTACCGCTTATGTTGTGTGTGTCAACAACATTGCTCCACGCACACTGTCTGCGTGTATTTGTCGGATTGTATGGAAAACATTATATCGGGGAAAAAACATACACGATAACAACGACAAGGAAATTTACTACTGGATTCAATTCAATTTTCCCCTTCACACAAATCGACACACATTTGAGATGGAAATGCAAAACTTCAATTACCATACACCCTTCACTGCTACGTACAGTGAATATCAATGAACAAGAGAGCATTGCATGAACTGAAAATCGAATACGGCAATTCAATATTCACTGCGGCTGTACACTTTGTATATTGTTTCACAATTTTTTTTATCGGATGATAGAAATAATATATAGTGTGCATGAAAATATACCATCAATCATTATAACAATGATTTTATATTTGCGTTGAATGAGTGTGTAGGGGAGGACGGTATTCTCTGGGGGCATAACTTAGCAACCATAAAATATATACGGCTGATTGGGCCTAAATATTTCATATTTCGTTTTAGAAATTCGTTTCACCTCGCTTAATCGGCCATTTATTTCTAATTTATGCAAAAAGGTTTTCAATATGAAAAAAAGAAAAACTGATGGGATGTGTGTCAATCAATGGATAGCATGCAATAAAATCATATCTCTGTATATATGAAAGATACATTTTAATTGAGATTTACTATGAGATGGATACTCCTTTCTCATTGGCATACCTTTTTGTGTGAATTGTTCCACTCTCGGTATTGTTGATTTCCCCTATCGCTTACTGAATTTAAGTGGAAAATTTGCTGGAAATTTTCAAAGTACAAACGTCACATTTGTTCTAACTAAGAAAATCACAATCAAAAATTTGAATTTAAGTCTTTACTTAACCGCCATAACAGTTTAATAATATCAAACAAAAAATCATAATTTTTAAATATTTTATACGAATGCATGCTAAAGAATTGTTTATAATCTTACTTTAGATGTTTTTTATTGCTCATTGGGGTTTTTTCGGTATGAGATTTGATAATTTAATTTAAAATTTAAGTTTAGCAGCTGTGTTATCAGCCGGCTGGCTTTGTATGCTGGTTACTCATACACATTTTTACTTATATGCTCTCGTTTGTTAACATTTAAAATGTACAGTATGCGTATATTTTTATGTTTTTATATTATAATCCTTGAATAATCAACTAGGTGATTGTTTTTTGCTCTGAAATTTTGTAATTTTGTTTGACTAAATTCAGTGATTGTCAAATGTCTTGCTATAAGCAGCTTGCTTACCTGCGTCGCCTATCGGGCGGCAAGCAAGCAAACATGCGGACACATATACGGCAAACGAACCATATGTACCGAACAGTTTTCGTTCGTGCGAGATGCGGTATCTGTGTAGACGTATTCGTCGCACGTACGAAAACCGTGTAGTAGATATGGTTCGTTTGCCGTATATGTGACCTCATGTTTCCTTGCTTGCCGAACGATAGGCGCCTTATGAAATTCTCTGACTAAATTTTAAAAAAGCCGCTTCTGCGAAAACATTTACGTCATCGTCTGGTGCGAGTAAGAAAGAAAACCAAAGATAACACAATTTTTACCAGTGTTCTACTGAAATAACTATTAATGTATCGTATCTATTCATCCTATTTTTAAAAAAAACTGTTTTATGCCACATTTAAACATCTACATCATCTTCTGGTGCGAGTAAGAAAGGGAACAAAATATAGCTCAATATTTTTAGAGTGTTTTACTGATATCGCATCGTATTTTTCACAGTAAAATCGAGAAATTAATTTAGTCTTCAAAATAACGCCACGCAAAATGTAAGTAAAATATTTAAGAAAGCAGTTTGTCTAGCAGTTTGTACAAAAAATTCCATTTCAAATTAGGTTATTAGTACTAAATAATTTAAAACTAATAAATAAATTTGGTTTTTTCCATTTAATAATATATAAAGCATGTTGTTTTTAATTTATTTGATTTTTTACAATTTGCATAATCTATTTATATAGAAAATTAAAAATGTCGCCAAAAATTCTGAATATTTGCTTTGATAACTCATCTAAAGCATATTATGCAGGACAAAAGGTAGAGGGTCATGTGCAAGTGGAATTGGAATCTGAGAAGCTAATTCGCAGTAAGTGACGAATATATGTTTTAAAAAAATCAAATGGTGACAAATAAAATTTACAGTTATGTTATACACGGCCTACTGCCTAACAGCATTCGAGGATCTATCACGTGCACACTTTGTGTGCGTTTGAATATTCATGTATTTTTTTTCACATTTTTGAAAACTATGTGCATATATTTTGACAAAATCACGTGAATGGTGCACGTTTGGGCGTCGCCATTCCTCATTGACACATGTACACATGCGGCTAATGCTTCAAATCAGCGAGCCGAGCATCAATGCTGCTGGGCAGTAGGCCATGTGCAGCAAGCAAATAACACTGTTTTTCTATAAATTACAGATATTGAGATCCATTTTGAGGGAAAAACATACATGTTTTTAACAAGAAAATTACAAAATGAAGAAGAGTTTTATACAAAAGAGGAAAATCATTTGGACTACACAGAATATTTATTGGGTTCAAATTTGATGAACTCTTGTGCGGGAAAGAGTTTGTCGGCAGGTACACACTCTTTTCCATTCGCATATGTTTTGCCGGGTGACATTCCGTCGACTATTTGTGGGGAAAAGGGTTCCGTTTCCTATTCTGTGAACGTAATTTTGAGATTCGCTAATGATAGAAGTCGTAAAGAAAAAAAGGAATTTGAAGAGTTTGTTGTCATTTCACCGTTAAATTTGAATGAAATACCAAATGTGAAGGTAAATTAAAATCGTAAATTTAAGTTTTAAAACATTCAAACATTATCTAAATAAACACTGCAATTATTACAAAAGGAGCCAGTGAACTTACCATTAGAGAAATCGTTCTCTTCTAACGGTCTAAATGAACCACTTCGAGCGAATATTTCAATACCGGCAACCGGATATACTTCGGGTCAAACTATTCCAATCACAATGGATATTGAAAATATGAGTAATGTTCCGGTTAAACAAATAAAAGTAATTCTTAATAGAAAGGAATCGTATTTTATGTATGAACCTCAATTTGACGTTAAACACAAGTCAAACAAAATTACTGAAATATTATTGGATGGTGTGGATGCAAAAAGTTCAATAAAAAGGGATCAATTATTTGAAATTCCTCCATTACAGCCTACAAATAGTTTTTCTAATATTCAGTGGTGCTACGAACTGATGGTATAACTTGAAATATGTTTTATATTCAGATGATTTTGAAATTTATGTTTCATTTATTTACACAGTTTGTGCTGAAAATGTCTGGAATGCACGAAAATGTGCAGGGAACAATTCCGATACTTTTGGGCACGATTCCGATTTCAGATGTGGTTGCACAGTCATCAGTACCAGATAATTGTACGTCCATATCCATTACAACACCAGAATCATTTATTCAGAGTAAGTATATCTCCAAAGATAAAATAATTTGACGAAAGTTGTATCTTAATTTTTTATTTCTATCAGAACCAGATCCCTTGGGCTGTTTAGGGGGCTGCATACTCTGCTGCAAATGTTGTGGCCTATGCTTGTGCATTATAGTTTTGTTTGCATTCTTAATTGGCATATATATATTAAAAGGAATAATGAGTAGACCTCACATCCGTAAAAAAGTATTTGGGGAAATATAGTACTTTTGATAGTTTGTGTTTGGGAACGAATTCAGATGTGCTTTTATATAGATATGATTCAGTTTTGAATAAGAGGTAGAGAGATTTGCATGTAGAAAAATTCTCTTTTTACGAATTTTGAATAAAGCATTTAAAAATAAAATTTAAAGTGTTTTTATTAACAGTCTTTTTTTCCCTTTAACTCCTTGTGGAGCATAGGGCCTCAGATAAGGCTTTCCATCTTCTACGATTGCTGGCTGTGGTCTTAGCTTCGTTCTATGTGATTCCTGCTTCGACAAGCTCATTGTCAACTCTTCTTTTCCATGTCTATTTTGGTCGGCCTCGTATTCTGTTGCCTTGTGGATTCCAGTCTGGTGCTTGACGGCATATTGAATCGTGTGGCTTTCTTAGTGTATGTCCGATCCAACTTCACTTCTTTTTCTTTATCATTTGCTCAAGTGGCTCACAGTCAGTCTGTTGGTACAGTTATTATTATTATTATTATTATTATTATTTATTGCTTTTTACGTCTACTTAAATAAGCCGACGGTTGAGATTAGTACAATTTTTATACAAATAAATTTTTGGAAAGTAGTTTTAAAACTCTAGCTAGTTTAAATGAAAGTGAGTATTAGATACAAGTTAGTTGGCTGTTGGTGATGGTATTTGGCCAGTATATTCCCAATATCTTACGGTGGCACTTGTTGACAAATACTTGAGCACTTGATAGTTCTCGTTCTGTGTAGCTCCATGTTTCACTGCCGTACAAGAGGACCGCAAGCACACATGACATGAATATTCGTAGTTTTGTGCTGGTAGCTATTTTTCTTTTGTTCCGTGTTGTGCGAAGTTGTCCATATGCGGCCCTTGCTTTAGCGATTCTGCTGCTGATGTCTTCTTTTGTGCCTCCATTCTTCGACATCACACTGCCCAAATTGCAGTATTCACTGACTTCTTCAATCGTTTGTATTCCGACAGTGATGGTGTTAGTGTTGCCGGTGTTGATACGCATCAATTTGGTCTTATTGATGTTGATATTAAGGCTCTTAGGTTGTGTGGATGCGCACAGATTGTTCATTAGTGTCTGCATATTTGAGTGTGTGTTGGTTAGGAGTCAAGATCACCAAGCTTACGTGTTGGATTCCACCAAATGCCAAGTGTTTCAGTTGAAATCTCTCGAAGGGCTTCGTCCAGGACTATTATGAACAGCAGTGGTGATGCCTTACACCGTTTCGTACTTCGAACTCTTCACTCCTAGCTCCGTTGTGCAGTACACTACACTTCACTTCAGAGTAAAGTGCTCTAATAACTCTGATGATTTTGGATGGGATGCCTTTTCTCACCAGCGCCTTCCATATCTCTCTTCTGTTGACTCGGTCGAATGCTTTTTCGAAGTCCACGAACATTACATAGAGCGGTGACTGGAATTCGTTTGACTGTTCTATTATAAGCCGTAGCGTATTTGACTGGTCAATACAGCCACGGTTTGCTCGGAATCCAGCCTGTTCATCTCGAAGTTGGCTTTCTATGTGTTCAGAGATGCGTGGGAGAATTATCTGTGCCACGATCTTATTGATCGTGTTAAGCACTGTGATGCCTCTCCAGTTACCACACTTCTTTAGTTCACCTTTCTTTGGTATCTTCACAACGACGCCTTCCTTCCATTCATTGTCGAAATCCTCGTTATTCCATGCTTCCATGTGTTACATTTCGTGTAACGCTGCGGCTGATAGTGTTGGGCTTGCCTTAAAGAGGCCTCTGTTGGTATGCTGTCGGTTCCAGGTGCTTTGTTGTTTTTGAGCTTCTTTATGGCCTCAACTATCTCAGTTCTTGATGGTGCTGTAGTGCTGATTCGCCTGTTTGTGTTTGCGTCACCTTGGAAGTTGAGCAATTCGTCGAAGTATTCTTTCCATCTTGATCGCTGCTGGTCTATAGAGACTATGTGGTTGCCGTCTTTGTCTTCGAGGAGCATGTTGTTGTTCTTGCCACCATTTGCCAGTTCTTTAACTTTTCGGTAAAGGGTGCGCATGTCGTGCTTCTGCGCTGCCTCTTCTGCTTCGTCAGCTAGTTTGTTGGTGTTGGTGCGTTGATCGTGTCTGGCTGCTCTCTTGACTCTTTTTCCCATGTCATTGTACTGAGCTCGCACATCTGGAGTTTCATTCTGGTTTAGTCTTTCTTTCAACAGGCGGCATTGCTCAATGAGCTGCCACCTGTCGTCAGAAATCCATGCTTTGCGGCTTTTTCTTCTTTGTTCGACCAGAGTTTGCTTGGCTGCCTCCAGATGGCACTCTTGCCAATTGAGTGCATCTTGTTCTAGCAACTCATTCAATTTGGCTGAATACTCTCTTCTTTTGATGGGGTCTTTCAGTTCACCGACGTTGATGTTAGTGCGTCGTTGCTTCTGTCGTGTGTTCTTTATTGCCATGATTTTCAATAGAATGGTTGCTAGGATGAGTCCATGGTTGGTGAACAAGTCTGCGCCCCTATTATTTCGTACGCCAAGTAGTGAGCTGCGCCATTTGGCGCTAATGCATATGTGGTCAATTTGGTTTCTTGTCGTTCCTCTTGGCCTACTTTCAGTAGTTTTCAGTAATTGTTGACTTTAAAACATCCGCTGACGTGTGAGAGCGCCAATGAGGTTTGGACTTTAAATTGAAATAAAACATACATTTGTTTAAATGTTGAAAATGGCTCAAATTTTTCAAGAAATAAAAAGATGTTGTGAGTTCGTCAATCGAATTATTATCCAAATCCAAGTATTCCAACTTATTCGCTTTAATGTAGTTCAGATAGCGTGATGTGATTTTGTTGTGCGATAGATGAAGTGTTTTCACGTCAGGTAAGTCAACATATCCGCTTTCACCGAACTTATTATATGACAAATCAACTTCAGCAACATTTGGTGTGTGGTTGAAAAACTCTTTTGAAATTTTCGTAAGTTGATTATGCGATGCGTTCAATGTCACTGAAATGGTCAAGTTTCAGTTCGAGTGTATCCAACGATTCGTAACCAGAATATGAAATATGCAACGATCGCACATTTTTAAAGTTACCTGCTATTTGTGCCACTGTTTCATGATCACAGCCGCTAATTTTGAGCTCTGTTACCTTGGATTTATCACAAGTATGAATCCACTGTAAAAATGATGTTGTACAATTATCCGGCAATGGTTCTGCATAGTTTTCACAATAAAATTCAACCGATTCTACGTTGCCATCACATAGGCCACACTTTAATTCGTTTGAGACACAAAATTTAATCAAAAACAAAACGAACGCAAGGGAATACTTCATTTTACAAAATGTGTTCGATGGACGTTATCAGTCAGACATTATAATGAGATATTTTCAGCCAGATGATTCAGCTCAGCCAGATATCGTCAGGAGCTGAAATTTAGTGAAAACAATAGAAGTGATTGTTATGGTTATAATTACACTTACATTGCTACAATCACTATAACAATCACTTTTATTGTTTTCACTCCATTTCAGCTCCTGACGATATCTGGCTGAGCTGATTCATCTGTCTGAAAATATCTCATTATAATGTCTGTTATCAGTTTAACGCTTATTTTCAATTTCAATGATTAAACATTTTGAAAGCGAATTTATATACATTGCCGTCAGAAAGTGTGAGACCAAGCAAAAAAATGTCATACAATTTCATACAAATTGACGATTTTTTGGAGCAATATTTAATATATTTCAGAAAGAGCTAGACTCATAATTTTTTGCACACTTATTGTTCTATTTACGGAGAGTAAACTAGTGAAGTTTTACCAAAAAAGGATTATTTTTCATACAGAATGTGTCATTTTTCACACTTGAAAGTGCAAACTTCGGATATTTTTTGGTAAAACTTCACTAGTTTACTTTCCGTAAATAAAATAATAAGTGTACAAAAAATTATGGGTCTAGCTATTTCCGAAATATATTAAATATTGCTCCAAAAAATCGTCAATTTGTATGAAATTGTATGAGAAAAATGAGCTTGGTCTCAAATTTTCTGACGGCACTGTATACCTATATACATCATTGGAGTGATATCAAAAATGATAAGTTTTACTTGTTTTTCTAACACAAAATATTCAATTTCAAATAAATGAATTGTTGAATATATTCAAATCGTCTAATGCGAAAAGCATAGGTTTTGACGTGTAGAAGGGATTTTGAAATTATCCCTTTACACTTTTGAAACATTTTGGGAACTACCCCTTAAATCGCGACTGAAGTTTTACCTTAAGCTTATACTTTCAGTTTTTAAATGGATCAAATACAAGGCAGAATGCGTAAACTTCTACATCGAGCTATTTAGTTTGACATTCCAAACATTTTTATTTTGAATGAAATGTTCATGATACACGCGCACAATTGTTTGATGTGAAGACAAAATTTTCCATCTTTTTTTTCATATACGTGTAAGTTTATAGAAAAAATAGTGGTATATAAAAGTTGTTTTGCTCAGCAGATGTTTCAGTTCCAGCTATATTTCCAAGGTAAAACAAAATGAAGCTGTTTTTATTCGTACCATTTTCGCTACTTTTGCTATTCGTTCAGGTATGAGAGCATCAGTCATTAAACCTTCAGTTATTATTCCCACGTTTTTTTTCTCCAAAACGTTTCCAAAATTTCTATTTATCAATATAATTAGCGCTGAACACGTAACATTTGAACGAGTAGTAGAGAGCTTTATTGCCAAGGCGAAAGTAAAAAAAATCAAATTAAATTCAACGTTAGATTTCATGCTCCAAATATCCGAAAATGTCGTTGCTTTTGAATATCTATGCTCGAAAGGTATGCCCGCATTTATAACGGATGAAAAAAAGATCGAAGTGCTGGCAAAGGTTCCAGAAAGAATGGAAATTAATGGAATTAATGCGAGTGCCTTTCTTGCGAAGGAAATCAGTTCCATCAACTGCACACTGAAAACAACATTCAAACAATTGTGTGACAATGTCATCAAAGGACTAAATTTCAATTCGCCGGGAGTGTACGATGATACGTTCGATGTTTCATTCAACAAATGGAATGATAGGCCAGCTAAGAGGGCAGACGTGGAAAGAATTCAAAAGCATTTGAAAACCATGATAGAACAACACACGAAATTGAAGAATAAATTTGATACATATTCACAAGCAAGATT